CGCCTGGCGCAGCGACTGTTCCCTTTGCGTGTAGTAGCCACTGACGATGGTCATGAAGCCGGTAGGGACCACGCTTTCCACGAAGCCTGCTTGGTCAGACTTGTGTTGCTTTCAGAAGGATGAAAACTTACCGAGGAAGAAGCGCTGCACATACAACCCCTGCCAGGTTGTTACACCCGCAGTGGCAGCACAGGTGATAGCCCATAGCATGACGATCGGCCCAAAGACATGCTGGATCTTGAAGCGCTGCACGAAGAACGTCATCGGGTAGAGACCGGCCAGCATGCCAAAGTAGAAAATCGACGTCGCCCAGCTGAGCCGGGACGTGTCTTTTGACGGGGGCTTCGTGCTGTGGTCGATGACCACCAGGTGCAGGTCGGTGGTCATGCCGAACAGCGTCGCGCTTCCGAGAATCGCCTTGTCCCAGTATACCAGTCCATACCCGATCAGCATGGCCGGCATGAAGAAGAGGTCAATCTTGCGCAGGACGCGCTTCTCCACCTCCGGATCGATCTCCATGGCCACATCGCTGACGACCGCCAGCGCGGCATCCTTGTCGAATAGCTCGCCTTCGGCGCGAAGCCGTTCAGGGTCACCTGTAGCGCTGGGAACCTGAATCATCTTGTTGTCAGTTGAGAGTGACTCAGTGCGCCGTACTGGAAGAAAAAAAAATGAAGAAAAGTATTGTCCGGGGTTATGCACTCCGACGTACACGGACTGGCAGACAAATTAATCTATTGACAGCGACTTAGACTTTGACTGGCCGCGGGCAACTTTATTCGATTTTTTACTTCTTCTGATTGGTCCAGCGGAAATAGATGGGCCTTTCGGTGAAAACGTTGGGATGGTGGAGTTGGCCCGGCTTGGTCCTATACTCCTACATTTCCCGATGCGGAGACAGCGAGTACGATAGTTATAAAAGTTGTATATAGCTCATTGCATGCCATGTACAAGCAAAAGATGATCAGTCATCAATCACGATTACCTCTCTTTTCTGCCCATTGTCCTGGTCCGTCATAGCCCAACCGCCAGGAAACTTCTCCCTCAGAAACTCCCTAAGCGCAACAAGCGGCACCCCATGCCTCATAGCCGTAGTATCATCCCACGATGAATGCAAGCCCAGTAATACACCATCGGTCAGCCGCAGCAATGGCGCCCCAGAGTGACCCCAGTACGTCCAGGCATCGTGTTTCAAGGTCCCAATCTCCTCGTTATCATGCGGGTCAGCGCCAGCTATCAATCCGCGCAGTCGACCTTCAGAAATCTCAATAAGATCGTAGTCTGTTTTTCGCGGGGCGGACGATTCCAGATCATCGGCGCCCGGCTGCCCGATACAGAGTATCTCGGCATTGAGAGAAGCTGACGGCGGTGCTAGTGGTACGCACGCAAAACTTGGGTCCAAGCTCACCTGGGAGCTAGCCGGGGGCAAGCACTCAAGGGTGATTATTCTGGCCAGGGCGAGGTCCCGCCGTGCGTCCCAGGCTACACACTCGGCTTGCACCGCTTCGCCTGTGAAATAGAGGAGCCATTTCCGCCGGTTGGAGCGCCACTCTGCCTCGGTCTCGCCGAAGCAATGCGCGCAGGTGAGGAGCCATCCGGCTGAGTGGATGCAGACTGCGGTACCTGCTTCGTGCTGCGCGAAGATGAGAGTTGAGGAGAGGGCTTGCGCGGCGTGTAGGCCGTAGACTGCTGCGGTTGTTTTGGTGGCGGATGCCGATGCGCGTAGGCGGGATTGTTTTTTGCGGAGGAGGGTCGTTTCTTCGGAGCTTAGGTTTGGGAGGCGGGTTTGGTCTGGGGGGATCAGGGTGATGTTTCGTTGTGGTTGATCTGAGCTTGCTTGCGGTGTGATGAAGCGGACTGGTTGAATTGGAGACGCGGTGTTGGTTTCTGGGGTGTGTTCGGATTCTACGCGCCGCCTGCTTGATCGTAGAGTCTGGGGCATCTTGTTGTTCGGCTCTATGTAGAGAGAATTTACTGAATGACCCGTACTGGATGATATCAAGTCAGAGACTGGCTGATGCAATACGAGCTAGATGATCAGTAAAGCAACTTTTAGGCAGCATCACATGCGAGCGCTAGCCTCTTTGGGAATGTATATCGATTGTCATGAATGATTCACGCTGGGAAGATGCTATCATCTGAAGACGGCTCGTGTGACAAGTCCAGCTACCCGATGATCAGTCCGTACTTCCCCTTGCCCTCCGTCACACGGAACGCCCATTCAACCCCGTCATACTCCTTTCTGGCCGTAGCAATCACCTTGAATTCTTCCGCAGGAGGCCTTGTCGAAGACGTAACAGCTGTCTTATTGACCCGGGGCTCCTTCCATACGCCGCCGAGAGGGACAATGTCATATCGAAGCACAAGCATGGCAATCAGAGCCAGGATCTCTCCCGTGGCAAAGTGCCTGCCCGGACAAACGTGTGGAGATGTTCCAAAGGACAGAAATCCGTTGGCTTTCTTGCGGCTGTCAGACTGGTTGATTTTGACAAATCGGCGAGGGTCGTATTCGTCCGCGTTGCTGCCCCAGATTGTCTGGTCGCGGTTGATCGCGTGTGCGGGCATCTGCAGGATTCCACCTTTTTTCAGGAGATACCGGTCATCCAGGATAGTGTCCTCATAGATAACCCGAATAGGAACGGTATTAGAACGTAATCGCAGCGTCTCCTGGAACGCCGACATCAGCAGAGGACACTTCTCCTTGATCTCGGCGAGATCAAGGGTGTGCACGCCCTGCGCATCAACCTGGACTGCATGCTGAGCAACTTCGTCTCGCACTTCCTCCAGCAGTTCCGGACGCGAGAAGATGTCAAACATGAACCAGAACATCGCCGGAACTGTGTTCGACAAGGTCCCTAATGTAGCAGCCGCCTCCAGACGGGCAATGTCCTCCAGCGTGGCACCGCCTTTCTGCTGCGTCTCCCACCGGGCATACGTCAACTGCGACGAGTCGAGATGCCCGCCAGCACGGTAATAATCGACAAAGGCTGCAACGAGCCGCTGTCGTGCTTTCCAGGCCTTGCGCGCTGTGACCCTCTGCACAACGTCCAGCAGCAGCAGCGCGAGATTCTCCTCAAAGTCCCTACCCAGTTAGCTTTGAATTTTACAGTCCAGCTGAAGACGTACCAGAACGCATCTTGCAGCTCCTTGGACCGGTACGGATTCAGAGGCCCATACACCGCATCCGTACTGGAGACAGTGAGAGCCGACCGACACCACCCGTGAAAGTCAAACGGCGCAGCGATCGGCAAGTCGTCGACGCTCCTGAGAAAGTACCCAATCACCTTCTCATTCATCCCATCCAATCCCGCTCCCTCGAGAGCCGGACGCATCGCGTTCACGACGTCCCCGTGCAAGTTCTCGCCCCCAGGCCGCTTCCCGCTGAGGAGCTCAAGCCCGCGTCCTTTGAGGCCGGTCACGCGCCGCGCCGCGCCAGTAATGGCGGGCTCAAATGACATGGTGCGGTGATGGCGGCGAGCAGCGATGACTAGATTCGGGGTGGTGATGACATAGATTTTGGTGAAGAGCATGTCCATGGTGAAGGCTTCGAGGCCGTGTTTGGCGCTGTTCCTGTTAGATTGAAGCTTGTGGTAAGGGTAACGGATCATACCTCTGCAACGCGTAGTAGTCGATTCCATGGCGAACTAAGCCGATCATATGGCCGATGAACGGAATGCCATTGTGGACTACAGGAGGTTCGCGTGGATCACGTCTGATGCGGAGAATGAGAGCAGATCCCACGATGAGGGTGAGCGTCACCACAACCAAGGACAGATTGTCCATAGTGGAGTGTAGAGTTCAGTAATCAGTGCAGTGGATAATACCCTTTGGGATCGATGGATGGGAAGAGTTGTAAATGAGTGTTGTGTCGTGTGTTGTTATTGGAACAGAATTATGCCTCTAACTGGATTAGGTAAGCATATACACTGCAGCCATGCATATCCAAGAGCGTCAACAGTAATGAATAGAAATACATTTTCCTCATGGGATATTGAGCTGTGAGTCAGTTGAATGAAGTAAGTGCTACCAGGATCTAAAGTGAGACATCGTTTCTATACTTAAGCCCTGGCTCTTCTCATGATATATGTCATTCTCAGCCTGTTTGACTGACTGTCAGTTTTGATTCATGTACGCTTAATCTTGTTGGATTGAATGGAAGCCTTAATGCGAACATCTACTGCACGAATGCACTGCACGAGCACTGTCTAGTCTAGCATGCTCCTATCAATGAGACCTAGGTGAACATACAATGAAGGCATTTGGCGTCGAGAACTAAGCTACTTCTATCATGACTGGAAAGGCGAGAAGAAACAGTCGACCTTTAAGCGAATCCAGAGTCATTCCGGCGCAAGTGCCTGTATTTATCTTCTTCTCTTTACGGAGCATAACCCTCTAAAAATGCTCTGCCAATGAGAATCGGAGAGGAAGGATTCGACGATTGGATGGCGTTGAATAAATCAGAAACTAAGCTTTAATTATTACACGGCTTCGGCCTGGGAGCATGGGCGCATTTCGTAACATGTCCTGGCCAGTATTGAGTAAATTTGACTGATCTGCCTATCAAATGCCATCTCTGGCAGGCTGTACAAGACTAGGGAGATGTGCAAGGGACCCCTGCACAGGCACTGCCAACGAAGCATTGGTCCCAGTAACTGGGTACTGTCCAGTGAGATCGTATTTATAATGACAGTCGCTCCGAGCAGAGAGGAATAGGTCAGTTTCTTCATTACTCCAGGCAAGCGCATTGATCATCCGGAATGCCATCACAAGAAGAACAATCATGGCAGCCAGATGCGTACAGCTCGCTCGTCAACGCTGATCAGAACAAGCCATGGGCCATTCCTTAGTACCTCTGCGGCTCGAGGGACCCAGTGGCTCGTTGGGAGCTCGTGCAGTCTGCGCCAATGTTACTGACCATCTTATTCCCCCATGCCGCAATGTCATATATAGTCATGATCATGGGACTGCTCATTAACGCTTGCAAATAGCAGCACAACAGTATGGTTTCTTCCGAACTCAGCGAGTCGTCGGCCACTCGCAGTAAACCCGGCCAGGACATCCGCCTCAGCTCTGGTATACAAAATGCCACATTTAGTCCGATCCAGTTCATCGCTGCGAGAGGTATCACAAGCGAAAGAGGAGGAACAATACCGGATATTGACTTCGACACTCAATGGGAAGCAATCGAGTGTTTCTTTGGGCCAGTAGTGCAGAGCGTCCGGGCTCGTGTTGAGGACAATATTTACGATGAGGATCTTCTCGCTAGCTGGGCTGATGTAAGTTTATTGGAGTTGCTCGTTATCACCACTGCATGGGTAATGTGAGCAGTCTATGGATATTACCAAATAGTTACTTGATGCGCAAGAGTAAACCAGGCCACCCAGGAGAGAAATGGAACACATTGCATGGTCTCAGTCCTAATGATACCACGACATAAAGGTAGTTTGCCAACATTGATAGACAAGTAAGATCAGCCATCGTCAATTTTGAGAGCAGACCAAAGACAGAACAAGCGGTGATTCACCCAGCGATTGGGAGTCCCTCTTTATTGATTGGTAAGGGTTCATCATTACATAGTCTTCAATATCTAGTTCAAGGAAGCAATGAGAAAGAAAAGAACAAAAATGCACCAACATTAATGGTTGAAACTTGATGTTGAGGAAAAAGAAGAAAAAAGAAGGTCCCATCGGGAATTGAACCCGAGTTGCCGGAAAACTGACACGCGTCAAAATCCGGAGTCATAACCACTAGACCATGGAACCAGTTGATGTCCATCACCGCCGATTTAGAGATATATAAGCAAATGCCATTCTTTCTTATCTTCCGCTGAATATTCCATTCGTGTTGATATACTGAATTGCACCAGAATAAAATTAGGCGTGAAGTTTAAGAATTCCCTGCTGCTCAGTATGTGTTTCCAAGAATACATTGGGCTATGTTGTCACCTTCCCATGTCAGCTCCAAATAAATGCATTTTTCACTGATGGCCCACGAAACAATATATATCTAGCATCCTATATTTTGAGATTGCTACGAGATGCTCAATCTGTAGAGAATTCTACTAGTCGCTCTCATTGCTAACTATAATTGAAGGCACAGTCTCCGCAACTACCTAACGACTACAGACACTGGGAATACCACTGGTTCTGAAACTTGCAAGTGTAGGGCGACGCACAAACCTTGGGTCCAGTCCAGCCCTGTCCACCGCACTGTCCATAATGGGTTTGCGTAGGCCCGGGCGCGGTGCTAGTAGTAGTCTTGGTAGACGTGGTAGTCGTGGTGGTCGTACTCGAGCCACCGGAACCCTTGAAAGTCGATCCGATATCACCCCAGCGGATGTTGGAGAAGACAACATGGGTGGTGGGGTTCTGCGCCTTGATCAGGTCCGGGTTCCCCTCGGTGCTGCTGCAAGGGCCAGAATTGCCGCTGTCGAGCCAGTTCATGTAGCCGCTAGCATCGTTCCAGATGCTGAAGGCGAGGACCATGCCACGGCCCAGTGCCTGGCCCATCCTGGTCAGTCCGCCAAAGGTGGCGGCTGATCCGTCAACGGAGGTACACCAGTCCTCGGTGATCGAGCTGACGCCGGAGGAGGACACGGCGTTGGCGATCACCTTGCCGTTCTGGATGTACTGTCGGCGGATCTCGGTCAGGGTGCCGGTGGTGGTGCCGTCGTTGGTGACAAACTGCGTGGTGATGGTGAAGGGCTTGGAGGTGTCGACGGTGCCGCCAGGGCCCCAGTAGCTCTTCTGGCCTAGAGAGTATGGGTTGAAGCCGCATCCGCCCTTGTCGCAGTCTGTCGCGCTGCAGGGGTGGGGCGTGTACGAGTTGGCGCGGGAGTTGGCTTCGAGGATATCCATCTCGTTGCAGCAGTAGCTTGCGCCGCTGGTGTTGAGCGTGCCATTCTTCCAGGTGATCACGGGGCATTGCGCATCACAGTAGCCAGAGCCGTACTCGGCGCCTCCGGTGTTGTATTCGTTGCGACCACCCGTGGCGCTCATCTCGGAGAAGTACAAGGCACCGTTTTCACCACAGGGGAGCGTGGACAGGTCCACGTCGAAGGAGAGCTCCTGCCCTAGCAGCTTGAACATGACATAGTTTTTGTCTGGACCGAGGAGGTAGAGTCGAGGCGAGGCGTTCGTGTAGACCCCGTTGCTCAGGACGTATTGACTCATGGTCAGAGTGTCACCCGAGGTGGCCACACCGGCGCTGGTGTAGTTCGCCGGCTCGATCACGCAGTTCTTTGCGCAGGTGGCCTGATCAGGACAGAGGGTGCTGTTGACTCCGGAAGATGTGGTGCAAGATGTATACCCATTGACCGTGTGGATCCAGTGGTAGGCCCAATCAAGAACCACAGATGTATCCTGCGCAACACAGCCGCCGGCAGTGGTACATTTGTACGTTGTAAGCTTGGGGTTACCAGCAGAGCTTGAGGCAGGTTGTTGTGCGGAAACGAGAGGAAGCAGGGCCAGCACAGCTGCCACGATGCCTCTTTTGGAGTCCATGATGCTTTTGACAAGTCTGAATGCTTGAAATCAAAGATCAACAGTTCTTCAACTCGGGTATTTATACCCTGAGCCAGGAGAGTCACCGACTAGACGGAGAAATTCTGCTGAAGGGATGTGTCGAAGCGCCATTTCGTAGGGTCAATCTGCGAATGGGAAGTATTCACAAGACGGCAATTGTGAATGCCATGAATTGTAGATTAAGGTAAGCGATAGGCCCCTCCATGTTTCATCTTGATGGCTAGGAACCAGTGGTAATTAGACTGGCTTGACTTGGTCAAGATCCTACGGCCCGCCGATCCGACTCTTGTCCCTCTTCTTCTGTCAGTCCCTTACTTCGATCATTATACCCCGCATCTTCACGCCTGATTGACTTCTTCAGACTTGGAACATGCAACGAGCTTCCAGATCAGGATTGGTAGATGTTCGCTAACGTCTCAATTTGTTCGGCTTTTGAGCGCAAGCCGCCAGGCACCCATGCTTCCCCGCAGACACTATGCAGAAAAAGCCACGGGAATCTCGGCTGTTTTAAATCAGGCTAAGATCTTTGATTTATTCAGGGGTTTCAATCAAGTGAACGAACCATGGAGATTCTCCAAGTAAAACACGCCCCACCTGCTGTTCCTGATACGGTAATTGAACTCCGAATAGCTTCATCACGGATGAATACGGAAACTTTGTTTAATTAGCCTTGATCGCGGAAAGTGGCAATCACAGGAATGTATTGATGTTGAACAGTAAAATGGCAGTGAATGAATTATTAATATTGGTAAATACAGTTACTAATAGTGGAGGCAGCCAAAGTGCATTATGCATTAAAGCTACTAGCTAGAAGGAATACTTTGCTGCAGGATATAATCAATTCTCGATTTTTAGTACTCCTTTGGTCTTTTGTCTCTCCTACGTATACGTCTGGGGATTCAAAATAAGTCGTATTATAACTATGCAAATGGATATCCCAGGTTATATCCACCTACGCCGGGTCAAAGGAAGAATTTTACACCTTATCCTACACTAAATTGACCATAATAAAACCCGCACTATCCTAAATTGGCAGTAACTAATGAGCATATATTTCCTCTGCAACGACGGTACAAAGTCTGCGTCCCTGCAGTGACTTGAGCCCTGAAATAAGAAATGAGAATGAGAGCGTTCAGCACATTATGCCTGACTTTCAGGTATCTTCAGAGGCCCAAGAATACTTATAAAGCTCTCGATACCAGCTCATCATGATGGATAGTACGAATCGAGAGGCTTGGCAGTTCCCAGGTTCGTGACAGAAGATCCCGCCTGTTTCAGTCGTTCCAACTCCTTCTGGCGCATATCTTCCTGTATCTGCAAGATTGTCAGATCTAGAAACTAAAATAAGAAAGGGAAATGAACTAACCTGCACGCGCGCCGGGGTAAGCATCTCCCTCTCCCTTGTGATCTTCCACTCCGGCAAACCCTCGGGTCGGCCGAGGTCTTTCAGGGTCTTCTGCTCTACGAGACTGTATTTACCATCAGGTCGGTTATAGTTGAAGGGCTCCTTCAGCGAGACGGGTGGGTTGGTGATGATGCGGACTTCACGCAGAAGATTGCGCGATGCAGAATGCAACATGAACGGGTGGAGGAGGTAGACGTCGCCTGCTTGTCCGGTGGCTTCATGGAAGGACTCAGCCCGTGTGAGTTGGGGATCTTTTGCCCAGTCTCTCCACTGCTTGCCTCCCTCTGGACGCGGAGGGTTTGGGCCCGAGCGAGATGCGAGCGATGGCCAGGTTCCTTCGGGGTGGTCGTACTGATTGAGTCAGTCTAATTTCTTCTCATACGGAAATGGAAACTGACCAGATGCTTAGCGACAAGGCCAATCCCATCGGTGCATATCGCAGTTCCGCCTCCCTTGGACTTGATATCGCTGAATAAGGGGATTACCAAGAGCGCTTGCTCCCCACTATCCAGAAAATGCGTGAACCAATCTCCGTCGTTGTGCCAGTCGTCCAATGTGCGTAAGTCCAACGGATCATCAGGCTTGTATTCGGGTCTCCCGAGATTGATGATCCACGAGTCCCGCCAGCCCTTGCACCAATCCGTTACCCGTTCTTCCCCTCCGACCAGCTCACAGATTGCATCCCATGCCTTCGGCGCAAAATCCTTCACGTTGACGACTGTATGACCTGGCATGTTGACTCTTTCACTGTTCCAAGTGGACTTGTCTGTCGGAGAGATGCCTAGGCGAGCCCAGATGGAGGCTGTCCAGTTGTCGGCATCTCCCTTGGTGAAACATTGAGGGATCTTGATGAAGCCGTGTTCCAGCCAGTGTTGCTTTTGTTCTTCAGTGAGAGGCATGATTTCTCCAATATCTTGGTCAAGTTATGGTCGGGGTCCTGAAGAGATGTAAGTATTGTCTCGATGAAGATAATTTGTATAGCATCATTTGTTGCCAGCCACGTGGTGTCTTTAAAGATGGATGATACCCGGGATTACCCCACTCGAATCAACAACCATGGTCAACCAGTCAGATACAACTGGATAATCGGCTGTGGATTACCCGCACTTTTAACCGGCTTGACTCATTCGACGCAATGGATTTGTCACCATCGAAGCTGTTGAGGGGTTATATGTCTGTGTGTAGGTCTACATAGTTCCTACAATCCCAAGTCACCTTCCACTTTGGCCTTGAGAAGTTGGGCTGTAGAGACGCAGTGACTAAGATGTATATCACTTTGCAAGCTTATCAACTTCGACAAGTTATGAGCTGAATGTTGAATGCAAATCATTGCCCTTGTCATTGTTCCTATTTGCATAATGGAATAGTAAGCCTTATTCCAAGGCCTTGTAGGACCTACTTGTGAATGACTAGTGGCTTGGCTTCAGCCCTAGACGCTATATTCCTGTATTTATTCTCTTCATAGTGACTTCATACTGTCTGTGCTAGGCACTAGAATGGATTGAATGGAATATTGGATTGTTTAGGCTGAGTATATAGCTTATAGATATCGTCTTTTGCATATCGCTTTCCTGCACTTAGTACATTAATAGCACGAATTCAAGACCTGTTAATGTATTAAGCAACAAGATTCTGTTGACCATGTGAGTAGACCAAATTTGGTTCTGGCCTCACCCAGGCAGTATGCACCAGTCTATGACTACATATAAAGTTGTTTCTATCCGTCCAGGGTCATACGGCAATAAAGCATTTCATCTAAATGGCATGCTTATTATTTTAGAAGGTTCCAGATATCATGTATAATGTGTAGGATACGACATATCCCATGGTTGGTCTTTATGTAATGTTAGAGTAACGTGCGGTGCAGCATAAGGTATATGGTACTCACCACCATGTCATTATGACCGGCATATCGCAGCCATCTATGACTATGTCTGCTCACTTATCACAAGAGCTTGCAAAATTCCTTCAGTTACCAGGAGAAGAGCAGCATACGAAGTATGACTAAAATTTCCAACCAGGAAATCGCGAAAAGCGTCATGGAACGTCGATCCAGATCCCCCCAATCTCGTACACAGTTAGACAGACCGGAGTGGGACTCGGAAAGCGGCACAGGTACGGAGAATTGGACTCCTGGTCGTTCTGATTCTTCAAATGGTGATAACAGCAATGAGTTGGCCGGTATGTACCAATCATCCTATAAACAACCAAGGACACGAACACGAAAGTTGATTTGCTGGCTGAAGAAGGCACAGAATCGACAAAGAACTATACGCAAGACTCGCAGATCAACGCTCATACTTCACAAGCAACACACACGCCTTCCAGTAGCGACCTCAAGACGACAGACAAGAGGTGGAGAGCGCTCATGTACTTTAATGTGGAACAATTCCTGAAGCTAGACATTATCCACAAAATAATCGAGAACCTAAACGACCGCGACCTCGTCAACGTCATGGAGCAAGCTCTGAACGTCGAAGATCTCGATTGCACTATACAGAGACGGGTCCAGTACGAGGTCCTCTGCACGTCCCAGAACCAGCGCATCGATTATCTCAACCACTACCTCCGCGGTGAGGGTGCTGAGACCCTCGAGATCAAGACAGATACAAAACTCACGCTGCACAATCAACTCTATCACTTCTGTGTAAGAAACCCGGAAAAGAAGAGAGGAATGCTCCTCGACCAACTGCGTCAGATATCAACTTTGAAGGCATTTAATGCGCTTGCTCGGCAGATCTGGGGTCTCTCCGTAGAGGGGAGGAACAAGCTGGGAGATGATGCGATTCAATATCATGAGCGGCGACATGAAGTCGATCCAAAGTACTGGCTTCCTTGGAGGTGCTTGTGATTATGGTGAGATATCTGGCTTCTGATGCGTCGTCGTCTTATGCTTTGGACGTCGTTTGACCTAGCGTTGGCTGCCACTTGTGTTTCTAAATTATATATCTAGCTTAATTTGGTGTTGTTCAGGAATAATAGTCATCAAGAATATGACGATATTTGCCTATCGCTCTTGATATACTACTAGTGCTTTTAGCGATGGTCAAACTCTTAGATAGCCAGGTAGAAGACCGAGAATTTGATAACCAGGCATTGCACTTGCGCCGCCCTGACCTGCACATTATCCAGGACTGATGAAATTTCTCAGCCGTTCCGTCTACTGTCTCGTGCAAAAAGAGCGCTTTCGAAGTTTCAAGAACAGCACAGCTGTGACACATGTGGCTCTCCACCTTCCTGATGGCGAGACGCAGCGACAAACTGATGAAGCTATATGTTTTGGGGGACTGAAACTCGGTTCTCTTGCAGATAAAGTAGCAGGAGTTCATGTAGGATGAGCGATGAAACTCGTAATTTTTGTTCACAATTTTTGCACTAATAGTTCAACCTTTTGTCCCTTGGGAGTCGACGTTATGAAGCAGGGGATCGATGGCTGGGCTGACCTGACTGTTTGTCCTACAGTCATGAAGAGCGTGCCAGAAGACTGTTTATAATGAGTCAAAGGACAGATGCTTCAGAGTGAGGTTCTTGATGCTGCATGTGGCTATATTCTAACAAGCGCGTCTTCTCCCAAGACACTGAACTAAGAAACCAATCTACGTCCTTCTGAATGTCAAAGGTCACCAAGCAATATATTTTACCAGGAACAGATCTGTTGACTCTCTTTCGGAAGTAAAAGAGAATTGTTGCTATTGTCACTCTTTCTAAGATCTTATACACCATCCCTGGATATTCTTGTTTTCCTGATTTGGTAGGCATGCAGCACAACCCAACCTGAAGTGGCAGTCTGAAGAAGCCAATGGTGGGTGATGCACTGGCAGGGATCCCTCAAGGCTGTCGTGAGGCTGCACCTCTGTTCGAATTTTCTTTCCATCACACTCCCAGGAACGCTTATTCTTTCACCAGATCTTGAGCTACACGGTTATCCTCATACAGAATGATTTAGAAGGAAATAATTGCTGGTGTTTCTCCGTGCTCGAACGCAAACCACAAAAGACAAATCACTGCAGTAAGTCGACCATTTCGCACTTTCAAGGGACAATCTCACCGAAAAGAGACCATTATATACTGTTTGGCGGCTTACACGAGTCATGGCCAGTACAGGATCAATATAGACCCTGAGTCATGTTCTTGACCCGGTAACGATGTCGAGCTGCTCCGAGATTGAAAAAAGCGACTGCAGCCCTGGACGGACGGGCAGGGCCCCCAAACAAAGGAAGCTGGAAGAGAGAAATTGGCGTAATGAGACGACAAGGCCCAAAATTTTCTCCCGCAACGACTACACAGTAGGATGGATATCAGCATTGCCGCTGGAGCTAGCGGCCGCCCAGGCAATGCTCGACGAGTCTCATGGTGATGCTGGCAAATTGGAGATGGATAATAACACATATACGTTTGGCACTATGGCAGGTCACAATTGTGTCATTGCATGTCTGCCAGCTGGGGTATACGGACATACGTCTGCGACTACAGTGGCAAGTCAGATGCGATCGAGCTTCCCTTCCATCAGCTTCTGGCTCTTAGTCGGAATCGGAGGAGGCGCGCCAACCGACAAGGCCGACATTCGACTTGGGGACGTCGTTGTCAGTATGCCGACTTCATAGAGCCCTGGAGTGATCCAGTATGACTACGGAAAGATGATTGGGGATGGCATATTCGAACGTACAGGGATCTTGAACAAACCGCCTACACTCCTTCTGACCGCCGTCTCTAAGCTTCAAGGGCAACATCGGACTGAGGGGTGCTCACGCATGTTATCGTTAATTGATGAAATGATGAGCAAGTATCCGCAGATGAGCCCACGGTATGGGCCTCAAGATTCCGGAAGCGACGTGCTTTTTAAGGCAGACTATGACCACCAGGAGGAGGACAGTTGCCAAAAATGTAACCGAAGTTTCGCAGTGACGAGACCTGCGAGACAATCATGTGCACCGGTTGTTCATTACGGTACGATTGCCTCAGCAAATCAAGTTATGAGGCATGCAGCCGTCAGGGATCGGTTTGCAAGAGACCTAGGAATTCTTTGCTTTGAGATGGAATCAGCTGGGCTCCTTGATAATTTTCCATGTTTAACCATCAGGGGCATTTGTGATTATGCAGATTCGCATAAAAACAAAGAGTGGCAGGAACCTGCAGCGGCGACAGCAGCTGCCTATGCCAAGGAATTGCTGGGCGTCGTTTCACCAACATCTCTGCGCGAGTTACAGACGCATCGACTGCCAAAATCTGTTCTCGAGCATCGGGAACTTTGTCTGAAAGCGTTAGACTTTGACCGCCGAGGACAACGGGGTTTCGCAATTAAAGACGCCTTTTCAGAAACGTGCACATGGTTGCTCGGCCGGCCGGAATTCCAAAAATGGCTGGATAGCAGATTGCTCCATGAGCACAACGGTTTTCTGTGGATCAAGGGCAACCCCGGAACGGGGAAATCAACCTTGATGAAGTTCGCGTTCGAGAACACGAAGCAAAAGACGTTGGATTCAGGCGCCATTGTCATCTCTTTTTTCTTCAATGCGCGAGGAGATGAATTGGAAAAGTCTACCACGGGCATGTATAGGTCTCTTCTTTTTCAGTTGTTCAATGGGTTACCCCGACTTCAAAAAATATTAGACTCGGAAATATCGCCGTCGATGTTAAACTCGGGAAGCTGGTGCCTGGAGCTTCTGCAGTATGTCTTTCGTCTTGTTATTCGGAACATGGCTGGGCAGCCTCTTATATGTTTCATCGATGCCCTGGACGAGTGCGAAGAAAGTGAGGTTCGAGACATGGTCGACTATTTTGGTGAGCTCAGTGAGCTCGCAGTTTCCGGGCTGGTAACGCTTCATGTCTGTCTCTCCAGTCGCCACTACCCGCATGTTACCTTTGACAAGGGACTTGAGATGATTATGGAAGGGCAGAACGGACATGGACAAGACATCACACGCTATCTGGATCGTAAACTAGCGAACATTAAACACAGAGAGATTGCAGAAGTCAAGACGGAGATCATTGAAAAGGCGTCGGGAATCTTTTTATGGGTTGTGATGGTTGTCGATATATTGAAAAGGGCATATGACCAGGGTCGGATGAGCGCCCTACGGAAAAGACTGCGAGAAATCCCTCCGCGGCTCAAGGAACTGTTCAAAGACATCCTGACGCGAGACAAGCAGAATATGGAAGACCTTCTTCTTTGCCTACAATGTACGCTTTACGCGAATAGGCCACTTAGTCCGGGGGAGCTCTTTTATGCGGTACAGTCGCACAAAGAGGACGAGCTAGACTTGATGGAACCACTGGCGGATGATGGTTCTGTCTGTCGCTTTATCCTCAGCTCCTCCAAAGGCTTGGTAGAAGTGACCGAGGAGAGTCAAGAGACCGTTAGGATTACCTTTCAAAGTATCCTCTCCCAAGAGCCCGTTCAAGAAACAGTCCACAAGACCATTCACAAGACCGCTCAGTTTATTCATGAATCAGTCCGCGATTTCTTGCTCAACGAAGGAGGCTTGAACGAGCTCTGGTGGGACACACGTGGTAGCAGAATGCTACCAGGTCACGAAGTCCTTAAAGTCTGCTGCTGGAACTACCTAACAAAAGCGTACTTGTTCAAGGAAAGTAGGTTGCCTGACGATATTCCACCCCAGTGGAGGGGACATGAGACCGCGGCCCTTAGGCAGAACACGTCAAAGAGCCTTCCATTTCTGCATTACGCTGTTAATAACGTTCTGCAACACGCAGAGGCTGCAGAGCAGGCTGGTGTCTCTCAGACCGACTTTCTTTCCTATTTCGATACTTATCAATGGACATACATGCATAACCTATTTGAAACGGGCCGATTTGGGAGGTATGCCGAACGGACGAGACTCACATACATCTTGGCCGACAAAAATCTCAGTCATTTGCTCAAGGCGACGCTTGAGGCTTCGTCCCTCCATGCCATCTTCAATAACTGGGACTGCCGCTACTGTGGAAGTTGTCTGCATATGGCTCGCCATGCTCGTGGGAATACACAACGCTGGGCCTCTCCATTTCTCGCCGCTATGGCCAGGCGCAATCAACAGGTGGTCAGGGTGCTGCTCACAATCAGGTGTACTTCATATGCCACCCAAAAGGAGGACTTGGCCGATCTTTTCTCGCGCCCATCCGGGTTGGAGCTGATGAAAGAACGTAGATCGATCGGATACGATCCTACAATCTTCGAATATGCAATGACGACTCGAGACCTTCCGCTACTGAGGCTAGTGCTCTCAACTGGCCGAGTTGATCTGTCAACAGCCAGAGTTCGAGGCAAGAAGCCTGTGATGTTCGCAGTTGAAACCGGGGATTGTCCCCTGCTTATGACTATGTTGGATTTTGGTGCTGACCCAAATGAACATGACATGTGGACTCTGGACAGTCCTCTCGGTGTTGCTGTTACATTGAAGCAAGCCGACATTGTACAGCTGCTCCTGGAGCGCGGAGCAGACCCTAGCCAATCTGAAGTTTGCCACCGTCTTCCTTCGCTCCATGAGGCGGTCATGATAGACCCACGCGTTATCAACCAGCTACTCTTCGCCAGGGCCAATATGAATGTCCATGTTGCCGCTTGTCGGGAGTGTGTTCCATGCATGCGATGGCTGTTCCAAGAGTGGGTCGACATGAATCCGAACTCTCATGATTCAGGAGGATCTACTTCTCTACATTACGCCTCAAGCCTCGAACTTTGCGATCTCTTGATAGATGGAGGCGCAGATCTCAATGTAAGGGACAATGAGGGAAGAACACCAATATTCTCTCTTGACTACGCAAAAGTACAACTACTTCTCCGCAGAGGAGCCCAAGTCAACATCAAGGACAACAATGGTTACACGCCTCTCATGTGGGTTGCTGGTCTTGAATGTTCTCGGCCACAGCTTATTCAACTTCTGCTCGACAATGGAGCTAATCCAGATGAATGTACTGATCTGGCAGACTCGGTAGATGCTATTGATCCGGGTACCGTTTGAGATAGTTTAAAATGCTCAACTGAAGATATTGTCGAAGGTATGAGATTGATGGTGAAAGGGAAATACTATAAGAGAGCATATAGAGGCGTTTTCGGAGGTTGCTGGTGCTACTCTTTGCGGCACGAAGATGCACCATGTGTAGACTTTCGTTTCCATTCCAGGGCCACAGGAACGCGGTCCAGTTTTTAATTTCGCAATACGTCTTCATCATGGCACTGATGCCACAGTATGACTCGAATCGTTCAGTAGCTTTACTCTCTCGCCATCTCTCAATGGCTGCTTAGTACTGAGGCATGGTTGTCCTCATAAGAGACGCGTGCCCGTTGGGTCATTGGTAGCATTTATATACTTATACATCAAGGCACGACTTGAAATATGCACTTCAAGAGTACACTGACACCGATCACTCCCGTCTCATCAGTATCTCTGTGTAGAAGTGATTTTACCTGGCCCGCCGATTGTAATCGATCGAAGACTCGAATTCTGAGTCATGCCAGCCGATGCCAAGTTTGGTTTACTGTAAGCATGGGACGCCTAACGCAGCATACGCACTACTGGCCCTGATGCGGTGCCTCGTCCTCCAATAATATTCTCACCCTGCCCATGGGCGAGATGCTATTTCGGGCGGTTGGAGCATAATAGTTCTGGACAATATAACGCGCCGTCGCACTTTCTCACTATAATTGGGCGTAAGAAATACTTAAATAGGTCCCTTGCAATCGCGGGGTCAGTGCTGCATCGGAATGACAGCCGTCTACCCTTCTTGATTTTGAGTCGGCACACTCGCTCTGTACGCTGTATATCACCTCGCATTCCCACAATCACAGCTAAAATGATGAGCTGGCTCAAAAACCTATTATCTGGCGACAGCGCCGAAGCAAGAAAGAAATGCAAGAAGCAAGAGCGCGCGGCTCGAGAACGCAGTAAACAAACCAGAAAGCGAGAGAGAGAACTGGGGCGCCGAAGGGGAATAGGTACATGGAAACACCCTATTTCTCAGCCGCTCCAGGTCAGGTATTTCAGAATGGAGACGCCGCAGCATTTTCGGTCCGGAATAATCTTTGCTTTCCTGCTGGATCATGGTCCATCTGATAAGGTATTTTCCCATGGCTATGTGGAGTGCCTTGTATGCCTCGGCGGCGGCTATGTGGGTGCTGCGCCAACCGCTTTGGCGACTCTTCAACTGCCTTAAGGTTGGTTGTGAGTAACAATAAAGTGGATGACGATATATGGACTCAGCATTATAAAGGAAATATGGTGTCGTCTGCACCCTAGCTGGAATCGACCGAGTGTTCGCTCTCGAGCACTTTCATGCTCGATATCTCCCGTTTCTGAACCGAATCTTGAAAAACCTTCCATTGAACTCACGAATGCCGCTCTACGGTTGTGGTGAGAATAGTGACGAATACCTAGGACAACCTCAATCCTGCCTTCGTCGCTCTGTTGGCGAAGAGCATCGTTGTGAGCACAACAATCAAGGGAGAGAGTCTTCATACTGTCCACTATGGCCTCTCAAACTCAGGCCTTTAACAAGGCCCAGCCAGAATATTCGCATCATCAGCTGCGATGATGGGTCCACGTTTGTGCAAGTGGACGATCATTTGAAACATCTTAGCCATCATCCTCTTGACGATGAGGAACTTGCCCTTGTCACGGATGCGATACACCCAAGCCGGATCCAGCAAGCTATTGTGCTGTCGCGAAGCCATAGGGCAGCCTTTCTCTGCAATAACGGGAAGCTGTATATCCTCGTCACGCAGGATGGGGATGATCAATTTACCACGCGAGTGATTTCTATTCCAGGAAAACAAATCTCATATATCGCGGTACGAAGCGCGCGTATACATAACCCGGCCCTTATTTCAGGGGCAGTTGCCCTTGTTCTCGGAAGCGATTCCCGCACAGTTGTCTCCTTCGACTCATGGCAGCCGATGATTGCCTGGTTGACGGACAATGAGACCAAGGAAGCACCCACTCATTCAGTAACATTCGCAGCTCCTATCGTCAAGCTTACCAGTAAATTCGCTGCGCTCGACGAGGCTGGTACTGTGCATGTCTGGGGCGTAAAGAGCACTGTTCAACCCCCCGATCCACCGGACGAGGATGAAGCGTTTGAAGAGGCATGGAATCGCTATGTTCTTTTTGGTGATCCAATCCAACAATGGCCGTCTCGACGACCTGAAGCGCTGGATTACACCCCCCGAAGTTTACCACTGCCGCCTATCAAGAAGCTGGCAACAGGAGGATGTTACAATGCTGGCATCTCTCGTGCGGGACAGCTGTTCATCTGGGGCTACAGATCGGGGAAATGGCCCGAAATCGCAGACGTTAATCCGATGAGCGCTGCCGAGTTCAAGGAAGCTGCCATTAGAAATGATACTGGTAACCGCCTCCAGATCGTCGATTCAGCTGCGGGACGGGCGCATGTTATAGCTTTGGGGGTGGATGGATCGCTTTGGTCTGCGGGCGATGGGCTCAATGGGCAATTGGGCATAGGGACCAGGCAGTTTGGGTTATGTACTGGAGATGGAAATACTGATATCGCGGCTAATGACACTGGTGAGGAGTTTGCCGTTCACTGGCAAAAGATGGATACCGCAGGAATATTGGGCAATGGAGAGAGATGCGAGGCCGTTTTCTGTGAGGGAGATCACACATTGATTGTAGCCAGGAACAATACAGTCTAGGGTTTGATGCGGTTCCTCTAGTCAAGTATGAACGGAAGTACCAGCTTGTGTTCTACTGGCAACTACCAAGGATAAACACCCGTGTTATGCAACAACTGACCAACTTCGTCATCCCGCTTTCCTTCAAGCACATCAATCAACGGCCGCACCGCCTCTGCAGCCGGCTTAGCCCCGTTCTCCGCCGTGTTTCTGTCGCTGAGGTTCGACTGGGTGAAGCCAGGGTCATACGCAAAGACCTTGATAGCCGGACCATACTCTACCCACTGACACGCAGTTATCATATGCAGCGCCGCTTTGCCCACGCGATACTGCAGGCCTGGTACCTTGTACAACACCGAGGACGGATCCAAACGACGCGCGATCGAGCCTGCGCCGCTGGAGATGTTGATGATCCGCGGGGAGCCGGTGGACTTCTTCAGCAGTGGGGCAAAGGACTCCGTCACGACTGCCGGGCCGGTTGCGTTGGTATCGAATTCCTCTCGCAACTGCCGGCGCAGGCTTGTAGTGGTAGCCACTATGGCGGCGTTGTTGACGAGGATGTCGAGTTTCCCGTGCAATTTTTCAACTCTCTCTGCGGCGCGGTGGATTGTCTCGTCGTCGGTGACGTCGAGATGGAGCAGCTCCGGGGTGCCTGGTAGATTGCGGGATTGTAGCCGGGCCAGGGCTGCATTGCCTTTTTGCATGGAACGGACTCCCATGAGGACGTGGTAGGAGTCTTTGGCCGTTAGCTGGGCGGCAAGTTCGAAACCGATCCCGCTGTTAGCTGTTGGTGTTAGCTCGATTCGCCTTCACATGGAAGTTGATAAACGTACCCCCAGTAATAAGTACTATAGTTTTGGGTGCTGCCATTGTAGCTGTTGTGGTTGAGAAGGCACATTTCTCCTGGACTTGCTGGCTTTATAGACATCCTTTTGATGGAGATAGACCCTAAGTGCGTTAAGTCCGACGTGTTTATCATGCTTATAAATGCTTATTGTGATAGTCAAGCTGTTTGATGCCGCCTCATCTACTTTTTCTATGCAGAGGCGTTTGTGATTGGTCCGCTCGTATAAACTTTAGGCTCGCTGGTGCGAAGACAGAATAACAAGTATTATAGCCTAGAAGTACTTGGACTCCGTTTTGTTTACTGAAACTTACACTGGCGAAGAACTATCGTTGTCAAGGACCCTGTATATTCGCTTAGGAGCTTTTCGTACCTGAATCTTTCAAGGACTATGGGTTATCGTGGCTTGTGGGATAGCAGGAAGTTGTGCGACACTCGCTGATTCTATGTATTAGGAGAGACGATAGTTTTGACAGAACCCCCACCAAGGATCAAGGTATCCTCTCTCGTACGAAGAGATTTCCAACATCCCGTTCCTATCGCTCTACAATTATTACATGAATCTCATAGCACGAGTGTCAGCGGGGGTATCCTCGGCAGGACTGCAACATCTAGGCCAACTACAGAGCGATATATGGTACGATGGTCCTTTCTGCCAAAGCTGGATTACTTTGTTCCCTGCCGTACTTCCCCGGGCATAAGACATCGGAATGGCGCCACTCGACCGCTTACTCGTCAGGGGTCGGTTCAGCGGAGGGGTCCTTGACTGGAATGAAACCGATAGGGACCGAGTTCAGGTACGATGCAGGCCAGCGGAGAGGATATATGCTTATTGTGTGAAGAATATGGAATGTGGAATTTTGAGAAAAGTTGGTGAAGATGGACTGCTTACCTGTGACAATATACTAATACCTGAGAGATGAGTAACATTCCGAGGGCATGACTCGCTGGGTAACTGTCATTTTTCTTATCAGAACGGCTCCAGCTACATATGACCTTCATGTGCGAAAGGACTATCAGCAGAGTCCTATGTGACGGAGAATCAAGATGATCATTCCGCCTTCCCCGCATTTCCTCCTGCAGCGTGAGTTGGCATGTGCTCATACCAAAAAGGAATTGTGCGATCCGCTAATGGGCGATGATATCATTACAAGGAAGCCATTAAGGAAGATCACAAGGCTTATATCCCAAGGCTAAAGGCAAATATGATGACTGTTACCCCGCATTTCTGTCTTTGGGAGCTCTTACCGCAGGGGTGCGTAAAGCGATTCTCGAGGGCATTCAAATGTTACACTGCATTCTAAAGAAATAAAGTGCCAGTCGTAGAGGCTGTGAGTACAATATGATCCACGGATCTTCGCTGTCAAACCAAGTCGAGGATCCTGGCCGGGTTGCCCCAGAAAGCCTCGATCGAATATGATCGATGGACCAGGATAGGATCCTTGTATCTGTCGATCAATCTGAGTCAGAATGACGGAAGTCAAGGATATTAGCGTGCAGCCGACAACACACCATCTTTACCGTAGTATCTTGGCTGGCTGCACTGTTGGAGAAGACTTGATAAATGAGTCAGGCGTGCCACGGTGCCAGATATCTGCTGACACATGGCTATAACAGGTATTGCTATACATCATATCCAGCTCATAGTTTGATAGAAGCGGAGTTGTAGCTAAGTTGTACGTCTTTTTCTGACGACAATGGCGAGGCCCGGCTCGAAGATTAAGAGTAATCTGATCGCATGGACCATGGTAAGACTATGGCGGGATAAACCTACAAGCTGGTAAGACAACGGAGGGCTGAAGCCACCCAAAGACACCTCAGAGTTAATCTTAATCCAATGAGGTTTATTAGTCGCAGAGGAGATATGTCATCTACTCATCTTGACTCCATTTTGTGCGATCCCCATGGCCCACTCGGACCCACTATGATACACATCAACCATGACTCGCTAGACCCGTTGGATCTATCTACTGACTGTTTTCCTACTGATCCTTTCGGAAATGGTCGATTGGAAGATTTACCCACTCGGACAATGCACTCGACTGGATGCATTTAGCAAGCGAGGCATGCATCACTAGTCCCGTAGATAATCCGATAGATAAAGTGCAAAGCAGAATGGCGGTCTGAGGTCACACGAACTGACAAATAATGTCAATGAAGAATAAGAAAATACTATCAAAGGTCGATAGTCTCTCCCGTAAGTCCTTAGATTTGGCCAGATCCCGATCGGCGGTCATCAGGTAAGGCTCAAAGAATTAGTGTACTTAGTTCCAACCTGCACTTCCAACGCCTCGACTTTCATTCGATTAGCATCCGTCATGCCAGTACTTGGTGCCTTACTCCACTTCCGCGTTGGCGTTGTGACTGCAGGCTCATCATTGGGCCAAATCGCGACATTGTCCGCGATAGGACACTCCTTGGGCCACTGTGCATGGCCGGCTCCAACTTTTCCGACTCTGCGCCCGGTCATCTGCGGGACAAAGGGGTCGCCTGGATGAGGGATATCTTGGCTTGCGGGAGGTTGCCGTGAGGGCTGCGATGGCTACATTCAGTCCAAAGGCTGACAATATGGGGTAAATTCCCGAAAGATTCCTCTGGCGCCAAGTGGGCCAGGAATGACTTAAATAGAGCTGTTCGCCCCTGTGCAACCTTTTTGAAATCAACATAACATGATATTGAGTAGAGGCACCAAACCAAGGTTCGCCATGTATCTATATACGCTCATCCTCCTCTTCCTGGCGTCCGTCAACGTCAACGCCTACGCAGACCCCGGTGCCTGCTCGGGCGACTGCTGGACCCATGATCCTGGTCTGTACCAGCGTAAATCCGACGGGAAATACTTTCGCTTCGCAACGGGTGGAGGCATCCATATCGCCTCGGCGGACAGCCTCGAGGGCCCGTGGACGGACGACGGCTATGTCCTACCCAATGGCTCCTCCATCAACTTGGACGGGAAGAACAACCTCTGGGTATGCTCCCTTTCCCTTTACCTAAGTCTTGTCGCGCCTAACATTCCAGGCCCCCGACCTGCACTACCGAGATGGGACATACTACCTCTACTACGCGGTTTCAACGCTTGGCTCGCAGAACTCGGCCATTGGAGTTGCGACCTCCGAGACCATGGAAGCTGGCAGCTGGACCGACCACGGCTCCACCGGTATCCAGTCCACGTCTGCCAGCCCGTACAATACCATTGACGCCAACTGGATCGCCGTCGGCGGCACCCAATACGTCAATTTTGGCTCCTACTGGAATAACCTGTTCCAGGTGGAGATGGCCAGCGGCCTCAAGATGAAGAGCGGCGCCACGCCGCACCAGATCTCTTACAATGCCAGTGGGATCCATCGCCAGGAGGCGGCCTTCATGTTCGAGCGCAACAATTACTTTTACTTGACCTTCTCCGGAGGTGTTGCGCTGGGTTACAATGATACTTGGCCGGCTCCGGGCGAAGAGTACCAAATCTCGGTTTGTCGGTCGACCTCGGCCACGGGGGGATTTGTACGTGTACCTTTGCCTCTGTATACCGCTCCCTGTTGATGTTGACAACGCGTAGGTCGACAAGAACGGTGTTTCGTGCCTGAACAGTGGAGGAACCCTTTTGCTCGCCAGCCATGATTATGTCTACGGTCCGGGCGGACAGTAAGTCACCCCTTATTGAAGAAGGTAAAGAATGAACTAATGTCTGTGCGCAGGGGCATCCTCGACGACCCAAGCAAGGGGTTTGTCTTGTACTACCACTATGCGGACACACGCATCGGCAAGGCCGTCGAGAACTACCAGTTTGGATGGAACCAGTTGACGTGGGAGAACGACTGGCCTAGTGTCTGATCTCGAACCATTTTCTTTTTCATCATACATATCCTTTTTTCATATATATTTAGTAATTGTTAATATTGGTTTTGATTATTCAAGTGTTCAGCCACTGCGCCACTCTGGAGTGCGGAATGCGATAAATCTGCAAGGGGTGAATATATACTTTCGCTCTATTGGTCTTAGTCAGGGACGAGAAGAACCTACTCCGTATAATTGAGGGAATTCAATCTCAGGCCCGGCATTTGTTGCTTTTTTTAATGGATTATGATTCATAGAACTGCTGAGTGAAATTGAGAGAGGCTGTTCAATCTGCCCTGCCATTCTCTTGCATCACGGAAAAGAGATATCAGAACACTAATCTTTATAATACCCCACATAGCATATCGTAAATTCACGTGTTGAGTGCTAAATAGACGGAAAGAATCCTTCACAGACAATCTCACCTCAAGGACAACATCAGCACAGCTTCATCTTAACGGACAATTTGGTAGGTAAATCTCTAACCAGGATATCGAGCAGCTGGTGATGAAATACATACAACCATCAGCGTCTCAGCCCAATAGTGCTCAGATCCGCATCCAACTCAAAAGTTTCTTTTTTAGCCATCAACTCGGTTACATCCCAATGGCTGGCCAAGAACCTTCCTTTCAAGAAAGCTGCCTCCTGGCCAGCTAACCAGACAACAAATTGGCCTGGCAGGTCTTCGTCGTCCCAATCAAGCATATCTTTAGTCATCCCTGCCGCAGCAGCTGCCTGAGTCCAGACGGCGCCAGGATGTAAAGTATAAACACGTAACTCCGGGTGCTCATTTTGCACATGACGCATCAAAAACGAGAATGCATCTTTGCTAGCGCCGTACGGGCCGGTTTGTGGAAAGGGCATATAGGATGCATAGCTGGTAAAATCCACAATGACCTTGCCTTCCTTTCTCGGCGCATCGAGGAACGTATTCACGACATTCAGGTTGCCGAACACGTTTGTTTCGAACGTTGTCTTCACTTCTGACAACGGAGTCTTGGACAGAGGTTTGTCGGCCTTTATAAAGGCGGCGCACATGACAAGCACATCAACATCTTTGTTTAGTGCAGTCCGTCGGACAGAGGAGAAGACCTTCTGAATCTCGGCGTCGTCTGTGATGCTCCCCGCATACGTGAGGAATTGGGTGTCTGGAAATGCAGCAGAGAGTTCTGAAGCTGCATTCTTGAGGGTTTCCTCCCGACGCGCAAGAAGCACAATAGTTGACGCTCCAGCGAGGGCAAAGTTTCTGGCGACAGCGAATCCGATACCCGTCGCGCCACCAGTAATCAAAATCGTCTTCCCGGCAGCAGAACTGGATGGCCTCCGAGGGTCGATTGCAGGGTACGGCGCTCGGTGCAGAGTTGAAACGAAAGATAGCTTATCGCTGACGTTCATATTGTGGTCAGAGGGTTGCGATTTCGAAAGTATAGAAGTGAGTGAGTGATATTGACACGGGCTTCCTGCCCCCAGTCTTATATATCTTTAAACCATGGTCTAAGCAGGGAAAAATTCGTGACTTTCTACTTATCAATCAACACATATAACGATTAGTTGTAAGCAGACCAATTTGTCTTTGGACGATTAGTAACTTACTGTGTTGACAAAATCCATATAACGATTTATTGGAGCCAAGATCCGCCTCTTGTTCAGCAAGTCCACCAATCATACGTGGATTTGACCTATGCGGGGCACTTAGCACCAATAGCTATTCAGATACTCCGTCGTCACCTCCTCCTCAAATCATCTAAATAATAAAAGTGGTAACATACGCAACTTTCTATAACGATATCCCAATATCGCTAATCCAGACACAATAGAACACTTCGTGTTTAACGATACCGGCCTATTCCATTAACGACTTCACTGGAATTTGCCTGAAAAGTACGTGTTGTCGGTTAAGCATGCCTCGCCAAGCGATAACCATTTCCCAAAAGGCCTCGCTCCGGGCTTATCACGAATCAAATCCCTCCCTCGACCACAAAGCGCTACGCCAGTGGTTTCACCAACAGTACGACCGAAACATTTCCCAGTCAAGTGTCTCGGAAATCCTACCATCACGATATCAAAGCCTTGATACCCCGATGCAGCGGAGCTGCCTCCATAGTGCAAAAAGACGCCGTGTAGAACGCTGGCCTCTAGTTGAAGCTGCGCTCCAAGAATGGCTCGAGGAAATAAGCGATCAAACAATAATAACTGCTGATCTGCTACGAGAAAAGGCTCGGTGATTCTTTCAGAGGATCCCAGAGTACCGAGGGTTGAGCCTACCAAAATTCAGCGACAGTTGGATTCTGGGGTTCAGAGCTCGACATGCAGCATCATCGCATATTTCGGAAGAGAACATCCATGGGGCTAGTCATACGCCTTCTGACCAACGTTCCCGCCAAATAAGGCACAAGTTGTCCGCGTATCAGCCTAAAGACCAGTATGTGTGCGCTGTGGCGAGTCTCTATTGGAAAATGCTTCCAGAATCTGCTCTTACTAGAGTACCCATTTGTCGACTGGAGGAAAAGCGAACGCGATTTACGGCTCTACTTTGTACGAATCTCGATGGTTCCCATCGCCTGCCGCCTTGGTATATTGGCAGAAACCCTAATCCTCGTGCCTTCCATTCTGTGGGAGACTGTACGCTGTCATTGGGCATGGTCTGGAGACACAATATCTCAGCCAAGATGACAAGAACACTTTTCAGAGAGTTCCTGCACTGGTTTGACGATAATTTGAAGGACAGGAAGGTTGTTCTTCTGCTGGATACACCTTTAGCGCAACGATTTGTTTCCTCCAATTCCCGGCCACAAGATTCTCGAAGCCTTGGCCTTACAAACATTACTATTATATGGCTACCAACGGCCTGGATGGACGCATACAATCAACTCAGGCAAGAAGTAACGAGGATATGGAAGGCCTTCTATCGCAGATACTGGGTACAATATGTTTGCAACCAGCTCAGTGCTCACCGAAACCCGCTCACTACCATGAATATCCTGAAAGCTGTAAGCTGGGCTTGCCGTGCTTGGCACATTGATATGGACTCGCGAAATATCCGAAATTGCTCCAGGATGTCTGGCTGGCTTGGAATTTCCTCCGCGGATCAAGCTGAGGAAGATGAGGAAGAATATAAGGCGGCCAAGCAGCAGCTACGGGACACAGTCGAAATGCTCGCACAGATGAATTTTTTGCACAAGGCTATGGAGATTGATACTTTCATAAGTCCTCCATTTGAGTCTCCTGAGGGGGCATGGATCGAGGAGGAGCAGATGCAAACTCAAACTGGCTCCGTCGAAATTCCAGAGGGAGACTCAGAGCGGGCTGAGGACAGTATTGCGGCTTCCATTATTTACCTTGGCCACTGAGATGCCCAATCTGTCGAGCATCATTTACAGGATATGTTGCATGCTACCCTTTTTCAGGATAAAGCGTATATATTGTGTTGCAGGTCTAGTTCAATGACTCGAGTTTAAGCACGGAAGCGCTTGGTCCCGCGCTGCTTTCTCCACCATACACTGTTGTTGTACTGCACTTGGAGCTCTGTCGAAATCCTCTGCTTCTTCTAGCTGGTAGTGATTGGCAACTAGGACTGGTAATTTAAGAGCTTAAATAATACGATGTCACAATCTGATCGGTAGTTACCAGACGTCGCGCGATTGGCCCGCTCTCTCAGTACAACACGGTTGGAGACGGAAAAAGTGTGCCCTGTGGGCTTCGCAGGCGTGACAACTGGATTCGCAAAAAACCGAGCTCATCTGCCTCATCAGGGAAAGGGGCAGCCAGATTTCGTTCAATAGTACCTGTGTCTTTGGTCGTGGAGTGCCATGTTGGATGCCATCGTTTGCTTCAACGGCGTACGGTGGATAGCCACCAAATTCACGAACCTCCCATTATTAATACTCTATTTCCATGAAGTATGGCCTGCGTAATATCTGTATGTCCCTTCCTGGGTTTGAAACACTTGCTCTGGATGGATATTGGACCAGCTCCACCAACGTAAACTGGTGTAAACCCCGGCCGTGACTACTGGGAGAAACTTATCTGGCATGGCCGTTGACTGTCGGTTTATGGCAGAGGACAAACAGTGATAACCTATAGTGAGAAAGAAGAGCCCCATCGAATGAAGGGTCACCAGAATATTTGAAGCCTCTACAGAGTACTAGTTTTTGGGCTCAACGAGGCAGTGCAAGGACACAATACGAGCGCTAGCGCACAGCCGCCACCAGACAACAAGTAGACGAAGCTTGGAGCATTTTCTGATGGACTTTAGAATACGAGTTGTTCCGCCGCTGGACTTGCGACAACAAGTAAATGTCCCACGGCCTTAATCATATATGCAAGGGCTACTGTGAACTTCCATGATGCCTCTACAACTCGAAGCACTCCCGACAGAGGTCATATTGTCAATAACCACTCATATCACCAGCCACAAAGATCACTTCCATTTCGCCAGATGCTGTCATCGTTTGTTTGACATTGTATACCCGTGTGCATTCTGCTCGATCGAACTAGCCGAGTACTGCACGTCGGACCTCAGCTGGCTGATTCATTTCCTTTTGCATCGACAGAAGGCTCGCCTCAGCGTGGAGAGCCTTATGCTAGGTCGGCCGGTCTGCTGTTCCAAAAAGCATGTCCGCTCGAAAGATTTGCCTACACTAGACGATAAGATTGTCGCAGAAGTCAATGGCTTGGTCAATTCCTATACTGGGTGGAGCACTTGGCAGAAAGAGCTCTGGAATAAAGACAACTGCGATGCATGGCTTGCCCTCCTGCTCTACATTCTGCCTAACCTGCGGTCCATCGAATGGGTTTGGACAGAATCCAGGACCCGGTACGCAGCAAAATTAGTAGACGAAGTGATCTTGCGTCGGCACCAGTTCGACGGGAGTGGCCCGTTGGGCAAACTTGAAAAGGTGTTTGTCAAGGGCACTGGCAGAAGAGCCGGTATGATTGGGTTGAAGAAAATCCTGCCCTTCGTCTACCTGCCTTCGCTGCGCGTATTCTCAGCTCAGATGGTTAAAGACTTTGATCGGATTCTTCCTGAAACGAAGAATGGCGCGTCGACCGTAACGCATCTCGAGCTCCGGCAGAGTACCACGCGAACGGGATTCGAGCGCTTGATACGACTCTGCACCGGCCTGAGGTCGTTCAAGTACTACTATGAGCCAGGTCCATCGATGTTGGTAAGGACGGCCACGGTCATGTCCCACCTGGAAACGAGGAAGGAGACTCTTGAGACACTGTGTCTGGACTCGGATTCCTACTCTATGCTGCAAGGATTTGAGAGACAGCACCAGTGGGTCGGATCGCTGCGAGATTTTCGAAAATTGAAAAATCTTCAGCTGCAAATGGTTCACTTTTTTCAAAACGATCAACTGCTCCCTCCAAGGAGGTTGGTAGATCTCCTTCCCTCATCGCTCGAGACTTTCTGCGTATCAGGATGGTGGCATGAGAATGAGGCGATCGTGTTGGCTGAATTGATGGATCTGGTGCATGCAAGGGATGAATTCCCTCATTTGTCAGAGATGACTATCCAAGGGAGATTCCTTACCAAGGAATTGTTGCCTGGTGAAATAATGAATTATCAGTCATGGCCAAGGCCCCTGCCGATGATTGACGGGAGGACCTTGGAAGACAGGATCCTCGAGGTGACAGAGCCATTGCGTTCTAGCTGCAACAAAATAGGCGTCTCTTTTTCTATCAAGGATCATGGGGTCGAGACTAGGGCACAAGGACATAAGGATCCACCTGTCCCGGATCTGCTTCCCTTATTCCGACAAGGAAGTTCAATCTGGGTTTGATTCATTGCGCAGTAGGGTTAAATTCGCTGTACGCTACGGAGTATAATATGCTACGGTCCGTGCAGGATCTGTCCGATGGATCAAGGACCAGGAGCGGGTGCCTAGAAAAATTGATAATAGTAATAACATAAGCAATCCATGAGCGACCCACAATGATTCGGAATTAATTCCGTAAGCTATTTCTCCTTGTTAATCATGCCCAAATCTGACTGATCCCTGCCCAAATATGGCCCCGCTTGCAAGTGGTATTCACTATAAAGACGCAGTCTGGCTTCATAATTGTCAACATTCAATTCTCGACGCGACTTTAACTATCAATCCACAGCCGTAATACACTCCACCCTTCAGACACAATGGTCCTCAAGCTCCACGGATCCCTCTGGTCGACCTGCACGGCCCGCGTGCGCCTCGCGCTCGTTGAGAAGGGTGTCGATGCCGAAATCCTCAATGTCGACCTGGCCAAGGGAGAACAACGAACGGAGTCTTACTTGGAAATGCAGCCATTTGGCAAAGTGCCTGTCCTGCAGGACACCGAGACAGGCGTTCAGGTCTTCGGTACCGTTCCCAGGCAGCAATTACTCTACTCGTGCTAATTCTCGCCCCAGAAAGCAGAGCCATTGCTCAATATATCATCGCCAAATACCGCGGCCAGGGAACAGAGCTTGCTCCCACGGAGTCTGATCTGAAAGCCTATGCTCTGTACCAGCAGGTATGTCCGACATTCAACTTTTACGGAGAAGTACTGACAACCCAGGCCATTTCCATGGAACTCTCATACTTCGATCCCCTTGTCTCACAGCTCGCCTACGAAAAGGTCTGGAAGTCCATGAAGGGCCAGGGCGAACCCGACGAAGCGCGCGTCAAGGCGCTGCTTGCGCAACTCGACCAGACTCTCCAGGGCTACGAGCGGGTGCTTTCCAAGCAGAAGTACCTTGCCGGTGACCAGCTGACGTTTGCGGATCTGTCGCATCTGCCGTACGGTGTGTTTGTGGAAAAGTTTGGGTTCGCGGACTTGATTGCAAAGTACCCCCATTTCCAGAAATATTGGGAGGAATTGAAGACCAGGGAAAGCTGGAAGAAGGTTTCAGCTTCGTCGAATTAGTTGCCGCTTGTTTACGTCGTGAATGTAGCATTGAAACTATTACGGCACGGAATGTAAATTACATTGGATATATGAAAATCGAATCTGACTGGATTCAAGATTGACTCCCATTCCTGCCGTCTGCGGACTACAGCGTATACTTGAATCCAACCCACCAATAACCGATGCCCCCCTGTCCACTCTCTCCGATTCTCCATTTGCATCGGCACGGAAAGCAATCCAACCAACTCTACACTTAATGCTGTCAGCCCAATACACGTCAGAATCCCTGGTCGATAACCCGGGGCATCCTCGGCGCGAAACACCAGCGATCCGGTCATCCCCCCACACCAACAAAGACGGCGTGGCAGATGGCGCGTTTCCACTGCCTGCGAACATTATTCGCCTTCCCATCATGAGTGACATTCATATGAGAGCAGAAAGACGGAAGACACACACCTGGTACGCCATTGCGGCGGGAACACTCGAATTCGCCCCCATGGTGGCCACAGGGCAGAAGCATGAATTAAATTACCAGTCTATTGGCTAACCTATTTCTGCGCATTATCCCTGGCAATCTGCGCATTCAGCAAATTCATCAACACATCCGGCGCGTCAAACTTGTCCATAAAAACCTCCACCATCCGCAGTCCTTTGCCATTCACCAGCTGTTCATCCTTCAGCACGGCATTACAATCCGCCCAGGTGCGAATCTCCCATGTCCGCGACGCATACTCGCCCTCTTGATCTGCGCCGAACAGCTCCGGGGCCTTGAGATACCGCCATCGGGCGACATCGTTGTACGACTGGTTCCGGCCATGGATGCACCGCTCGATGGTATAGCCATCATTGTTGATCAAGAAGACAATGACGTTGAGTTTGTGGTGGATGATAGTGCTCAGCTCTTGAACGGTCATTTGGAAGCTGCCGTCGCCGATGAAGAGGATTGTTCGGGCGGTGGAGAGGTTGTGGTACTCGTTTCGCGCGATCATATCTCGCTGCGCGTAGCTCGCTCCCAGAGTAGCCGGAAGCATGTATCCGATGGACAACCAGGTGACTGGCTTGAAGAGACGGGTCTGTGGCGGGAGGACAAAGTCATTGGCGCCGTAGCCGGGCGTTCCCGTTTCGCCGAGGACGATATCACCGGAGCGGAAGAAGGGTGACAGTCGTCTCCAGAAGCCGGCAGCCTGTGTGACGAGGTCGGTAGGAGGCACTTCTGGGAGTACCTGGGCCGAGGGGTGGACCAAGTTAGGTTTGTGTGCGGGGATCTTGGATGTGTCCAGTCGCTGTGTGAGCTGCTGGATGAAATACTTGACTGGGAGATCACGGTAAATGTCTTTATTGACTTGCACAGAGGTTGGATTGAGTAGGACACTCGTCTCGTCCTGCGGTCTCACCAAGAAGATGTAGGTGTTGGTGTTGCTAAAGTGTGGTCCGAAAGCCAGGACCAGGTCACACGAGTCGACGAACTCTTTGTAAGCTGGCCTATACACTCCATAGACGTTAGGTAGAGTTTCGTCAACTAACCCTTTGCCGAAACCGGATGTAAATGTAGGCCAGCCTGTCGTCTTGACAAAATGGTTCACTTCATTGACAGTACCAAATGCTCTTGTCTCTCCGTCAACCAGAATCATGGGCTTCTTCGCATTATAGATCCTCTCCAATACGGCAGTCAAGGCCGTCTCCTCCACCTGCAGCTGGCGCACGGGAGGCGGGATCTCGATCTTCGACGCCAACCCCGCTGTGGGAACAAGCACAGGCACCATGTCAACGGGGATAGTAATGCGCACCGGTCGACTGTGCAGCAGACATTGCAGCAGAATCCTGTCGATCTCGGCAGGCGCCGTGCGGTGATCACTCAGACTGACTTGCGCTACCGTCACATGTTCCTGCATGCGGTCAAACCGCTGGTATTCGCCATCAATAAAGGTATGATGGATCATTGCGCGCGACTCCTGCGAGGCGCGCATGGGAGTCCCGACAATGTGTACGACTGGGGCTCTCTCTGCATAGGCGCCTGCGATGGCATTGACAGCGGATAATTCGCCAACACCGAAGGTGGTCACCAACGCACCAATACCTAAGTAATCAGCGCCCCGTCAGAGCAGGATGAGGGAAGGAGAGTAAGTACCTTTGATCCGGGAGTATCCATCCGCAGCATACCCCGCGTTAAGCTCATTGCAATTTCCAACCCAGTTGAGTCCCGAGGGTACGACATGATCCAGAAGGGTCAGATTGTAGTCACCAGGTACACCAAATATAGAGTCTACACCCAATTGAAGCAGACGTTTGAAGAGGTATTGGGCGAGGGGTAGAGTGTCGCCTTCCATTTTGAGTCCTATATTCTGACCGTGTATTACCTGCTCTTTGGTGCACCCTTGAACAATACTTTTGAGCCGTTCCTGGATATATGACAGAAGGAAGATCAACAATGGGGAAACTGCGACATCAAAAGATGCGGGGGGTGATACACGCTAGTCCACTTTGGGGCATCCTCGGCTGGCCATTACTCAATCAGATCTCAGATTCCGCAGCTGTGATTGGCTGCTCCTCGCCGACATTCGATAAGCCCCCGCTCGGCGATAACAACGGAAGGCTAAAAAGTGATGCCTCAGGATTAGATCCGATACTAAGCGGGGGATATGGCCTAAGGCCTGAACGCCGAAAGCCGACATGATAATGTCAATGGCATCAATAATAGCACATGGTTGATGTATGTGTCTTGCAAACGTGAATGGGGCTACGTGTAGGTCGGTCATTTGTATATATACTAAAAAAATCATCTCCAAGATGGATGAGCAACAATTCAAACAGGATCACAACCGTCATTACCGATATATACATCTAAAATCATGGCAGTTGGATCAACCACGACGCACCGACTCAACGACAGCAGAGTATCGGGTCTCTGGGCGATTTCAACCCCGTCATGGTGACCTCAGTGATTGGGAACGAGCTGTCAAAGGCGCCCGCAACATCGTCGAGGCATTCTCTGCGCTCCCAACGCAGACCAGCGCATTCGCGACTTTGCCATCCTGGGCAAGTAATCTCACAAGCCCTTTCTTCTAGCTACTGCTAACTCTTCGCAGTCGCCGAACGGGGAGTCGTCTTCTTCCGTGCCCAGGGTAATCTCACCAATGACCTGCGAAAGGAACTCATCCTGCGCATGGGAGATCTTACCGGCCGCCCATCCGGCCACGGCCTGCACATCCACCCCGTCACCGACGACGCCCGCGAATTCGGCGATGCAGACCCCCAGATCAGCACCAAAACTCGGAGGGCCGCAAGACGGTCTACAAGGGATTCGACCACACGAAGATGGCGGCTGTCTGGCACAGCGATATCTCGTCCGAGAAGGCCCCGCGGACTTTTCAGTTGGCGCCTGGGCAACTGCCCACGGCTGCAGGCGACACGCTCTGGGCATCCGGGTATGAGATCTACAATCGGATCAGTAGGTTCTACCGGGCGTTTCTGGAGACGTTGACTGCCACCGATGCGGGTGTGGGGTTTCAAAAAGTTGGCGCAGTCGGGCAAGTTCCAGCTGTACGAGAAGGAGCGCGGGGCGCTGGTGAATGTGGGAGGGGGATTGTCGGCTGTCCATCCCGTTGTCAGGACAAATCCGATCGCCGGGTGGAAGTCGATTTTCCCATAGGTAAGTGTGGTCTTTTTTTTTGGAGTTGTTTATGCCGGGGAGTTGACGGACTACCTAGGCTCCTTTCCTGTGCAGATCAATGGAAAACGAGCAGAGAGAGCGCGAACATGCTACAATGGTTCCATGACATGATCACCTACGGACATGATCTCCAGGTTCGCTTCAAATGGAACCAGCCGAATGATATTGGTAGGTGGTTTGGACCTCGTCAACTTCACTGTCAACTGACTGGCACTGGCTAGCAATCTGGGACAATCGCAGGGCCTTCCACACTGCCACAGGCGATCATGAAGGATTCGGTCCGAGGAGCGGTAACCGTGCCGTAGGCGTGGGTAAGATTCCATACTTCGGTCCCGCAAGCAAGTCGCGCAGAGAGGACCTAGGTATTGAAGATAATCTTGCCCCTTGTCATTGGTAGTTCTCATATTGTGGTCTGCACTCCGCCGGTTGTACTGAAGTAATCACTCGGTTCCAAATGAAATTTACCATTCACTACTGCTTCGTAAGTTACGCAAGTCACCAAGCAAAGCCATCCAGCAGGGGTAGATTGAAACCGTCTCCAGCCCAAAAGTCTTTGGTGAAGATCCCCGTGAACAGATTTCGCATGTCTAGAGGATCTACGTGTTCCCGAGCCTCTGCCGAAAAGGGTGCGGTGTGCGAATCCAAAATACTCGCCGTAGGATTACTGGAGCTCTCGAGAATGGTCAGGGTTGGTATCTGCAGCGCCTCTCCTCCCACTGTAGGCTGGTTCGGTATACACAAACTACCAGAGGACGCCTCATTGACAAAGTCCCTCGCTTGGTTAATTGCATTCTCTAAGCCGTCGCGACATTTTCTCAGGCTGGGATTTCGCTCAGCCATGACGAACAGCGCGGACGAGCAGGCGCAGAGTTCGTTTGCAACGCTCGTTGTCCACAGACGGGGAGATCGAAACAGACAGAAACTAAGTGAAGAGTTTCTTCAAGCTCGCTACTCTCTATCCTCGCCAGGATTTTGGTAAGTTGGCTCATGTGTTCGTCGCTTAGACCCGTAAGGTCGTGTCTGTTTCAGCGAGAGTACATAGTTGCCTTGAGCACATCTGGCACGTCGTTCATCTCGCTTGTCATTTTTTCGAGGTCTGTTCGAATTGAGATAATGCTCGACACTGGAAGTCTACAAGGCCGAGGGATGCCGGTTTTTTAAAAGCCTGACAATGATACGCCTTTCGTGTTTCCAGGTATCTGGGCTAATAGGATAAAGACATGCATAGGACATTAAGAGCTCGTGAGATCCACAGGTGCTGAGATCCTTAGGTTCATCAGGAAGTGTGTAAGAAGCGTTAAGGGCCACACGGCATGGCCAGTGCTGTATTAAGGAAGCTGGTGGATGGGAAGCAGACTCCCTTCATTTCGCGTTCATGTGTGTCCTTCGTTGGGCCTGCCACTCCTTCTCTGCTGCAGCCCGACGCGCAGCCACCAGATCCCACCGGGTGCCAAAAAAGCTGTCGCATATCCCTGGACTGCCGAAACCATCAGAAAATGAAACATTTGCACGAGAATGATGTTCGCCGTGAGCGCGATTATCGACAAAATCTCGGATCAAAGCAGCAACATTTGGAGTCCAGCTCGACAACTGCCCCTTCCCTCCCATGAAGTTCTTTGGTGAGAACACTGCAGCAAAATCGTACCCCGAGTGCTCGTAGACACCACCTATAGCGCCTGAACCCGCGACAAGAGAATGGAAGAGAACATCTGCGCCGCCGCCTCCCACCAGCGCAAGGGGGACAAGATACGGCAGGACAATCTCGAGAAAGAAGTCCGGCGCGGACATGTAGCACGCGCTGATTCCCCGACTGGCTCCTGTTGAGTGATGCAGCGAGTGCTGCAGCAGGCGCATAAGTCGCAGGTTCGGATTATGCAGCAGATACCGATGAGTGAGGTATTGAACCACGTCATGACCGATGGCCATGGCCGGGAGCGACAGGAGAAAGTGTAGGGGATGCAGGTGCGTTGGCCCCACGAAACAGTAGCCTATTGTCTGTACGAACATCATGGTTGGAAGTAGAATGAAACACTGATTGAACAACACTCGTGGCAGCATCTGCATGTACGGCTTGCGGTCAACATCGCGGACCTTCAGATGTGGCATGCTGTTGGTGCGGTCGCACCATTCAAAGACGAGTCCGGCGGCATGAAAGGCAACCTCCTGGACAAACCAAGCGTAGATTGATAGGGGTAGCCAGCTTGGTAGGATCACTTCCATGGTGATTTTCAGATGTGGTGGTCCAATTCTACTGGGAGTGAGACGGACTGAGCGGGCTGGACGGGAATGCAGATGTCCAGCCCGCATTTATTCAGACCCTGAAGGAGAACTTGCACTTCCGACATTTCCGGCCCAAAGGCTCATGACTCGGCCCGTCGTGATGTATGATCATTGCTAGTACTAAAGTATCTTTTACTGCAAGCATCGAGAGGGTGGAGGATGACATCATCCACATGCTGTCTTAGTCACAATTTGCTCGAATGCGCGCTTTTACCTCATTGCTGCAATCTAGACTACAGTAAGGTAAGCATCCATATCATTGTAATACTTTCCCAGTCGCGGGAAATGCCATTGTTGATTGTGATAATCCATGGATTGCAGATATGATGGCCTTACCCTATCCACAGAGAGGTATATCCTTTGTTCTCCCACTTTCCGCAGTGATCGACCTCCCCTTCCCGCTCTTGGCAAATGAATGGGTACGTTGCCCCACGTGTTAAATCGTGTCGCTAACATTCACATTTGGACACTAAGTCTAACGGCCATTATTGTAGATCCTGTTCAAATAGTCAACCGTGTTTGGCTCAATTCAAATATGGAGTAATGATTGGTTGTCTACTGAATGAGATGTGGCATGTGACATAACACCAATGGGACTCTGAGATATCCACAAGGGTGAACAGACAAAACTCAGCAGCTGAATTCTCCTATCATACCGCTAGAAGTATACAAGCACATCATACAGCTAATATAGCCCCATTCAACCTGCTGGCCCTTGACTGTTCCATCGCAAGACAACACCCCCATCGCACCAACCTTTCCAGACCCGCCAAACTGTCTGACAGAGTCAGTAATGATATCAACAATGTCCTGAGCACCAACGTTGAAGTCGATGTTGCCGTTCTTCCCCTGGCCCTGGACCCCAAAGGCGCACGAGCCGAACTGCATGAGCTGGTGCTGATTGCCGATCGCGTTCTCGACCTCCCAATCGCCGTCCGTGTTCTGGATGTTCACGATCTGCATGCAGTCCGACACGCTGGGGGAGGCATCGCTGGTCTGGTCGACAATCGTCAAGTCGCCGCAGTGGTCTGGTGCCTGGTGCGGGATACAGGGGTAGTTGGGCACATTGGTGTACGGCCCGCCGGACTGATCCCAGGTTGTAAGTGCTGGTGTTTATTGAGAAGTCCCAACCGCCAAAAGACAGGATCTTCTTTGGGCCCGGAATTTGCATGAAGTTCTGGAACTCATAACTGGTGAAATCATCTTGGAACATGACTTGATAGTCCTCTGTGAGAGTTCCGAACGCAAAGTGCAGATGCGTATACTTCCATCCGTCGATCTGCAACGCGTCCTGGTAGAGACAGTCGCGACTACTGAAGCTATAACCCTCAAAGTAGGCGATGCTGCGGAAGACAAACAGGGGCATCACCGCGGACCACCTCCATTCCACAGTTGGAAATAAAACCATTGGTGCCTTTCTCAGCAGTCCCTGGCGCTCCAGTACCTGTGTCAGTGCAGAATTCGGCCGTGGTGCCACACTAAAGTCATTTGTTAGTGATTTATTTATGGGGTCAAGGAGATGGAACGAACCTGGCCCCAAACGTCACAACATGCATTCTGGGGCAAGTGATTCCGGGGCAGTGGCGATGAGAAACAAACCTATATTTATCGCCATACTCCCAAAGAAAAGAACTTCCTTTCTGTATGCCCCATCATTTCAATCCAGGAAGGAGATTTTCTTGGCGTTTTTGCTGGGATGATTCGCTACTCAGAGCCCTGCAATGTCACCTATGGTGTCCCTGGCCCTGAAGAAAATCTCCGGTTGGACTATTCCGCAGTCACTGGGGCATTCAATTTAATGAGCATATCGCGCCCTGGCGAAGATTCCAATGTTTGCCTTGACTGGGACCTCATGAGTGAGTAGAAAGGAGAGAAGCCACTTTTAATATGGAGGGTGGCAGTTCGGGCTCTGGGTGATTCAACCCTATGAGGAGATGGTTCAAGCTGCTCCACGGAAAGAAGATTACCTTTAGCATCATTCAGCAGCTTGCGCAGAAAGGGGGCATAGGAAGGGTGGACAGTAATGGATTCAGCAGAAGGAAGAAAGCAACCGAGTCCATGCTTTTTGCTTTGTGGCTTGATCTCCGGCATATTTTCAGATCGGAGGATGCATTCTATTCATTGCTTTGATTAAGACACCACTCGATCGAGTCCGCTCTTCCATGACCCTTCCCGCCACTTCTGTTACTACTCTGCTTATTCCGCTCCTTTTCTTCAGGGGATTTGTAGACAGGTTGTGGCCTAGTTTCATCTAGAGTGAAAAATTCGTTGATAAACCTGGGGCGTGGGGGGGTTAGAAAATGCACGGACAGCTGGAGGAGCTAGGTTCCTAGGTACAGCCGCACGTCCTCTGGGAATTAAGTGTATTGCCTCTGGAATTGGTATTGATTGGAGGTTTCTAATAGACACCCGCGGGGCTTATGGTTTCTGGCTCCTTTTCCTGCGTTCCCTTGAGCCCCATTTTGACTCGAATAACTGCTATGAGCTATAGATAGTTGGGATATGCTGTCTATTCAGAGTTTGCTAATTTGAGCTCAACTTGCCTACCTAACTCACCTCTGAACGATGTTGGAATATCAACGTATGCCAGGGAAAGAGCCAGAGCAATGATGTTACTTAACCTTATTGGAGGTGATCAGTGGGGCCCAGTAGAGATTCGTGACTCCCTACTCAAAATGGACTAATGTGCCCTCAAGAATGCAAGGGCTTGATATTGAACAATGTGACTGTGCAGTCTACCATGTCAGCTAGTCCTATAGGGAGTGCTCTGGTGAAGAGCACATTACTGCTATTGCAGGCCCACTTAAACACTACTAATTCGGAACACAAGTAGTTCGGCAAAGATAAGTGTTGAAGTGGGCAGGTCAAAAGATGAGGCACATGATCCATTGTAGCTCAGATACCTACCTGTGGCCGAGCACCATTGATCCCTGGCGGCCGCCCCCATGTGTCATACCATACCCATCTTGCTCGAAGCGCTATGCGAATACTTGCTAGAGAAACCAGATTTATATCTGGATGAGATGGCAGAATTCTTGCAAGATGAATTCGACGTGCTCCTATCAACCTGGTTGGACCAAGAAAGTTGCTTAACCGATAACATAAGCAAGAAATGCGGATTTGAGAGACTATTATTTGTATTAGCGGTTAGCTTTCCGCTCAAATCACCTAAAGATTGGGCTGGTGAGGTTGACTGGCACTAATCATGAAGATCCTTGACGATATTATGCAAGTGCTTCTTTAATCTTTCAATAGCTCATAATAGCAGATCAAATCATTTCAGGTTGAGTGGGTCTTAATTGATAATTGAAGTGCATGGGCACTGTAGCTTTCTATTAGAGTTCAATATCACATTACCCCCTTGACCGTCATTCCAACTATCTGACTTAAGTCACACACGAGTGGAACTAACCTATATAAACACCTAGGTGCTATACATTGAAGAAAAGGCTTTGCAAATCTATTCAAACTTTTCACCAGGGCCCAAGTTAAAAGTTCTTCAATTCCTCCTTGAATTATTCAGAATGAAATTCTCTCTCATCTTCATGATGGCTATCGCCTTAGTTCATTCATTCCCCCAGAACCAGGGGAATGACGTTGATAATTGTGACATTGGTGAAAGGATTCAGTGCAGAATAGGCTATAGTTAATGAAGGAGTTGATTATCTCAGCATCCTCGACCCATGTCGTCCAATTACTTGCAGAAGCCAAACGAACATATTTGATACCTACAAGATCAGCGCAATTGGTAGACCCTGCAGGTTATTAGACTTTGTGAGTTACGGCGACTTTCACTAGATGAGGACCTTAAATTAATAATTTTACACAGCGCAGCGGGGTATGCGACAACACTGGCAATTGCCGACGTAAGTAATTTCCTTGTGAAGGCATGAACTATTTGGGTTTTGTGATTGATCAGATACTAGGCCGCTGCGGTGCAGGGGATGGTGCAGGAGACATTAACGCGAATGGGTTGACAAAAGCCCACTGAAAAGTACATTATTTCGTATGTGATTTGCGCTGTCATGGCCAATGGAGCACAATGTGATGAATGTGCTGTTTTTAGGACTGGGGATAGTCTCAGGTGTCTGTTTGCTTGGTTGGGAAGGTTTGCAGCGTTTGCCATGTATCTGGGTTCTTTCTTCCCTGCTGGTCTTCTTCCTTCCCTCCTCGGCCTTGATACCTTCGTCCAAATGCACAAGTTGATGTTCTTGATGGGCTTCCTGGCAGGTAACACACAACACGCAAGCAACAGCAGCGCTCTTAGCAGAGAAGATAAAAAATGCCACTATGGAAGTTCCTTCCTGTGACTGCACACTGCAAGGATAGGATTAACAGTCTAACTTCCCTTTTCTCTCTCCTCCCCAACTAGATCCTGAAAACATGGGTTACAAGACTGCTGATTCTGACTCTGGAGATAAAGGAAACAGCACACTGCTGCTTCCTTATGGACATGTGGGGGATTTCAGCAAACAATTAGGAGTGTTAGGATTAGCTAACCTGAAATAAGTCCTGTACTCCTACTCTTCTCAAAGGCTACTGGCCGCAACATGAGGCGGAAGGCAGAGGTAATCTTTTCCTACCTGCCACTGCACTAATTTAGCCAGTGTGTGATAGCTAATCTATCTTCTTCTATAGTAGTCTGTAATGTTTCATATCTCTTTAACATCCAGTATAATAGAAAATATAGATATTAGTGTGAGGAAATCTTTCTAACAGAATATAACCCTGTGCAGTAACTAAATGATTACCTTTCTTCATATGGATATGTGAGGATTCTTTTTGTGCTTGGTTAATCATGGTGATTGAAGCAATCCCGTGAGATATCATTTGAAAATATTACGACGTTGCCATCCTAGCTCCGGCCTCCTAATAAGTACATTGCATTTCCCCTTTAAAGGTCAGGAGGCCTATCCATGCCTGACGGCCCAAACGAGTGTAAAGAACGAACCCATAATAGAGCTTATCATCTCAGTGCATACAAAAGGTAGTCCAACATGAGAATCCATCTCTCTGTGTATATCCGAACCAAGTATGTACAATAAAACAGCCCGTCTATGTCTCTTAACGAACCAGATAACCCGAATAATCCACATCTTGATGCAACCCCAACGGATCCCCCAAACACAAATGCTCCGCCGTCCACTTCAGATCCTGCTGCCAACGACTGAATTGCCAATTATTAAAATCCTTCTGGTAATCACACAGCCACGTCAGAACCCTCCCTCTCTGCTCAATATCTCTGCTCGCTGCCCACGCTGTCGTAAGACAAATAATCAGATACCCCGACCCCATTGGCCGAAGATCCTCCGATATCTCAGCCAACATGAGAATCTCCTCGGTGAAATAGTACGCATCGGCTTGTACCGCGTCACTATGTGTCCCAAGTGCTTGTAGCATGCAGTTGAAGAATAAGGTTATCACCAGACCGATGCCGTATATACGGTCGTAGTGTACGGTTAGGAGGCGTTCTAGCCATGCGCGATGGGATCCTCGGGGTAGGGCTTCGGCGATAGAGAGATCTTTGTGGATACTTCCTTGTTTGAGTTTGTCTAGGTCGAGCTTGCAGGCTTGGTAGAGTGTCCAGAGTTCATCTTGGACGCCTGTTGGGTCGGATGCTGTTCGGAGAAAGATTCTGGCACGGCGCATTAAACCTGGGGCTCGGGAGAGAGTTTGCAGTAGGCGGCCTTCGGGATTACGCCTGTCGTATTCATTCACGATGAGAGAATCCCATTCTTCTTCGCTGAGTTGGATCCGATGGTTGAAGAGGCCCTCGAATAGCTATGACGTCATTAGCATAGATCCCAGGCAAAGTATGGAGTCTGAACAGACAGCCTCAGGGGGGATTATGGACTGAAGAACTTACAACACTTCCCCGTAGGGACATGTAAATCTTTGCTTCGAACTCATTGCGGGGTCCAAAGTTCTTCCGAGCTTTGAGAATTTGTGTCGCGCCTTCACAATGTCCAGACCATTGCTGGGTGGTGGTCTGCCCCAGTATCGTCTGACAGATAAGGAGGATCATTACTGCGGCTATTGTGTTGGTTTCCTGTGCATGAACTGGATCATCCAAGTAAACCCGTAGAGTGCGTAGTGCAGCCGAGTACTTGGTCAACGCCTGCACTGATCCGGGCTGGCGGTTGCAAAAGTCCGTATGCGCGCTAGTAACCGCGTCGACGGCGCGGTCCAGTGCATCGTTAGTGCCTATTCGGCGAGGGACTTCTTCGAGAAATATGCCAAAGCTCCACTCGAGGTTGTAGCGGATATCAGTGGAGCGTTTAATGGCTTGAGTGAAGGCTTCTGCCAATCGGGTGGTGCTATTGCTTGGTTTGGCGTGGATGAACAGGAATTGGCCGCCGCTAGGAGGTAAGGGCGTGCCATTAGATGATGAGATATTAGATTTACTGGCTGTAGATAAAGCGACGCTGTTATGTTCTTGTCGAACTTGCTCGGTGAAACGCTTTTCTTCTTGGAATTTAAACCTTTGTTGGCCAGAGCCCACGCATGGTATCTTCAAGCGCAGACATCGTCCGCAGGTTGGCTGTTTCTCGTCGCACTATTCCCACCGGGATCAATTCCTCAGAACTCTAGACTATGAGAAACTGCATACACATACCTTTTTCTTCTGCTTTCGGCATGCTTCGCAAGCCTTGCCCGATGGAATACCAGGCATATTTTATCTCACTAGTGGGCCCGGGAGACCCTGAGAGCACGTAGTGTGGGGTAACAGCGAACCGACGTTTCTAGTTGCCGGCGTAACGTGCAGGCCTTGAGAGATTTCCAGGAACGAGGTTTGAAAGTTATGAGGCAATATGACCCGGGTATGTCCATTTTGAGTCCGACGGAACGCTCAAAACTCTGGCGCTGGGGTTATTTGAAGATGCCAGGGCTGATGGCACAGCCATCGGCGTCGTCATCGCAGAGGGCTCAAGCGTTGGGTCTAACCGAATTAGGCTGTATGTGCCGCCGCCCAAGGTGAGACTGCGGATGCTGATTGGTTGATGCTGATGTATGTGGACAGGCCAATTCACCCTTCCCCCGTGGCTAGCTTATCAGAATATCACCTTTCTGGAAGCTATGGAGATCAAGGGTTGGAGGGTTTTCAGTTGGATGGGTCTATGTGGCTTGGTTTGCAGATTCCTGAGGCGCAGAGTGGGTAGTCGTTTCTCGTCTGGGATCTATGTAGCGCTTCGCCTTAAAAGTAGCTTACTTTATTATGTTGTGGACACGAAGATGAATAGTATTTAAAGTAGGAGGATTCCATTCTGAACCATGAAGTGCTATTCAACAACAATACACAGTTCCCAAAATGAGTTCAGACGACAAAGTGGTCAGCTACTACAAATACGACCCCAGCCATGTGCTGCCTGCGGTCTTTGCAGGCGTCGTATGTCTTAGCTTGGTGGCACATATCTGGCAGAACTTGTAAGCTTCGAACATGCTATTGAATCCTTATTTAACTATACACTGACCTGTCGAAAGCCGCTACCGCTTCTGGAGAGTGACATTCTGGGCATTCTGGGGCGGTTTACTCTTCACGGTAGGCTGGATCCTGCGATGCTTCAGCAGCTATCACCCCGGAAATATAAATCTCTACATCGCACAAGCCGTTTTTATCTATCTTGCGCCTCCCGTTTACTCCGCTGCCGCATATAATATCGTCGGTCGACTGATGAACTATCTTCCTATGCACGCCGTGTTCCACCCCGACCGCGTACTTATCGTTTTCGTGTACGCCGGTGCTGCGGTTGAAGGTATTACTGTGGCAGGTGCAGCCAAATATGCAGCAGCAGGAGATGATACGGCGCAATACAAGAGTGGTGGTGTTCTTATTGCCGTTGGCCTGATCCTTCAAGCCGTCGTTGAATGCCTGGTAATCGCCGTTGTCGCGATGATCCATACCCGAGCTGCCAAAGCCGGAACAGTACCTCGCAACGTGAAAACTCTCTGCATGACACTATACGGCACTTCCACCTTTGTCCTGCTTCGCTGCATCTTCCGCGCCGTGGAGTCATTCGAGATGTTTGGCAACATCGGCTGCACAGAGAATTGTGGCCCCATTCTCAGCAATGAATGGTATCTGTTTGCCTTTGAACTGGGTCCTATGTTGATCTTCACTTTCTGGTTGAACCTGCTCCATCCCGGTCGCTTTTTGCCTCGGAATAAGACACGCTATCTGGACACCGATGGCTACACAGAGCGTATTGGACCTGGGTGGAGCGATCGCCGGGATCCATGGGAGACCTTCATTGACCCTCTTGATTTTCAGGGTAAGATCAAAGGACAGGCCTCTCACGATCAGTACTGGTTGAGGCCCGACGAGTGGTCCACCTGCGAGGACGGTAGCTTTGCCGAAGGAACCGCAACGAATGTGAAGTCAACGCAGACGAGCAGAGAGAAGGTGCTCCGGCCCGGTGAAGTTTAGTCTCTGGACGATTTTGTGCTCTATTCTGTTTTCGCAGTGATGGTGGTCGTGATTCTGTTCCTGGGTTCTTCTTTCCTTTGTGATTATTAGCGATTTCCGAATTAAGAGGTTATATTTTTACCTATAATGCCGTCGCAAAACAAGTTTGATGAGAAAGGCATATAGATCGTGGGACTCCAAGGCCTTGAGTGGAGGCATGTCTGATGACCAAATGCGAATTGACGGCCCAAAATCAGCGTGCAGCTGTCCGATAATCCAGGATACAACGCGTATCTGAATTAACCATGAATATAACCGACGACATTTTTCTGACGGCGAGAATTCAAACCCCACTCTAATCTAGTAAGATCGTCGTGGAGCTGAAATACCCCTGCCACACCAACCATGGGAGAACGTGGCCCAAAGCCATTTGCTGGGCGGCTAAAAAAACCTCTCTTAGTTGAAGTTTCAAGACAGCATTCGCAATACACCCAGGCTCTTTTTCAAGTACCAGTAAAGCCCCCTGTGACCTAGATACCTGGCTGCAGCGTCTGGCTACACTACACCCAGGGTATTCTCCAGGGGTACGCTAGTCTTATATACCAGAGATTACGGGCCTTAGCGTACTAGTAAGTATACTTATATCTCGGGTGTCTATCCCCTAGCTTGGCAAACTGCTCCTCATACGGCAGATTCTCCAGGCCCTGCAGCAGTCTCAAGGGGTCCCTCTCCTTCCTCCGATTCAAAAATCGCAACAAGAGCACCTGAACCACAGCAAGCACCATCGCAATCACCAGCAACGCCAGATTGAAGCGAATTCCAAGGTTGAAGTACGGCGCCGACTCCTTGGGATAGATCCACGTACTCATGATGCCGCCCATATTCGTCGCGATGAACGCCATCGCCACAGCAGTCGCACGCCGCAGGTGGCCAGCCGTGTTATTCGGAACCCAGCTAATCAGACAAGGCGCGCAGGCGTACACACCCGTGACGAGAAGCATGAGCGCAGCGTAGCGGATGCCCACGCTGCGTCCATTGATGGCCAGCGCGGCGCCAATCAGCGCAATGCCGCTCGTGACGAACGCCCCGGCGCCGCGCTGCTGTCGGCGATCGGAAAGGTATGCTGTCAGCATCGTCACGATGAACCCGCAGGCGTACGGCGGGACGGTCATCAGCTGCGTTTTTGTAGGGCTGTATCCCAGCGCCTGGACGATGGATGGCGAGAAGTATGCGAGTCCGAAGAGGCATGCCCCGTTGCAGAAAAGGATCAGACAGGCGATCCAGACGTGGAGATCCTTCAGGACGGAAATGACACCCTTGAATGTGACTTTGGATTCAGTTTCGAAGTTGTTGCTGTCTTGCTGCAGACGCGCGATGCAGCGCTGCGAGTGTTCCGGGCGAAAAGTGACGACTTTCTCTGGTCCGTTGGGCAGCACGAGGAACGAGAAAATACCGAAGCAGACGGTGAATAAGCCCTCAAGCAGGAAGATCCACTGCCAGCCCTTCATACCGTGGATACCGCTCATCTGCTGGATGGCTGCGGCTAGGAGGCCCGAGAAGGCGCCGCTCAGGGAAGCAGCGGAGAAAAAGAGGGCGATGCGCACCTGGAGTTCGTGGCGGCGGTAGAAGTTGGACAAGAAGAGGACAATGCCGGGAAAGAGGCCTCCTTCTAGCAAGCCAAGGAAGAATCGACATGCGAGGAAGCCGGAATAGTTGTGTACTTGAGACTGGAGAGTTGTCACGACCCCCCAGAGTGTGCATAGAGTGGGCAGGAGATACGGGGGCCGATGATCTTCAGCAGGAGGTTGAAGGGAAGCTCAGACAGGACATAGGGAACATAAGTGATGGTAATGACTGTCCAGTCAGTATTAGGCAATGAGGGATGGGCAACAAAACGTACCTGTTTTGTACTGCAAATCGGTCAAATGGAGGTCCTTTTCCAAACCAGCCTATGGTCCTCTTTAGCAGCAGTCTGCGTCAACGTCATATTGGTAGATGACTTACCACTCGTGCGTTGCCCACATTTGCACGATCTAACCAAGCCAGCAGGTATAGCATCAGGGTCATGGGCATAAGCAAGAGGTCCAGCCTGAGCAGAGTCTGGCGGTCGAGCTTCAATGTCTCCTCGTCCAAAGCAACCTCTTCATCGGCGACCCCCTTCTTGGTCTCGGGATCTCCAACATGATCGCGAAATGATTTTTGATCGGTCATTGAGGAGATTGGCGCCTGATCAATGCTCACGGGTACGAAAAATTTTCACACGTCCTGACCATCGTAGATACGAGTTGGCGCCTTTTGTAAATATGGCCAAGAACATCGTCGGTGATGGCCGCTCTAGATTCTCCACTCACGCGGAGCAATTCCGATGTTCTAGTACACGCGATGTGACTAGACTTGCAGCACTGCTGACCAAAACACTCATCTATACGGGGTCTACGGAGTAAGCAGTAGTCCGCACGGATATATGCGGGGGCGGGGCAAGAAGCGGAAAGACTATATATCGGCAATCCTTACCAATGGACCGCGGCTTTTACTTTTGGCTCTGGACTTTTGCTTTGCCGTTGTCACAACCCGATGTAAAGCCAAGACATGGCGTAGGGACCTTTAACGCTGCATGGGGATTGGGGAGGACACTGCGAGGCTCTTTAACATTAAGATTTCGGGACGCCACTGTCGGTCCAATCTGCCCTAGACCTAACTATAATTATATGGTAATGGCAAAGATACAGAATGGACAGGGATGGAGGTCTGATTCTTTGATTAGCATGCAGACCTATATATTTAAAAATAAATGCAAAACTAGCAATAAGGCTGTAGAACCTTATGAATTAGAAATAACTAATAGATTAAGTCATAATAGGAATCTAGCCATCTAATTAGTTAAATTAGAGTTATAGAGAGTTCAGTTTGACCGCAACCGGCCAGAATGGTTGACATTCCCCCCAGGATGAATCATCAAACCCCCTGACGTCGGTGATGTCAGGAAACAAAGCACATGCTATTTTTCCAAATCACCCCAAGTGATTTTAGAACTCATAGATCATTGCCAGTTATGGCGTGTCAGCTATGGAAGTACCAAGTTAGTCGCATGGCCGATGGCACCAGGTTCCAGAAGGCTAATACCTGAATCAGACAAAAATCTGCCTCGAATGGCGACGGAGGATCGTTCCGTCCGTCAAAAAACCATCAACGAGCGAAAGTTGATGGCCAAGATCGATTGGCATGTCCTTCCAAGCTTGTTTGTCATGTTTCTGCTGGCATTCCTCGATCGGTAGGGTCAAGTTCCCAAGTCGCGATAACTGGTGCTCACCAACCTTGCAGTATTAACATCGGCAATGCGGCAGTTTTGGGTTTGAAGGAAGACTTGCACATTCAGACAGGCACGAAATACAACACTGCATTGACCATCTTCTTCGTGCCTTATATCATCTTTGAAATTCCGTCGAATATCCTGCTGAAGAAATTGAAGCCGCATGTGTGGTGTATGCCTTGTTCACATCCACAAAAGGAATAACATATTGACTATAGATTCAGTGCCATTAATCATGTTCGGCTTTGGTCTGGTCACAGTCTGTCAAGGCCTCGTGTCAAACTGGGGTGGATTAATGACGACTCGCTGGTTCCTCGGCATGTTCGAGGCGGGCTTGTCTCCTGGATGTTAGAGCACCTTCTCCTGTGCCTGAAACCTGCTAATCAGTAAAGCTTTCTACCTTATTGGAATGTGGTACAAGCGCAGCGAAGCTCAGAAGCGATTCAGCTTCTTCTTCAACTCATCAACTATCGCCGGTGCATTTGGCGGGTTGCTTGCGAGCGGAATCGGGAAAATGGACGGGGTGCGAGGCTATGGCGGCTGGCGCTGGGTGTTTATCATCGAGGGCGTGATCACCTGCCTCGTTGCAATGACCTGTTTCTTCACCGTCCCAGGATTTCCTGAGGATGTAAAATGGCTCAGTGAGGAGGAGAGAGACTTCATACTTTCCAAGCTGGTGGATGATGTGGGTAACGCTGCCAGACATGCGAGCATTGGGTGGCGCGATGTTCTGGCTGTTTTCAAAGATTGCAAGCATGCTTTCCTCTCCATGATGGATAGTCGCTAACGCAGAGCAGACAAGGTTTTTATCGGCGGACCGATGTATCTTGGACTGGGCGTCACAGCTTATGGTACGAGTGTACACTCTTCTCTTAGTGAGATACTGACGACAGCAGGGTATGCCTATTTTTCTCCTTCGATCATCAAAACCTACGGCCATGACGGTATGATCATGTCTCCTATCGGTTAGATTCAACTGACTTTTCAGCCATCGAAACACAGCTCTACTCCATCCCGCCATGGGCCGCGGCGTTTTGCATCTCCATGCTCATCGCCTTTTTGTCTGACAAATTGCGCCACCGGTTTATCTTCGCTATCATCCCGATGCTCATCGCCATGGCCGGATTCGGCGTCCTCCTCAACGTCCATGACCATCATACCGTTCAATACGGTGCTTTGTTTCTCGTCACGTGTGGCTGCTTCAGTGCCATGCCCGTGCTGATCTGCTGGTTCTCGATGAACCTGGGTGGTCATCGTCGACGAAGCGTAGGGACAGCATGGCAGATTGGGCTTGGAAATAGTACGTCCTCCACTTAATAGGCCAGGTTCATGCTAATCTCCGCAGTCGGCGGGATTATTTCCACCTACTCCTTCCTCACCAAAGACGCCCCTCGCTACCATGACGGGTACATCATCAGTCTGTCCTTCCTCTGTTTCTCCGCCGCGATGGCCAGCATCTACTTATTGGCAGCTTTGCACGACAACAAGAACCGTGATCGGGCCATTGCGAATGGGACAATTGACTTGCAGGCTTTGTCAGACGAGGGGTTGGAGTATATGGGAGATTTGGCACCGACATTTCGCTATGCTTACTGATGACCAGGCAGCAACTAGTTGTGGAAAGTGAGCGACACGAGCCAGCATCCCATTCTGATATTGTCTTTATACGCTGCTGGTTGAAATCGGTAATTAACCGTAGTAACAACAATGTCATGATGCCAGACACTATCGTCCAAATAAACTCCTGTAGATCATTACTTAGGCTTGGTCAAGCTTTCTACAGCCAAACTTAAAGACAAGCAGGTCTAAAAGACAGCCAAGTGCTTTGACTCTTTGTATGACCGCAAAATAGCCATGAATTGCGGACTGCCCTTCGTGGGATCCCTGAACTAAGGTGACTAGTTTCTATTGTCCCTATACTTTCAGTCTTAAATGCCAAACGAATGAGTATGAGGTCTCAAATGCACCGTCATGCACTAAATTGGCATCTTTTGTGCCCGTGCCATAGCTGACCTGCAACCAAGGCTGAGTCTGAGCCTGGCGTCGGCAACAGGATAGGTGCATCCGAAATGAGTTGAGTACAGCCGTGCATTCAAGTAGGTTACACCATTGTGGCTCACTGCATATATATGCAAGGAGCATTATTGCAGTAGTCTCATGAGCCATTAACCACACGGCCTCCATCCTCCTGCTGAAGGCGCTCATCTGTCGATGGGCGTATTCATAGAAACTACTATCATCTTTTATTTCCAGGAGATTTAGTTTCCGCGAATGGATAATATCGATCCTTTCTCGTGGTCTGTTGAGGGAGGGCAGCACATTCGCTTTTACCTCTACCAGTCATAGATGCACATTGCTATGCAAGGGTGTTCCCTATTCCTTACAGTTTACATAGTGGAAGCGCCGGTTATAATGAGCGTTTGAGACATTTCGTATATTATGATTCATCTAGACAAGACATCAAGATTTAAGGAGTGTGTAACATGATTATCATCATCAACACAGTTTGCGTAGAGCTTTGCCCGATATGCCACATAGATTTTCCCCGTCGGGAATCATTCCTCAGAGCGTTTCTGAAACTGCAATTCATCAGGATAGGCGATTTCCAATCACAGCAAGAGAACTTACATTCGACCCTCTAGTAGTGCTCGTAGGTGCCGTAATTGCCATAGTTGCCGTAGTCACCATAGTCACCATAGTCACCATAGCCGCCGGGAGTGGGAGTGGAGGTCTCGGTGGGGGTGGTGGTGGTGGTGGTAGTAGTGGTGGTGGGCTCATCGTCGCGCTTGTAGTGACCATAGTCCCCATACTTGCCGTAGTTTCCGTAGTCTCCATAGTCACCATAGCCGCCGGGAGTGGGAGTAGGAGTCGTAGTCTCGGTGGTGGTGGTAGTGGTGGTGGGCGCTTCGTCACGCTTGTAGTGACCGTAGTCCCCATATTTGCCATAGTTTCCGTAATCACCGTAGTTGTTGTATCCTGGAACAGGAGTTTCTGTTTCGGTGCTTGTGCATGTAGTGGTGGGTTCCTCGCCGCGCCTGTAATGGCCGTAGTCACCGTACTTGCCGTAGGAGCCATAGTCCTTATAGTCTCCATAACCGGCGGGCGCCGTTGTTGTCTCGGCGCGAGCCTCCTCGATGGGTCTGGCGCTGACGCTCAGAGCCAGGAGGAGGACAGCAGTTTTGCTAAGTAGATGCATTGTGCTGGATGATGAAAGTTTAGGATGAAGGGAAAGAGTTTGCTCTGTGGCAGGGAATGAAGAAAGTCTTCAGGGCAGACAAGGGTAGCAGGCTTTATAGACAGTGCACAGTTCCTATTTCCTTGCTGTAGCTCGCACTTATGCCCGAGAGTAGCAAATGACTCCCCGGTATCCAAGTCGCGGATCAACGCTTATTGGTCAAGTCTCTGATGACTGCAGCGGTCTGGGATGGCCTGGTGAGAAGCTCGTCATGGTGTTCCAATCAAGGATACGGCAGGATACGATGCAGGAAGCTACATCGACTGCTGTGTTACATTGTACAAGCCTTTGTCGCAACAGATAATGCAAACAATAGCCCCCTGAGCAGTTCGTCCATTGTACGTTCAGCCATGGAACTGCAAAGTCAATCTGACCAGTTTCTATCTATATTCACCAACTCCGATTCCCACTGGGAACCCATGACCATCACCCGGGAGACCAAAAGCTCAGTACACGAACAGCCGGAATGGGCATCTGCATGTCTCAAGCTTGCAGCTTTTGGGTTCTCCGCTGAGTCGAGATTGGTTGCTCTCCGCACACTCGTGACGGTTTGTCTGCAAGCCAAGCCTCGTCGATCCGTTTATTACATCATGGGGTCACTATTAATATACCCATCTAGTGAGACAAAGAGACCGCCAAGCGTTGTTCGGTCACAGAGCCGAAAGGGATCTGCCAGCCGGGCAGCCCGTGTCTTACAACTCATCAAATCCCAGGTTGCATCCGCGCGGGGGCCTGGTACTCCACAATCCGCCATTGGTGGGGGCTGAGACATGCACGGTACTTGCTTGGAAATAGTCACACTGCCACCCATCCGACTGTTGTTGCGGTCAAGATTCCCTCGGTCGCATTTGCTTGTTCGGATTATATCTTCTTTGATCTGAGCTTTTGTGCTGATGGCCAACTCCTACGTATCCCAAGGACAATATGGCGCGCTCCGACTCAGATAACGGTATCGATGCCAACTATGGCCTACTCAACAATGAAGAAGCCCAGAATTGGAGTCATGACGAAAAGCCTCGAACTAGATCGCATGGACGATGGCTCAAGGCCTTGCTCTATGTCGCGACAGCGGTCGTTTCCTGCTTGGTTGGACTCTTCTTCGGACAACAACTACAAGACCTCGATAGGGTCTGTACTCGTCATGTTTCTCATTATTGTACGTCCTCGTTGTCAGGGATGAGTGATTTTTTGAAAGTTAACAAGAACAGCGCCTGTTACCTCAAACGTCGACATAACATTTCAACCTCAGCGGTTTAATGGTTCGCTGCTCAAAGAGAACATTTACCGTCAAGGTGCCAGTCCGGAGGTCGATGCGGCATGGGAGGCATTGGGTGTAAATTGTAAGACATATTCTGCTGAGATAAACAAGATACTAACCATGAGCAGATAGGAGTCTGCGAGTCCCGGCCGAAGATGCCGAAAAATCTGGACTTGCGCAAGACCAGGTCAAAATCAACCAGAAGTATGGAGGAGGCTATCCGGCGAACGTAGAGGGCTTCCATCATTTACATTGTCTAGTATGTCATTCTCCCAGAGATCAAGGCGAATACTGACCTGGGGAGAATCTACTGCGCCAAACGCTCTACTACAACTACGATTACTACCACAAGCTCGGCCAAGGAGCTTTCAAGAACGACGATTTTATCGTCCGACGACATGTTTGTAAGTACTCCACATCGCAGTTCCTGGCCTGGTCAAAACTGACAGGTCCCTTAGCCCACTGTCTGGACATCATACGACAGCAACTCATGTGCACCATTGATACCGGAGTCCTCGGTCAAGTCTGGATCCATCCAGATCGCCCAGAGGCGTATGTGGACTTCAACACAGAGCACCAGTGCAAAAACTTCGAAGCTATCCGCCAGTATGCCGAGAAGAATCAGCTGCCGGCTCAGATTCCAAAGGATTTCTTGGAGCCACCCAAAGCCGGTGACAGAATCTATGATGAGATTCCATAAAAAAGTCTCAAACGACGAAAATGGTAATGAAAATTATGTATAGTATTTATATTCATAATGAAGAAAATGTTGCACCTACTGAGTCAATACCAATCGTGATTGGGGGGCTTCATCCAAGGCTGAAAAATTCGCAATGGTAGCATACAAAGACGCCAGAAACAGGTGGAGAATACCAGACGGCAATCTATGTGAAGAACTAGGGAGATCACCTCCAGCCGTAGTACATCCCTCCTGGCTTGCCACCCACAACACCCGTCGCCTCCAACTCGCTCGGCTGACGAATGTCTTCCTGCGGCAGTGGCTGCTTCGTTGCAGTCTCCCAGTTCCAATATCCATTTCGCAGAGGAGGCGAGACAGCAGGCGGCGAAGCGTCCGAGCTCGAAGAGAATGTACCATGGCCTCCCACTGAAGAGGACGCAGTGAATCCCTGCTTACTCTTTCCCTCCCTTCGACTACTAAATAGAGCGCAGTGAGCTGTCCGCTCCATCCGCCCGACCTGTGAAGATGGCCCCTGTTTATACCTGTTCCGACACAGCATGATCACAAGGACGAGGAGGATGCCAACAAAGGCAAGCCCGGCAACCACGGTACCGGCTATGGCGCCACCGCTGAAAGAGCTCTTGTTGTGGGTGCCGGCAGCTGAGGATGAGTAGCCTGTTCCTTCGGCGGGAGGTGATTGTCCCGGGATGAGCATATAGGGGTATCGTCTTGCTTGGGCGAATTGTGCTTCCCAGGTCATCGTTTCGTTCTACCGCCATGAGCATGGGTCATTAGTCGTGGGCACATACCTACCGGGTTAATTACTCCCACCATTCCATTGACGAGACAGGAGTCGACTGCCGTACAGTAGAAGAACGTGGGCTGTAATTCCTGTTAGTCAACTGATTCCAGCTCTTATAGCTAGGCATACCTCGGTATCATTCACGACTAGTGACCATGTAGGAGGCTAAACCGTTAGCTGTTGATATCGAAATAGGCGATAACACTAACCTCTCCTTCCAGCTGCCCATCGCTATTCTCGTTAAAGGTATTGACCTGGCCCGAGTAGAAGATTTCATCCGCAGCAGGCACACACGGTGCCATAAAGTCTGCCTTGACGACGGAATGGTTGCGCGGGTAGAACTCGAAGACGATCACATCGCCGACAGCGGCCGTGATGCTGTGCGGCAAATACTGATGTGGGTTCTCTTTTGGGCCTACCTTGACGGTATGCGTCGAGTGAGGAGCCGTCGAAGATGGAGTAGAATTGGTTATCGCCATCGCTGTTGCCCGTGCCGCTCTGGACTGGATTAGCAGCAACACGACCACGAAGATGATAGATAACTCGAGTATCGTAGCATCGAGAAAGAAAATAAGTCGCAGATGAATGTCGTTTCATGTGTTCAGAGAAAAGTCGTCGCGCACTGCCTCGAGGTCTCATTGTCTTAAGGATAACAAAGAAAGTATATGCGGAAAGTTTAGTGCAACGCCACGTTTTATTTGGCGGCTATCTCGTGATCTAAGATGTGTCTCTTTGTTTATAGACCTGTTTTCCTTGGTTTGGAGCACTGAAATTAATAATGTTGAATTTCTATGGAAGGGTACGCGACTCACTGGGATGGGCCGATGGCGATGGAGGACGGTGAGAATGCTAACCTGCTCAATGTTGCGAAGTACTTGCGTCGCTGTCATGTTAGACTTTTGCGAAAGGCAGAAAGGTGCTAGAAAGAAACAGAAAACCCGGTTAAGTGGCAAGTTTCGAGCTTTTGCGAGGGATAATCTGGGTGTGCCCACATTGCGGTCATGTTGATAGCTCACTTGTAGGACTCGGCCTCCTTGGGACCCATGACTTTAACGAAGAGGTCCAGAGGGATGCCGAGTCACTGATCTGACTAGGAACTTAGATTATTCGTCAATCATTTAGAATTGATTAGGTCGCCTATACAAGATTAATGGCCTCAGCCACCGATCTTATTGCTGAAGTGTTGAAACTTGTATATTATTACAAGTTCTCATGCCTCATTATGTACTTCATTCGCAGCACAAATCCTGACAGAACGCTATGCTAGATTATAGCTCGGGGACAGATATCCTCGGTCTGTTGATAATCCACCATCGATCGCTAGTTCTCAAGAGCATGAAAACAACGAGATCGAACGAAGCTTCATATCCCTCGTAGATACCAGTGGTTCCTAATCTAGCACTCTCTTCGCCACGAGCGGGCTTCCATTCAGGATCCTCGGGTAATCGTGGGCATCGAGGCAGGCCTGTCGTGAGTTTAGGACACTCACTTCTGCCCGCCTAAAAACATCGTTCTCGTATTCTTGGATAGAGCGACAAAGGCAATCGGATGACAGCGAACTATACACAATCAGAATTTCTCAGTTTCAGACGATGGGGGTACAGGACGTACTCCGACGAGGCGAAATCGATTCGCTGGACGAGGTCACGAACATCTGCGATGGCATTATTGGCACCTTCGCCACGGACTTGATTCTCATGTTAGCGTAATCATCCTAGATGTAGCGTCATATCTTACACATGGTCATAGTATGCGCTGAATCGCCCATCACCACCACGCGCGGGTGAAGACTCTTTCCTGGGGCGAAGATCCAGTCCTGGATGCGGATCGAGCGTGCCTCTGAATCATCGGGAAGATTGTGGACGAGCGACCGGAACGGTTCGACCCAGTTGGCTGTCAGCTCTTTCATCAACGCAATCCGTCCAGCATTATCGGGCGGGAGTGGAATGTTTTTATTGTCGGCCCATGAGACGATGATCTGACAAACGTAGCCATCTGTGCTGTCGTCAAAATTGTTCGGGGTGTCGAGGACTGTAGAGTATTAGTGGTAAGAATCAAAGGTAGAAGACATGCATACAGCTGAAGAATAGGAAGATGTTCGAATCCGGATGAGCTCCCTGGAAGATATAAGGATCCATAGCCCGGAAACGGGCGGCTTGCTTGGGCGAATAACGGACTGTCACTCCAAGAAGCTGGACGGGGAGCGGATTCATTTGATATGAGTCGGGGTATGCCAGTTTACGGATGCGAGAATTGGCGCCATCACAGGCGACGAGAAGACTACCGGTGTAGGACGTACCGTCTTCAAAGTACGCGGTAACGGTCTCCTCTGTCGATGTGAGGTCGACGACGGTTTTGGACCACTACTTGCATTAGTTTTTAGAGAACTACAGACGTCAAAGGCAGACCTTGATATCAATCCCGGTCGTCAACAACTCCCTCAATCTCCCCCTATTCACCCGCAGTCTCTCCGCAGCGGGGACCTCAAACAGCGCCGATCCGGAGCTGAGGTCGAAGAACGGGAACCGACCGACATCGCCACTCTCGGAAGCTTCCTTGTTCACTGAGCATTCGGGTAACCGTGCGACGATATGCTCGGGCAGCATCTCCCGCAGGATCGGCAGTCCCCAGTGCAGCGTCAGACCCCATCCCCCGCTACGGATATCGATCGAGGAATCCCGCTCAAAGATGAGGAATGGAACCCCCGACTTGTGCAGATACTGGGCCAGGGTCAGACCGCTGATCCCTGCACCGATGATGAGAATGGGGAGATGGGACATGCTGTTTACTTGGCGGTGGGCTATTAAATTTGGCTCTGGTAAGTACCCAGAGAGAATAGGATATTAGGCCGGAAGAATAACTGTCAGCCTAAGGAACCTTTGACTCAAAGGACAAGTGGCGTGGCGGGTGAGCGGCCGATAATTGGACCATTCAGGCATTTACACAGCCCCTGTTACGGCTGGCTGAGTGGGTGGCTGAATTCCACCGATGGTCCTTTGAACGCCAGGCAATCACCAGAAGCCCCTGTCCTTAGTACCTTGTATGCGAGATTTCAAATCGAGTCGCACCTGTGTAGAAGTACTGGCTGCGTAGCGTTTGAAGGATGCATGGCGGCATGGATCCATAGCGGGATTGGTTGGGATAAGGAATTCTTCAGACACTCGAATTCGACACCTCAAATGAATTAATAATATGGCTCGGTCAATGGGCTTGGTTGGTTCCACCCCGTATCACTGCGGGCTTAGTGGTGTCGTTAGAGTGACGCCAGGAAGTCGCCGGCGAACCTTGGCTGTTGATCCCTGTCACTTTAAAACTTAATGACCAGCAATATCTATGACGCGATCTCCTCGGTTAATATCTATTTGATATCCAGTCCCCGCTTGAATGAAACCTCGTATCTTCTTTGACAAATAGGCTGAATTGGCAGTTATCCGAGTCCCGCCCGACACCCGCAGAAAGTGAAAATCTCGGTTCGACGGCGGAGCTCAAGCTAGGACGCTGCTTACTCTGGTAGTCCAGTCGAAGATCAATCAGCTATATTCTCGGGCATGTTGGCGAAATCATCCTAGTGGGACTGAACATGGCATTGATCTGTCAAACTATTTGTCCGCCAGGATGGCATCCTCACAAACACTTGGAAACAAAAGGAAGAGTAAAGGAATGGTCAAGTATACCCGGGAACCGCCCCACGGATCATTTATCATTCTCGTGTGAGACACGATACTCGACCGTGACGTGGATCTCGGCGTTCGCTCGAGCAATGGAATCGTCAGTGTCGAGGATTAGCTCCTCGCTGGGCGTTCGCTGAACGGGGACTGGCTCCTTGGAGTGTTCCGATTTCAATTGCGAGTGTCGGTTTTTGGAATAGGATTGCAAGGAGTAACCGGTGTTCTTGCGAAATTCGCTGGCACTGCGGGAGCGAAAGTCGCGCACAAACATCTTGAGAACGGGCGTGAGGAATGGAAGAGAGGTGACGATATTCTGGAACTCTGTTAGATCATGTTCTATCTTTCAAATTTCTGGACAAGCTCACCCCGACATTGAATTCGATTGTGCCCCAGAGGACTAACATGGTAGAATCCCCATCCACAGCCACCACGCGATGAATCTGAGTTAGACGTAGAATGGAGCAGAGGGTAGTGAACAGTCCGAGCAGGAACAAGCATGCCACGCCCGCCTTCTGTGCTGGTTTCACGTTCAACTGCAGTAACAATGGAATCGGCAGGAAGATGACGACGACATCACAGACGATCGTAAAGGCCGCAAGACCGTAGAAGGTTGGTCCTACCGGAAGGCATTTACCGGAAATGGTCGGATTCCAGGACCGCTCTACCTATTGAGTCGAATCTGCTTAGCACAGCTCTTGATGGTGTGAGGAACAATAGTCACCTACTGGCTTGCAGTTCACAAGCAGAACCAATGTGCCAGCCACATGTCCCAAGGTCGACAGTATGATCACCACCCATATCAACATTCGGTAGAAACGCTTGGAGGTTTTCGCGAGCAGATGAAGGTAGTTGATACACAGCGCGGCTTTGAAACCGGCGATTCCGAGTTGGTAGAAGGGCCGACCGGCGTAGTTGAGCTGCATTGCCTAGTCAGAAAGATCGAATCGAGCATGGAGCGGACGAGTCAGGTACCTTTGTGTATGTTCTGAGGTCCGCCTTTGGCCGCAACGCCAGTGGTAGTCCCAGTCCATATCGGCTTTCTGCTGTTGTGAGTATGGCTCATAGAGAATCGATGATGGACTTACGAGATATACAAAGAGCATTGTAGACGATACTGAATATCATTCCAAACACCATCACGTAGTCGGCAGCGCCGAATCTCCCAAGTTTGATACGCACGAAGAGTCGCAGACAAACGGTGATGACCATCAAGACCGTCAGGGTAATGCAAACCCCCAGAATGAGGGGATACCTGGACTGGGCGTCGATCTCTGGGGAAGCATTGTGTACCCAGCCCATATTGACCGTCACATAAAGAAGATCTTGGGCGAGGAAATAATAAGATCAGCAGTCACCTATCGCATTGTTTTGTATAATCATGCATGATGGGAGGTTTATTAGGAGTCCGCTCAGCATCAGTTGGAACATAGTCCCTAGGCTCTATTAATTTGATTACCGCACAGTCCAGGTTTTTCCTGCAGGATTGGCCTTCCGGGAAAATTAATTTGTTTCGGCGGACAAGACCCGAGATGGTTAGATGAATATCTTCACAGCAGTAGAAGCGGCCCTTCTAGTCTTGCGCCATGAGTATCTAGAGTTTCTGAGTACATGTATGCTTGTAGCGCTAGACCGGGGACCCTGGGCAAAAGGTGCATTCTTCTGCATACTATCGCCCGTGTTTAACTGGATCGGGCCATCTGCACGTTCGAGATGATACTACAGTCTCGTCAAAGTAAAACCTGCGAGAAAAATGATAATACTGTTGCATCCTTCATCCCCACCCGTCCCTTGGCCCCCAACCGTCCATTTAAAGTCGGGATCATCTTCAGTACTACGTACCTTGCGTACTTCAGGTAGCTGATCAGCATTGTGACTTGCGTCCCTCCCCTTCATCCCTTGTACTACCCTCCGCTTCACGTTTCACACCTATCTGACGTGTTGCTTTTTCCCTTTTCCTTTTTCCTTTTTCCTTTTTTCATCCTTTGTTTTTTCTTTTTCTTTCTTTTTTTCTTTTCTCCGTCGTCTTTCTGTCACCAGAATGGCCGAGAAAAGACCAAATATAGACACCCATCCTGTCCATGGACGACGTGATGATGCCTTGAATTATCTGGATGAACATGCCAATGTCCAGGATGAGGCGACTGTTGATCTTGCGGCCCTGCGACGCAAGATCGACTTTCGCATTATCCCCTTTATGTTTTGCTGCTATGTCCTGCAGTTTCTCGACAAGGTGATGCTCAATGTACGCCACTCCCTCCTCTTCGCACAAAGGCTTTTTTTCTCTGATGATGCTGGCAGTATGCTGCTGTGATGGGGATAAGGAAAGACCTCAAGTTGGTTGGCAATGATTTCTCCAATGCGGCGACTTGGTTCTTCATTGCCTACTTAATCGCGGAGGCTCCGCTCGGTATGTCTCATCCATTCAGTAACCCCGGCATCCCACTGATACCGGTGATGTTCTCTAGTAATTCTCCTGCAAAAGACGCCCCCGGCCAAATGGCTAGGAGCAAATGTCTTCCTCTGGGGTGTTGCAGCTGCTGCTGGTGCCGGCGTCCGTGACTATCGTACTCTCTTGGTCGCACGTATCTTCCTCGGCATCTTCGAAGCCACGATCGGTCCTTCTCTGATGCTGCTGAGCAGTCAGTACTACACCAAGAGCGAAGCTGCGCCGCGATTCACGCTGTGGTATGTCGGTCTGGGTGTGGCACAGATCCTGGGTGGTCTTATCTCCTTTGGCTTCCAACATGTGCACAATCCGTCTTTCCAAGGCTGGCGCGTCATGTTCCTCGTTCTCGGGCTTGTTACATCTCTTACTGGCGCACTCACCTTCATCTTCTTGCCCGACGCGCCGATGAAGGCAAAGTGGTTGACCGACCGCGAGAAGGTTGCTCTTTTGAATCACGTCAGCGTCAACCAGACCGGTGTGTGGAGCAGTGACTTTAGCGTAAAACAAATTTGGGAGGCTGTACGCGACGTTCAGCTGTGGTTCATCACCGTCATCACCATGCTGGTATGTTCGCTATTCCGGTTATAGTGCATTTTTGCGATTGCTGACACGCTACCACCAGATCTCCGTCTCCAGTGGAGTGGTGACCTCTTACTCGGCCACTTTGATTGCCGGATTCGGCTTTTCCGGGCCCCACGCGGCCCTGCTAAATATGCCCTCCGGCATTGTCAGCATCTTCTTCACCCTCTTGGTTGGCTTCGGGATCCGCCGAGTCTCCCACCGCTGGGCCTGGCTCATCGCCTCCACCCTGCCCGGCATCCTCGGCGGCGGTCTGCTCTCCTTCCTCCCCAAGCACAACAAAGCAGGCGTCCTCATTGGCATCTACCTCGTGAACGCCGTGGTCGCCACCCTTCCCATTCTCTACCAATGGACGGCGGCCAACTGCGCGGGCCATACCAAGCGCGCGTTTGCCAGTGCGCTCGTCGCCGGCTCCTTCTCGGTCGGAAACATCATTGGCCCTCAAACGTTCCAGGCACGTGATGCGCCTGGATATCACCCTGCTAAGATCGCAGTGCTGGCGACGCAGGCTGCTGCGGCAGTCCTCTCGTTCGTCCTCTTCTTGTACTATGTGTGGGAGAACAAGCGCAGGGACCGTGCTGCAGAAGGCCAGGAGGATCAGGCGCAAGATGAGACCAAGTGGGCCGGGTTGACGGATAGGGAGAATAAGACTTTCAGATATGTCTACTAGCTGTATATACGACGGATATACGCAGAAAATTATGACCTGTAACGACTGTTTACGGTCTGGATAGTTTCAAAAAATCTTGTATATTATCTCTCAGTTCTACCAGAGGTTCTAGAAGCATTCCACCGATTGCTGGATGTCTGTCTCAAGGATAACGATGATGTCGGGGCCCATTAGCCATAAGAGGACGTCTATCCACTGCTTGAAGTTTGCAGGCGGATGTTTGAAGGATCACCTATTCCTGGAAAAAATGAGATCGTGCATAGTTTCACCAGTACCCAGTTTTTCTCAGACATGACCAATCCTGTCCATTCCTTCATCCTTTAGTTAGCTAAATGAAACCGCAATCTCCCGCCTTTCATTGGGCCGCAGCAGTAGTTTAGATATTAGCGGTATCGATAGCGTGGGGAAACGGCGGTTTAGCCCTGCCCGCACAGGGTCTAGACTGCGACAAGTCCCACCCTATTGGAGGATTGGACGAGAACGAGGCTCAAACGGGGTGGATAAAGTTCAGAAAAGGGGCAATGCAGACGAAGATAGATCGATCAAATTCAGCCCAGCTTGTTCCCCAGAAATAAATAAATAAAGCAGAGAATCTCTCCACTGTGCTGTTGTATTCGAAGAGTTCCTGTGTCTCTACCGTCGTTCATTCCATCCATTCGCTCGCTCGCTATCTATCTATATTGCCACCATGCAATTCAAGGCGCTCGCTACTTTCCTTTTCGCCGCTCTGGCAGTGGCTAATCCGGCCCCTGCCCCTCAGTCCGGCGATGATATCAACGATCTGCTCGGCTCCATTCCCAGCTCCGTCCTCAACGAGCTGATGACCGCTATTCCACCCTCTGTTATTGCGGCTTTTGCCAATCCTACCGCGGCTTCCAGCATCGTCAACGAGATCGAGCAAGGACACATCCCTGACTGGTACTCCAGCCTGCCCGACGACATCAAGGCCTGGGCTTCTTCCGCTGCCATGGAGGAGATCGCCGGTGCTAGTGCTACCCCCACCCTCACCGGTAGCTCTGCTGCTACCGCTACTGGTGCTACCACCACTGGTGCTACTGCCACTGCCACTGCCGCCGTCACTTCGTCCCCTTCAGGAACTTCTTCCTCCACCAAGAACACTGCCTCGGGCTCTGGTGCTTCTTCGACCTCGACCCCGAGCTCGACCTCGTCTCACAACGCTGCTGCCACCGGCGCCGTGGCTGTCAGCTTTGCCGGTGCTGCTGGTGTCCTGGCTGTCGCCCTTGCTCTGTAAGGAGGATGGGAGCTCCAAATGACATCTGGCTGTGGTGCACGATTCCTGCCAGACTTTGAATCGTACACGATATTGTGTCCATATATACCTTTTGTGGTCTTTGTCCTACTTCGATAGGCAATGTACGACTATTTTATAATACTTTCAAGGCTAGCTATGTGATAATAGAATAATACGAGCATTTCAGCGAAGATCCTGTGTCTCCTCTGACAATGCTACGAATGCGGAGGCAGAAGTCCCGACCAAATAACAGTGATAGGTTCTTCTGGACGCGCGTACCCCTCGTGTGATGTATTGGAATATATCAGCGAGGCTCAGTGCATGAAATTTTGTAGTTGCCGGTGGCTCTACATGGCATTTTTTTAGAGTGGACAAGATGCACCTCGGCAAATCATAAGTGACGAAGCCAGTTCTGGTATCCTGCGGAAGTCCCTACCAACGACTAATGCTTCGGCTACAGTCTCCGAGGCTCGAGAGCGTTCTCGCCTGTTGATCGCCTGTTGATCAGGATTCTAGACCCTGGATGATCTCCAAAGAATCCACTATCGAAGCCAAAAGTTCGAAGTCCTGCATGAGGCAAAATTATGAACCCTGTTGTTTCACGTTGCAACACAGTGCAAGGGCCAGAACTATACTCGGATCTTCTAAGCAATCACCTGGCTTCGGAGACACAATCGTCGCCCGAGGCAAGAGTCCCAATATCCGAGGGCTGCAATAAATTGGCGCCATAATATACATGAAGCTGATATGACGCTGCTGAAAAGCGATCGAAGGAGAGCAGAGCGTGGATGGCGCGGCCTCGGAGAATCCTTTGCTAGGTTTTATTTTCAAAGTACCTGAAAATGTTCCTGCGCCAGAGGGCTTGCATGGATAGGATTCGAGCAAAAATGTTGTTCTGGTGTGTAGCCATATGAAAATGCCCGGGCCTGCTGAAAGATATGAATTTGGCTTGTCCTGACATATACTATTGACTACATTAAATTCCAACAACATCCGATCTGGCCTGATATATATGTCAATGTAAGACGATGTGCCGACTTGCCGATGTGCAGCTGACCTTCTCAATATCCGCCAACATACATGCCAGCAGTCCAAAGTGAATGTCTCCCATGACTTACCTCTTGCACCAATAAAATAGATCAAGGGCTTGCTCAAAGAATATCCTATTGGCCTTATCATTTTTTGGCCTCTAAATAATTGTTCAGGAAGCGTGAATGGTCCCAAAATTCCTCCAAAAGTCGAATCGCTCGACAGCCTCCAAACAGAAATTGAATAGACCAGCGAGGCCCAGGATCCCAACAGCCAGCCCGCGGGTTCCATGTCTGTGTACAGTGTACGCAAACGGAACGTGTTGTCGGGGGATTAACCCATTTTGAAGTGTCACAAACGAAAATACCAATGGTGGAGCTGATGTGTTCCGCCCAAGTCAGAGAGATGTTCTCGGCACAGCCATGTATGCCAGTTTAGTAGATCTGGCAGCAGTCACGCGTTTGGTTGCATCTAATGCGCACAGCACGGCAAGGCTGCATCCTGGCACCTCCCACGAAATGATATACAGAGCTATGTACAGCGTTGTGCGCGCCTTGCATATAGACTAGGCTGTCCGCTGTCCGCTGTCCGCTGTCCGCTGTCTGCTGTCTGCTGTCCACCAGTGCGGTATCTGACGGCACGAAAGCTCTTCATTGTATTGCCTGCAGACTTGCCTGTAGCCCGGACGCGATGCCTATATAGCCCGAACGCGACCATAGGCTGGACAAGACCAGTTTTTCAGTATGGCTAATTGGCGGGCGAGGTCCCAGTCAGCCGTTGTCTCGGTGCAAAGCAGTTCGTTCTTTATCCGTCAGGCCGGAGATCACAACTTCTGGTGAGCGTTCCGTTGTGGAAACTCTGCTTTCTTGTGGCCTAGAAGGGTGAAATTCTCCGTGGGTCCAAGATGCCTATGTACAGTGATGCTGACGGCTATGTATGGTTGCTGATCCATGTTGGGACTAGCTGCAAGGGTGAGAGATGAAGCCAATCTAACCGGATCTTCATCTATCTGCGGGCTCTAGTGTGGTCACTGTGATACCTGCCAGCTCACTAAAGGAGAGGCTTGGAGTGCTGACTATTGCTAGGCTGACCTGGTATCTATTTTCACATTAAATAATGCCCAGAGCCCGTTGTGCTGCGTCATGTGTGCATTTAGATAACCCGGACAACCAACGAGATTATGCCTCGGTGAAACAAATCCAATGACACAAAATGCCTCACCAGTAATTCTGCTGGTGATCTTCGCGATCCACTCAATTTCAAGGGCTGCGCCCTGGCCAAAAATTGTTGGAAAGAAAACTGCTGAAAACACCGTCATTCCGAACCTGTACTCGGTTTCAGCAACTGCCACTTGCGGGTAACGCTCAATCGAGCCTTGGGTTCTCACCTCAGTGCTGTATCTTTATAGCCTAGGAAGAAATGGGAGTTATGAATGACGGAACTTGTTCGGTTGCGTCCGGCGTCATAACGTACAGGGATCTGGACCTCTCAGGAAAGGGGGTTTCTGTATATTGTTGGCTAGCTCAGCTCCCAGGATAGTAAAAGACCACACCTCCAACTACAAATACATCCCGTACTGAGGCCCGGCGAGAGATTATAGTAGATCTAGGAATCCACGAAAATTGTTTGTTGTCGAGGGTAAGAACCAACACTCTTCCCACACGCCCATCACTGCACTAACTACTAGTCTTTCAGACGAGGACCGATTTTCAAAGCAAATGGCCTCAGCAAAGCCAAAGAAATTCCCTAGACCGGAAACCGACTACGAACGATGGCTTCGCGGACAAGATGAGCACTACAAGCTAGGAGATCAGCCAATATATGGACCACCGGCGCAAGGTGTCGAGGACCCCATTGAGAATGGGAAAGGCAAAGCACTTTTAAGCGATGGAAGGGACAAATCACACCCAGAAACTCAAGAACAGATCATTTTTCAGGGTTCCTTTGCGCACCCACCAAACTCCCGCTTTACTGGCCACACAAGCTACTCGATGATCTGCAGCATTATTCTGTCAGTCTTGCTCACAATAATCATCATAAGATCAGCCAAAGTACTTCGAAAACGGCGTCACCAAGGGGTTGAGATTCCACTTTCTGGGAAAGTTCGGGACAAATGAAGAATGATGCGTGCTCCAGAAGGTCCGCTCACGACAAGGTGTAGATGAAACAGAGTGGTTTGACTGCTGGCAAGTTAAACCATGTTACCGCACGATGCGAGAATGTTTAGATCATTTGAGCAGACCTTACATCATTTATTTATTGGTCAATTGTGTACCCAATGACAACCGAAACCCAACTAAGTAGGCTCCTCTGGAATTAGCAGGATTTTAGATAGCTGGGATGACTTGGTCTTGTGAAATTGACAGCTGACAAGTCACGACTACAGCCTTCTCCGCATGTATCGCTTCTTCATTTGATTGGTTTTGCGTCTTCTGGATGTCTATTCGTTGCTAGAGCCGCAGTAATACTCATTCTGGGACAAGGAATATCGCAATATCCCAGTCGATCGTCACTCATTCCAAAAACGCTGACCAATGAGCAAGACCAAACCACGCTCTGGAACTGCCTAAACTAGAATAGCAAATAACCAGTATTTGACAACCTCAGACCAGCAGACTTTTGCTACTTCTGTGATCTTCTCTGGTAGTACTTAGAAGTCTGGCTTATTCTGGGGCTTAGGATTTCTGTTAGATCAGAAGGATTTAGTTCGTAGATAGCAAATGTAAAGTCATCCCGTATGTACTAATTGGCTTTTTCATCGTTGACAACGGAAGAAAAGACGAATTGGTTTTCTTGTCGGTCTTCCCTATCATGCGAGGGACAGCATATCCCTCAATTCTGAGCCTCACCATGGCGTTGACGGAACCTAATATCGAATTACCCAACATATCGAGGTACTTGGCATGTCGAGGCTTGTGTTAGCGAGGTTTTGCTGTAACTATGTTGTTACAGGTACTTTTGTTTTAGGCGCGGCCCTGGTTTTAGCTTGATTCGGGCCGTCGCGCTGGTCAAGACACTGCTAGCGCCAGCTCACTGACCTGCTTTATTTCTGAAATACTCCGACAAAGTTCCGATAGAGTCGATCTGTTCCAGGTGGTATTACCACTTAAAGCAAAGATCCCTGGACCTTTGCTATCCTACAATTTGGCGGTAAGTTCAGGAAGAAGGTCTATCACGTATTGCCTTCATGCTCCCCCAACTGATCACTTATAATATTTATCCCATAGTATACATACCTGACGCGGGAACACTAAGGCCAACTCACTCTTAGGCGCCCCGTCTCCCCGCGTGCCAAGGGCTGGCCTCAAATTATACAGCACTCTAGGCACTATAATCAAACAGTAATCAGTTCCGGACGCGCCGGATGTAACCCTTTTATCTTTTATTCTATTAAGAATCCTAAGAAGATGACCCGCTTTGAAGGATTATCCCCCTTCCTTGGGCCCGCCCTATGCGAAGGCCGGCTGCCGGGCTATACCCCAATGGAGGACAAGTGTCTTCACCACCGAGTCTGACCGAGGAGTTTGGGCTGAAGAACCCTGCATGGCAGGCTCAGTTAGCGTAGGTCAACAAGCATCACAGGAGGTTCTTTTGTTAAAACGTATAATTCAATGAAACCAAGAATCGGTATCATGATCAAAATCCTTTTGTATAACTTGCCTGGGCCATGGCAGTTCTTGACCATCACCCCTTTTGCTCCAGACACTACGCTAAGCAGATTAAAGGAATCAACTGATTTACTCAGGAACATATTCATGGAAGAGTTTGTGGTGGAGTAATCAGGTGGTTCCATAACTGCATAAAAGTGGAGTTGAAGTAAAAGGGTCTGATTTTATGCTAGTGCCTTTGCTATCCCAATCACCATCCAGTTTGGTCCTATCCTCAGATACGAAAGCAGGGGTAAAACAAGAAGAAATACATCCCCGCACGCTCATTAGGGCACTTTCCCTGATCCTTGTACGCCACGGGTATCCGATCTTCGAGTACCTTACCTAGCGGCGTCGCCTCAATTGAAACAAAGGCGCAGGACGGTAGTGGGGCCATGTCTTGCTACGCACATAGTGCGCAATGCACTGAGCATGACATGACTCTTGGCTTTTTCAATATTTCGGCTCGATCCGCATACGTGGTCTGATGCGCGGCTCCGAAAATCAGAAAGCTATGCTGGATGCCTTATGACGCATGTACCACTCTTCTGAAACTACTGCATTAAACTCATAAAGGGATCTATGTTTAATTTGCCAAGTCTACGAATAGAATAAGTTGGAACAGGTTCCTAGCATAATGTCAGGAAGCTGTCTGGCTCTTCTTTCTAGGCTTGATTGTCGGTAAAAGACTGTGGTTCATCGAATGTATGCATCAAAGGCAGATGGCATCCTGCGAGTGAGGCAATCCACATATCAGAAGAGATGGACCTGAACCCAGATCAACAGATGTAATACAGGAGGAGACGGGTCAGAAAAAAGATGCATAACAGTGAGTCCATGCTGGCAACACAATTGGTTAATGATACATTTTGCTGACCCTATTACTGTCCTGTATTGAGACCTCCGGTCCGAAGGCCTCCTCTGATCCATGCACTTGCTGTAGCATCTGTCGGTTGTCAAACCACTAAAGTGCTGAGATTAACTGGGGCTGTTGGTCATCAACTGGCTGTTAGAACAACTCAAGCTGACTTGATTCATTTCCAAAAATCTCCGCACCTCGACTACCTCTTTCAGTGCTTTTGCAGACCGGAGCATGACAGCCATGCAGGAGTGTTACTATACAGTCTTGTTCGGGGGAGGGAGTAATCATCATCCTGGTCAACTCTTAGGTAACTGAACTGGGACGATGACTTGACCTTTGCTTCGAAGAGGTATAAATACATCTCCGTTTCCTCCAGAAATCCAGTACTCTTGGACCCAAGCCTTCCTCAACCATCAACTTCAATCAGATACCTCGTTTCAATATACAACTCCTCTTTCATCATGAAGCTTACAGCTCTCTTCTGCACTCTCATGGCTGCCGCTGCCGTAAGTGCTTCAACGGTCCCTCGAGAGGAGTTCCAGATCCTGGACACCTGCGGTTCTGGCTATGGCGGTGACCAAAGGCGTACGAACAGTCCTTGTAAAGCCTCGAATGGAGATAGGCATTTTTGTGGCTGCGACAGGACTGGTGTGGTATGTTAACATGTCGCGGTTGGAAGATCAGACCAGCTTTGCTCATTGTTATTCGTGTGAAAAGGTCGAGTGCCGAGGTGGTAGGTGGACAGAGATCCGAGACTGTCGTAGGGCCACATGCCACGGTGGCAATGACGGCGGAGCCGTTTGCTAGAATGATTATAATCGGGTTGGAATGGTATATGGCCAATCTACCGCCGAATTATTGAGCCAGCATCACTGATATGTTTTCGCGTTGTATAGATCCAGTGAGAGAAGGGGGGATGGCAGGGGAGGTATGGTTTGGAAGGATTCAACATCAGCCAACTTGCTGGCTTTCCAGTGAAGGTTACCTCTGTACTACGTTGACCAGTGTGGTACTCATCGCTCGTTAGTTCTAAACAAATTTACAAGTCCTTACACTTCTGGTAAGCTAGCTACTTGACAATTTTGAACACTGGTAAGTTTGAGCGACCATTGGCTCTGTAATTATCATAAGTTTGTTGTCGTAGACCATGCTTGACTTCATATGCAAATTGCGTACTAACTGTGCTGTATTTGGTTGTTGGCCAGCAGTATTCTTCCGAGATCATTCGTTCATTCTGCCATGGATAGTTATTGAACTTGGCGATCAGTTAGCCCAAGCGGAGAGTAGATCTATTGATAGGTAAGTCCAGTGTCACGCAGAGTCAAATACAAATTCGATCATCCCGGTTAAACCGTTGAGGTTTCTATATTTCTTGAGGCGCCTATGGTGGTACCTTTGGAGTGTCTGACGAGAAGAATAGTAATGGCCTTAGCAGCCATAGTTTTTGCTTAACAGACAGACTGCTATAACTCTATGACCTCTACATGCTAAAAGGGTATTGATGTTGTGGCTGGTGGCTTGTTAAGGTAATGAAGGATCGACCTTATTTAACATGCTCCTTGTTACTGTTATTCCCTGCGGTAAGGCGCATATCCATGCTATAGTGTAGTCAGTGTGTCTCGAGTCCTACCCATCAGTCTTAATAAGTACCATGTTTATCTAAATTACCATATAACTTATATTAGAGGAGGTATGCTCTCTTATATGAATACTACTATGTCTACTTCAGTTACTATATAGGCTACTCCTATTCTACCTAAATATTTTCTAGATTATAGTCTACCTTAAAGTCTATAGCTAATTAGGCCAATATTTAATATTACTAGTATATTAAAGGTCTTAGCCCGGAATATAACGACAATAACTATGTAGACTATAAGATATTAGGCTATCAGGGCTATTAGATCTACTGCTTCTAAGCCACGTTTGCCACTGTGATGACAAACCCACCTCGTACTGAGCTTTGAACCTCAAACGTTCATGCGTTGGCTCGGAGTCGGAGCTCGGTCTCTCGCGCTCCGTCCAAGCTTCATTTGAGACCGAGCGCTCACAACGAGGAGTATAAATCAAGTCATCCACACGGGCTTACTTGTTGGATCACATCACCAATGCTCCGAAACACTGTGATCCGCAGCATACGGCTCTCTCGCAACATGTCTTCATCTATGCAGCCGATGCCAGTTGTCGCCTGTGGCAGGAAAACTGCGGTCGGGAAAACAGTCTCTCAGCACCTGCTGCCTGAATATGAAGGTTTTTGATCTGATCTCCCATGTAAACCAAAACCTAGTGTTGATGCTCTGCAGTTATTCACTTCATCCAGTCATATGAGGCCGCAGAGGCTGAGCTCCCCCATCTGCTTGCAGGCCGTGACCCTCAGTCTCAGAACCCTAACGATATTGGAACCCACGATTACAGCAGGCCTCCTCGCGCGGTAATCTTCGGGCGTGGCTATGAACCTCAGCAGGTCGAAGAGCTTAAGAAGAAGATGGCGGGCATTGCTAAAGAACCCGTTGCTTGGGTGAGGGGGAACCCGGCGGATGCCCCGGTCGGGGTCCCTCTGCCTGATTATGCTCAGAAGGTCGCGGTGGATATGAAGAGGCTGCTTGGTAAATGGAGGGATGCAGGGGGCAAAGATGAGGAGATTTTGGTGTACTAGTTGCTTTGTCCGGGGGAGGTTATCTAGTGTCTCATGTCTGCCAGTTTGAATTACAAACACCGATCAAGGACTGAAGTTAATGCTGTTTGTCAAACTTAATACATCGTCACTAACTCATCATCATTTCAACCATTCTCATCTTTCTGCAGGCTCGATCTCATTCCAGCAGGTTGCCATCGACGCTGATACAGAACAGTCACTCTGAAGAGCTTCGTCCTTGAGATGTGACGGGGATCGTACTTGTAGTTGGTTGTGGTGGCCGAAGTAATGGTTTGACCTCGGCTAGGTGTCTCCTAGGACTTTGATTTTTACTCTTGTGATTGAAGACCTTGGTACTGGTGTAGCGTTTTCGAAGATATAGAGTTCTGTTCGACCATGACGGTGCAAGGGACGGGCTCGTAGTTGCATGCCCGTGGCCAGGAGCAGGGCTGCTAGTCGTGTGTATGGAAAAGTCAACAGTAACACCAACCCTTTCTGCTGAAATACTCTCCAACGGTAGTAGCAAGACTCTTCCAGCTGGTACATTTGTGTCGAAGAAGGAGTGGTCTTAGATGGACACAGTCTCTTGGTCAAACAATATCAATATGAGATTGACAATGATCTTCATCCGGTACAAGATTAATCTATTTTGGTATATAAATTATGAATCAAGACTTGTTTCTATATTAGACGATTCGTATTCTCCACGGAACGCATGTCTGGACATTATAACTATGGAGCTCGCATTGGATCCTCGTATTGCACCGTCACTGACGGATATATCGATAGCAGAATGCTTAATCCAAGGACTGAGTATATATAAGAGACTCAATTTGTCATTCTGGCTAATCTCAATATTGCCATTATCGATGTTTATGTGATGTCATCATCTATGATACTCATTTAGGGAGTCCATTGCTGTCATTCTGACTCGGGTCATTATTTACAGTCTGAACGTAGGTGGGAAAACGATTTCCAGGTATCTCTGCATATGTTTCAGATTGTCTCTCTTATAGGAACAGGGATCTCAGAAGTTGCAGGGAGTTCTGGTGGGGAATCAGGATAACCGGACCTGCTTCTTCAACCTACAGGACTTAGACATCGCATGGTGGCATTGGATTTCTGTGAATGATTGTCATACATATTGTTGACAGCATGAAAAAGCATAATGACAAAGTAACATAGGATGAAAACACGCTAACCAACCTTATTAATTTAGTGTCTATAGAATTGAGCTCCTATACCCTTGGACATTTTTTGTCCCACAAAGCACTACATCGAGCGCTCTCCAAGATGTTTTCCGTTGAGCCCATGACGTTTTCAAATTTTTCATCATCAGGTCCTGGCTTTTCCCCATTGCCAATGTCCACCAGGCTCTTCACACCGAAGGACTGAGCAGGAAAATACTGATGAATAACCTCAGGCACGATGGAGATGCAGTTCAATTTCCCGAGTTTGCAGTTGTGCATCACAGCAACGTCGAACGCCTCATCCTTCGCACCGCCAACAAGTTCCAATACCTTCCTGGCCCCCTCCCGAGACACTGCATAGGCAAACGAGCAGACGGGGTTATATGATCGATAGATAGCACGCTTGTAATCCGGAAGGTCTTTCAGGTACTTCTGTGCCCACCCTTGATATATGCTGATTGGGTACGCGGTGGGATCATCAAACATGGCCGTTTCAAGAGTTTCATCCCAGTACTCGCCACAATGTCCTATCCACAGAAGATCCCAGGAACGGCCATATGGTGCAGCCTCCGTTTCGTCGACCTTAGTCAGGGAACGGATAGCCCCAGCAATTCCGACCATCTGGTCGCGAATCGCTCGGTCCCAATCCACGTCATCTTCAATGATTAGGGCTGTGTCAAGATCAGATTGTATGACGTATTTGATAAGGTCGAGGTGGGCAAGCCATGCAATACTAGCACCATGATTGGGGTGCGGAGAGCCCTCGGCCCCCAGATTCTGAAAAGCATTGACGAGATCAGGATCAATGGGTGGCTGCTTTGGGATTTGGATTTGCAGGCCAGTCAGGTTGGCAGCAGCAAGCAGACCCCTAGTCCGCCATGATGGACCGGCAGAAAGGGTCAAGATGGTTTGGAACTAAGTCGCATATTGTTAGCACCGTGGTCCCTAGCAGATCAATGTGAGTTTCTACAACTTCGGGGTTGGAGCAGGGACTTCGTTGGTCTAACTGCCTCCAGCCTCATTTGACAGATGGAGAGGAGAAGGAGAGAAGTGGATTATATGAAGGGAGGTAGGATGCAGGAACGGAGAATCAGAGACACAATCAGGAAGGAAAGGTGATAAGAAAGGCATAGCGTTAGCCAAAGAGAAAGAGTAACACACCCCTAAGGTTGAGTTCCCTGCGCTATGTGACGGCGAGCCGACAGGAGGACGGGGGATTGAATAATGAGAGCCTGGAGCCGGGAGCGGACGAGGGGTCTTTGAGACGGGGGTTGACCAAGGGTTCCGGTACAGTACAAAGGATAAGGTCAATGTGATGGACACAGCCGCCAGGATAAATAAATAATGTCGCGCTGCCAGTAACATATCTATGGTGGGCAGGCGTGTCTCTAGTGGTTAGTAAACTATGTGTGTGAGCGCATCGGATATTTTGATGTCGGGTATCATGCTAGCTGGAATGTTAGATGGAAAGTTGGAAAGTTCTGCGTCTGCGGGGAGTCGAAAATCCTGCCTTGTTATTATCGCATGGTGCTTTTGTCTTGGGCTTCTTGGCGTCGTCTTTGACTGGCTCCAAGCCTCCAAAGGGTTGACAAAGTCAGGCTGGCACATTCAAAGCTAGTATTAAATAAGTAGAGTCGGGGCCGGCCAGCCCCGTTTGTTGCCTGAGTAGTCTGTAGGTAGTACGGAGTAATAGCCATTCAATCAGAGACCTGAAACTCACTAATCGCGCAGTGGATAAATGAAGCACAGGCTACTCCATAATTTCCCCCCTTTGTCCAATAATAGGTCATCAGTTCGCCACAGATGAGCTGACGTGCAGCCAATCATACTGCGTGTCTTGCCGCCAACGATTGTCGATCCAGTTAGGGGGATGATAAGTGACTTTAGGTAAATAGTAAGGGCACGGTGGCGCCGCTGCACCAAGCCAATAATACAAAGTTCTGTGTGTACAGACTGATCGTTTGAATACCATGGCCTGTACCTTAGGTACTCCCTTCACGTCAACAGACGATCTTCCCAACATGTTACTCATTATGGCAGAATTGTGAAATAGGTCGATCATGCATTCGCCTGACTGTCATATAGTAATTCTTATGCTTCGCTGGCTCCCTAGTCCTAGAGAGAGCGAGTCATGTACCCAAGCACCCTGGGTTCGCCCTTATTTCTCAAAGAATTACTGTAACAAGCGCTGCCTCGTTAGGCACTCTTGCCATGCAGGGAATAATAGCAAGAGCCAGGCGCTAATGAACCATTCTCCCGGGACCGACACCAGCAGTGATGGATAGTAGAAGAACCCCCTGATCAATTCAGTTTTTAATTCTTCCTCCCAACTTCTTCCTCACTTCAATCTTTCGCCAGCCTCGGGAGTCCGGGGATCAATATCCATGTCAAGATAGGACATCCACATATCCATGCTTCGTCCGGCTCCGTCCGCAGGAGACATGCTACGTTTTGTTTCTGTTCTATTCATTTTTCTCTTTTCTCTCGCTGCAGCGGAGCCAGGAATCTTCTACAATCCGCCGACAGGCGGACCGATCCACGATTACACTGAGAACCCGGTATATGTGCTTGGTCAAACGGTTCAGCTTCGATGGGCTACTAGTCTACAGTGGTTCTCCTTAGTATTGTGGCAGAATGACAATTCGAATTACGAATGGATTCAAAGTAGGCTCTTCTGGATCAATTGTTCTAGGGGCCAAAGCGCTGACAATCATAGCGAATCTGACTGGAGTCACCACCTATGACTGGATTGTCTCAACTAACCGTAATCTCAATGATGGAATTGTGTTCTTTTTCCAGATTCGAGACGCCACAGACATATCCAACCGGGACCGGCTATTTGCCAGTCATTACTTCAATATCACCAAGGATGATGCTACCACAAAGAAGACTACCTCTTCCTCCCTGACCACAACGTCGACCCCATCCAATTCGGTGTCCGGATCGACAAGTACAACTATGACAACGCCAACCGTCCTGCTGACCGCTTCTGCTGCGCTCACAACGTCCAGTCCCGCTTCTGCAGCCCCGGCATCCTCCACAGCGGCTACGGGCTCAAGTAGTACGGCAGACTCGTCCAGTCCGTCCGGCAACACCCAGGAATCTGGACTATCCCCTCAAACAAAACTAGGGGTAGGAGTAGGAGTGGGCCTGGGTTGTGCTCTTTTGATAGCACTCGGATTTATTTGGTACCTTCTTCGTCGAAGCAAAAAGGCTTCACGACCACCGCCTTTTGATCCGATGTACTATCCTAGTAATCCTGGTGGTTTCGTAAAACCACGAATCAAGCAGCAAGCCCCGGTGGAAGTGGACGGGGATCGTGGCATCGAAGTGCCGGCAGAGCAGGTGAGATATGAGTTGCCATCGTGACAAAGTATCGCAAAGGCGGATTTTGCTTTGGAATCCGCCACGCTTCTGTAGTGTTCAGGCTTTTGTATATATAACGTGTTATCAAAGTATATCAATGTGAACTCCCAAGCAGGCTGGCGTAGAAGACATCCGCGTTCGACGAAATAGTCCCACCCAACTGTTCCACTATCTATGGGTCGAGTTAGAAATCTATCGACAGAACATGATTTGATCATACAAAGCATCATACCTAGCGCTTCTGGAATATTCTCATTCGATCATATGGCTTTGATGAGAGTAATGAATAATTTTACTGCCAGGGTTGAGTTGCCTCGCTTATACCATGGCAGAGTGACACCTCCTTGGATAATCACCGGTAGAAAGATAACAGTCTATGTCTGCATTTTGTGAACGAACCTTAACAAACATTGGGAAAGATAATATTAAACCGACCTGTTATACAGACGCTAGCATTATAAAGCAACAAAATACCAGGGGTGTTCAGAGCCACTCGTAGAAGAATTTACACAGACAAGACAATAACCAGTGTCTCCCACGGTCTATGATCCCCAAATAGAGAATTACGAAGGATGCGGAGCAGAAGCAACCAGCAATGCACTCATCTGCTGTCTTGCTAAGGATACTCCAGAGAAGTTTGACAGTTGAGCAGAGGAAGTCCGAGTTACATCCTCTGAGAAAACCGCTGCTTCAAGGATGACGATAATCAGTCTTCGAATTGTGAAAACACTAAGTGAAGACCAAAGGAAATGCCAGACCGAACAGACGCCAGATTAGCTCCACTCGTCATGCTTGACCTTTGGTTTACTATTGAGTGTATTCGGTTGCTTTCTGCTTGTCGAAGCATGGGATGAGAATAGAGCATTGAGCATTGAAGTTTTGCACTACTAAAAGCCATATATTAAAGACCACATGAAAAAAATGCTAATATTGTTTGCGAGAATTTGCATTATCAGCCATGCACACTTGATGACTGCAAAGGCCTTCGTGAACGGATTTGCGTTTGACTGGTAGTTGATGTCTTCTGTGACAGTAGTTGAAGTATCATTTCCCTTCGTAAGTCTGAGAGGACAATCCACGCTCTGGAGTGATTCTAGAAGTGCGTGGATCCCTGAATCATATCTGTGGGTATTAGGCAATAAAGATCCGAGGTTTTAAGTCAGGACGGCGGCATAGACTGGCGTCAACGTAGGGCCAAGGTATAGGTAAAAGAAACTCTCCCATCAGCTGGTAGAAGGCTTAAATAAATATAAATCTCGGTGATCCCCACATCTTTTTCACTTCCCGCGCAGCCATAAGCAGCAGCCAGATGAAACAATTTACCCAGGGCTACTGCAGTGGTTTTGTTCTCGTGACTACAAGCCGAAATTGATCTTATGTGGCACCAGTCTCAGTTATTGTGGTTTATATTGCCATCTAGGACCTGATTGCATGGTCTTGGGAGGCCCAGATAATACGAGTCATAGCAATAAGCATGGCGCAAAAAGAACTGAAGTACAGGGGATAATATAAACAGAAAGAGGGAATTATCCAAGTTAACAAATGATCCACAGACGTCCATCTCAATGAGATTTCCAGTGTTTATTGTCATGCGCGAACTCCGCCCTTGCCAATACACTGAAGCACTGGGAGACACATCTCAGGGATTAGGGCATTCATTTCTGCGGACTGCGCTTAGAACTTGATAGGTCTAGTTGCTTTTTCCGTTCTTGTAGGTGCCGGAGTGCTTGGCCTTCTTGCACCAACCGAGATGCTTGCCGTTGTCGCCCTCGTGTTCAATGTCGCAGTCTGGCTGAGAGGTGGGAGTGGCCGAAGGACTGATGGTCGAAGAGGCCATATGGGTGGAGGAAGCCACGTAAGAGGAAGAAGCCGCCGGGGTGGAAGAAGGAGTGGGGGTGGAAGAAGGAGTGGCGGTAGAAGCACCGGGGGCGGCCATGGCTGAGCCGATGAAGGCGAGAGCAATAATGCTGAGCTTCATGTTGATGATCGGGTAGATATAACTGGACTGGTACTCAAGAGAAAATTGGTGTTTGGCAAGAATTGTATTGGGCAGGTTTATACAAGGGGAATGGTACTGTAGGGACATTTATATCTGTCTGGAATAGAGCCTTGATGGAGCTGTCCACTTGCATTGGAACCAGAAAGACCACCAAAGTCCTCAAGTCTTGATATGGATCCACGTGTGCCACGAGATGATTGCCATTCAGGCCCATCACAGATATTGAGCTCGAAGGAAGGTGTGGGACAGGGCAAAGGCTGGGAATTGTCAGATTGTACCTTCTTTGAGTCCGCTTTCTTGCTGATTATTGGCGGAGGTCTGCAGGATGTAGAAAGTAGGTTGATTGAAAATATGATCTGCAACAAAAGTGAAAGTCCAGACCTTACCACAGCTGCTCTATTGAGGCCTTAATTCGCTTTGATGCAGTCGTACCAGTCCCACAAAGAATGATTGATGATCATTAATGTCCACACTCCACTATCCACGGCACTGAGCAAGAACAAGGTTTGTACCAAATACCAACTCCATGCCTACCTCTTCTTAGAGGCAGCCACTCCCGTACCCAATTGCAGCCACTGTCGATCACCGAAATCGGTCATTGCGTATGCTGGAGAATGTACCTGGCAATATCCCAAAGGGTCTCCGGTCGAGCCAATCAGAGTTATGTGTCGGATCCACCATCGGCAGTCGTCATCAATTCAGCGTGGATCCTTATCTACCAAATATTTCTCCAGTAATGGAGTCCTGGAGTTCAACGTGCTAGTGATCAACAGTCTGGGTCAACCATGGGTAGCTGACTTATCATTATGAAACTCGGTGAGTGGCGATCGCTATCTCAAAAATGAGATCCGTACGTCAGCACATTCGAGCAGTGCAAGGTTGCTGGTGGGACATCTTTACTCGATTGGATGATGTCGACTTGTCTTGCTGTGGTTTCTCACTTTGTGGTATCGAACTGCACCTGGATATGAGAAAGCCGCTGTTCGAGATCGACATGCAGAAGGATATAGAATTGGCTATGGGTCATGCTGAAAGGAAATGTCCAAATCGTCCACATACTAGAGACTAAGGCAGCAAGACGGCCGAGAAGGCAAGGTCTGGGACGACAGAGAACACAGTGAAGAGAATAGTAATGCAAAAAGTGGTGCCATATCAAACCATGCATGGGATCAAAGACAAGTCGAGATACAATTATCTGCGATCGCAACTAGCCAGACAAATGCGTGTCCTACGCCAAAATCCTAGTTTTCATCTCTTCCACCTTTTTGAGCCACAAGTTGTTCCATCTCATCTTTTACCTTGTCATCCGGCAAACCGAGTCTATCTTTCCACACTTCCTCGGGCCTCTCAGTGGGCGTAAGAACCGTGGGTAAATCTTCTGCCAGTAGATTGCATCAAAGGCAAAGCTGTGTGACACTGCATACATGCTCCAGACATCTCCACTCTCTCAGCTCTGTTGCATAGGACCGGAGAGCCGCTGGTCTTCTGTTAATGATCCTGCTGGATCGCTGTGTCGTCACAAGCCTTCATCACCTTGAATGTCTTTACACTATGGTCAAATACTCTTGTCCAGTCCTCGATGTTCGCTGACCAGAACTCAGGCTTTCCAATAAGCAGCCACCAACGCGGCGCATACGAAAATTCAGCAGGTGTGGCCTATGTGAACTCCCGATCCACCACTCCGACAATCTGCATATTCTCGATGAGTAGCACATTAGCTGGCCGTAAATTATCACACCAGATTTCGAACGGCCCTTTCTCCAGCGAAAATAACAAGTCCTTTATTTCTGGTGAGCTTGCGAAAAATCTGCCACAAACTTTCGCCGACAGTCATATGCGGACTCTAGATGCGCAATGTTGACGTCCGCAGGAGCTTCAAGATATGAAGACGCCGTGTCATATGTAGTATCTATATCCGGGAGTTTAGATGGCGGCAAATCTCCCAGTCGTACGAGTTCATTCATTCCATCACTATATCAGAATCTTTTTGTCCTCGCTTTTACCACGTTAATATGACTCTGGCGAAATAACATAACTCCGCTGCTTAGAGTCTTACCTGAACTAGTTGTTCGAGTCTTGACATGGAACGAACTCCCTGTGACATACTTCCTTGAAGACTAAGAGCCTCGAGCCAGTAAAGGTACTTCTCCCGTAAGAAACCATTGATCTTCCAACAGACTTGAGGTCGCTTCGCTGCTGCAATATGACGAGCATCATGTAAATGGTCGATCCAATAGATGCACGAGTACTGCAAAGTACCTAGTGGGTCTGGTTTAGGGCGCTTAACCTTGTCGATAGGAAATCCCGGATTGTGAAGAGAATAAACGTCACGGCGCAGAACCAGTCCCATGTTAGATAACGACTTTGAAAAAACAGTATGATGGACCAATCCTATTCCCGAAGGAAAGAGCTCGTCAGAAGCCTTCCCTGTAAGAAATTCCGTGGCAGACTGGTGTACAAAGTACACGGTTTCTTCGCGGACTGTCAAGAAGGAGCCACAAAGGCTTATGGTACCAGCGTTGCCTCTAAAAGGCAGTTACACCATTCCTGCTTCAATTGAGCCTGGTAAATCATAGGGCTGGATGACTCACAAATTTGATTAGCAACTTGCTACAATGATGCTGCATGGCCTAGCGTATGATGCAGCTGGGCCCTACTCCTTTGATGCCTGCGAGTCAATTTATGATCATATTTCCGCTTTGCAGGGCACCTCTTCAAAGGGTATCTCGCCAGGGACCAGATGTATACGAGACAAAGACTGGCTAAAGCAGGACCGTTTCGTTGGCCCCGTGATCGCTAGAATGAAGATCCAGAAGCCCCCTGCAAAATCGCCATCGGCCTTCATAAAGGAGTGGGCAACTTATACGCACCGAGATTTTAGAGCACTGGAATTCCATCTTCACATGTCTTACGTATCATCCGAATTGCTTCGTCCGTGGAAGTGCCAAAATCCCGACCCAGAATGAACGGTGAACTTGTGAGATATGTGCATTGAAAGCTTAAGAGATTCGATCCACGCTTTTCTGGGCCTTTAGGATCTAGTGCCGTCTGCGAAAACTTCCTGGACGGTCCTCCAAAAGGCCCTAGGCTCTGCACTCATACTTGGTCTCATGAAGGATGTTGGACAGGCTGCCCTCTGGCCAATGCGATTGGCTATCGGCAATACCGAGGCTGCGCACTTACAGCCTCATTTACGAGGCTTGCTAGCGGGATATCATATCTATATAAACAGTGCAAGTCGCAGGACCATGTGCGCCTGAACAGAGACTTTCATTTTACTCGGATTACGCATTTTACTAGTCAAGAGTCCAACAAATAAACCCCCGCATTGAAGCTCGTGCACAATCTGTGTCTGACGAGAGCATCCATTTTTATGGTGACCCGCTTCGAACAGCACGTCCGCGGACGCCAGCCTTTTCGAAATACAGCCATGTCTAGCCTGCTAAGCGGGGAGGCATATAAGACAGCACGAATTTGCCTTCCAGCAACCTGACCGAGCCACATGTTCCTCTAGACCGTCCTGTTCCTGATGTCCGGGGGACTCTGCCTAGCCCAGAGCTTCGCCAACCTGTAAACGCACCGACTGTGCGAGTGACCTTCAACAGTCCTTCTGACCATGCTGCAGAGACGCAAGTTCCACTTTCAGTTCCGCCTTCTGTCCCGCCCGAAGAGCCTCAGCCCGCGACAAAACCCGCAGAGCAACCCCCCAGTCCTTTCCACTTCCCAGTGACTGTGGAATGCTGCTTATGACAGCCTCGAGAAGGTCGACGATACCGCCGGCCTTGTCAATTCCTACGTAAAGGTCCTTACGAAAGTTCTCGCCGAAAAAGATACTGATACCTCTACTTCCGGCGCTGACGTGGCGGCCCGAACTGAATGACTCAACCAAGCGACAGGCGCATATGAGGAGACTAGTTGATAAAGGTAGGAAGAAAGTTGCTGCATCATCCCAGATTATAAAGAGTTTGATGTTCTTATAACCTCCGGCCAGCCGGGCTGCCGCATCTTTACTTCCAGACGTAATTAGAATCGACCCATTACCGCTTTAAGGGAGGTAAGCCGCCAGTGGTGCTGATGCCGTCGCGAGGGATTCATCCCTCTTGCATGCTCGAGTTGGATAGAATACCTCGATGACGTCTGCATTATCCACGATCATCATCCATCCTCCATTTGCCTCGTTGCACAGCCAGTTACTGACCAGCCGCAACACGCAGACCTTCGGATCGTTTCGCTCGGAAAGCTCGAGCTTGTCTGCAGTGAGGAGCAATTGAACTAAGCTACCATTTTATCTAACTTCAACTTGAGGTTTTTTTCTTCTGAGGCAACCCTGACCCCCATACCACCTCCCTGGCACCGGTTTTCCAACAGTTGTAACTGGTGTACTCTCGTGAGATCCCGGTGCGAGAGGCTGTTCTGCAAACCCAAGATGTCCGCTTACCGAGTCCGTTGCCGCTAGAAGCACACCAAACTTGAGTTTCTCATCTCCCGCTTTATCTAATATTTCGTCCAAAGAAGCCAAGCACGCCCCCTTGATCGCAGGGCCATTCGGGCCCGCCACCGTGAGGGAATGAACCAGGCTGTCTCTTGTGAGACGTCCGCAAGCTCCGCTACTGCAAAGAGATAGATAGACCAAACACCCGAGACCGATGATAAGGAGGACGGCGACCGTGACGATGATTCGCGGCTTGTCGATTTTGTAGACGATTACGTTACGCTCATCTAAGACGGACATTGTGACGTTTAGTGCCTCTTGTTCCGGAGTACCGAATTTTGCGAGCAAAGGCGTGACCCAGAGCACTCGCTGCATATGTGACAAGAGATCTGACGGCATGACGAGCGTTTTATCCGTATCCGCGATGATGGTTCCCATCATAAACAGAGATTTACCAGGGTTAAGTCGGTTACGTATATTGAGCAGCGCTTTCCCGGCAAATACTTCTAAAAAAGAGCCGAATAGAGACATCACTCCACCAGCCGGTCCGTAGAATGAACCGGCCTTATCGAGGTCGCTGTCGACATTAATAAACTGACCTCTCAAGCAGGCGAGGTCGCCCATGCTTCCAATGCCGGCTGTAATAGGAGTGGCACAGCTTCCAATCGCGGTTTGAACCATGCATAGGTGCCTAAGGTAATGTGTGTTGTTGAACATGACGGCTTGCACTTCTACCTTTGATTTGGCAGCCAGCGAAATTTCAACTCCGTCATACAGGACCGAGGTATTGAATACATCTCGGAATTTGGTCAAATCAAAATCATCCGAAACGTGTTCCGCGTCTGGATATCGGTAGGTGAAATTGTATAGGTCCCAGCCGCCTTGATTGGATTTGATTCCAGGGACAGCGTCAATGTTACAGGTAACATCGAGGTACTTGACGGGGCCAAAATTTGCAATACCAGTAACGTTGGCATCTGTGTAACGAAGTCCGCTTTTCTCTCCCATCAGAGCTGCGACTGCTGATCTCCTCGATATTGTCGTCGGACCCGCTGCAAGCATTGCTGCTGAGTCGCTTAAGGCAAGCGATCCGTTAAACTGGGGGTGATATATCGGTAAACCCATAGGAATGACCTGCCTCTCTTGCCTGACTGTAATGGCGGACTGCAGGACAGGCTGGACAGCAGAGGTTACGGCAAGTCCCAGGAAACCAATTATCCAGCCAGCCCTGAACAACGGATAGGCTAACATGCCGACCGCCAAACGCGAAGCCAAGTGCAGCGACTCAACCCTCTTTAACGGGATGCCTCCCTCTCCTCCCGTCTCAACGCGCGGCTCCTCATTAGCCTTGGCCGGCGCGGCAACATTCTGCCACAGGTTTTGATAAAGCGTAATCCCGAGCAAAGCGGTGACCGACCCTCGAAGTACGACTGCTCCCAAAGCGACAAACGTCGGAGCGTATTCATACCACTTATTGCTACTTGTGGGCTTTCCATCTACGGAGAAGGCGATTGCGAGAACGAAGCAGATTCCGATAAAGAGAGCAAACATTGCAACCCAAGTCGCTTGTAGGACTTGCTTGAAAGGAATTCGCCCGTTTGTAGGAAGCTGTGTGAATAGGGCCGTGGTTGTTTGGCGAACGCGTTTTTTCTGAGCCATGGCGGTTAGTAGCATTTGGGTAAAAAAAAAATCCCCCTTACCAATGATTTGGAAGGGAACAGTGCTATCTTAAGGGAGTGAACAATTCCATTTTTGTTGTGCTTTCGGTTTTTCAGCTGCAGCTGAGGTAAAACTCAATAATCTGCCCCAGGGCGTAGTGTGATTTGTTTGATTGATTCGATCCTACGCCACTCATACTGCAGCCATACTTAGCGTCCATATCTATACTCTCTATGTTGGGAGATTGAGAATTTATCTCCCCCCTCAACGGGAGCACACGTCTTGGTCACACTTGTTACCTAGTCAATTGAGATTAAGTTCAAGCTCCAAATCCAGATGGCTCATCTCTTATTCTACCTGCCGCCGCGGTAGTTTATCTCCAAACGTGCCGCAGCATGGAGATCTAGAGGCGGTGACTGTTCTTGACCAACTCGTTGATAGGCATATTTGACTATATCATACCAGACTTCCCGGGTTATTCCGTTCTCATCCTGCTTCCTAGACGAAAAGGTGATACCATATTGGATGGATTGCAAGCCACAAATCCCATCAACGCCCTATGTAATCGGTACAGGTGGTGGTGCGCATAAATATTTTTCTTTCCTGAACCCTAAGCCGATGATATTTCGACGTTCTCAGTGACGACCACCAGGATCCCGAAGTATCTATTCCTGACGCAACTAGACAGCGCCCGAAGAAGAAATCAAAACCTACGGCCAAGCCTCTTCGTCACTCACTGGACGGTTCAGACCCCGTTTCATGTGATTGTTCCCGTGCTATCCACGAGGTCCGTGGGAGAGCCATCCTCACGGTTAAATCCAGTGGACAGAAACTAGCATATTATTTCACATTCGTTCCTGACGCTAGTCCGCTGCTGACTCAAACCCCTTCGACCGATACTTCGGGGAAACAAAGGCCATATACCTCAGACGAAAACGCACTTTTGGTGCGACTGAAAGAAAGGGAGGGAATGACGTGGGGGGAGATTGCTGCCCAGTTCCCTGAACAAAGCGCATCCTCGCTCCAAGTCCACTACTCAACAAAATTACGCCACAAGGCAACCACTCGAGCTGAAAGGCTACGAAGACGCCGATGAGAGGCACAAAACTCGACAGCGCCCAGGCTAAAGTCAGTTCAGCTAAAAGATGCGAACAAGCGTATTCCTGTCGTTTGCCTTCCAGCCAAACGACCCTACTTTCTTGTCGCTTGGGGCTCATCGAGGAAGAGGCGACCGGGCCGAATGGACTTGTCAAAGATTCTGCAGCCACGTTTGGTAGATACGAGTCCTGGTGGGTCTAGGCTGACTGAGGCATCTTCACCATCCCACCCGTGGGCAACTTTTTATAAGCAAAGTCCAGAGTAGCTGGTGCCAGATATGCTTCAAGATTTTACAACTTATTGTGCATGTGCACCAGAGATGAATATGCACCCTTGGGGAGGTTCTGAGGAATAAGGCTGACGATTCTACTAAAATCACGCGATCCAGGTAAGCTCTTACCGGGTTGTAGATATCAACGGCAGTCTACCAATCTTGGGTGATGATCGGGTGCCCTTCTACCTCTCTGCTGGACATGTTTTGTTGAGGAATAATGTCTGCATGTGTCGATGTTTCACCGATACGAAAAAAGGGTCTGAAGACTCTCATGTGGCGTCCAATGATAGACAGGTGAACCGCCAGACCCCGTAACTAGGTGCATTACCTGTTATATCTTCCACCAGGCTAGGCTGAAATCAGACCGCTGAAGCGAAAGGAGCAGATTCAAGCAATTGGATCCGAAGGTCAGGTGTTTACAAGGTGCGCTATGGCTTTTTAATTGAAGTTCAGCTGGCGGCTTCAAAGGTAGCCACTACACAGAGTGATATGAACGCTGGATACAAAACACATTAATTAATCGTGAGCTGTTAGTATAATATGAACTCAAAATCTGAGTCTCTCATATTCTGACCTTTCTAAAGCAACATTAGATCAGAGTGGATGGCCATGTCTGACGGCATCTACACAGCATAGAACGGCCACGAAAGAGGTGCCCAGGACATAAAAGAACGGAAGGTAAATCTAGAACTCGTATGGATCTGGACAGTAGGAAGAGGCGAGCTTACAAGCGTGATGACCGTGAAGTCCTGAATATAAGGGATAAACGAAGAGAGGCTGAAGGCTCAAGGCGATGGATGTACTGGTAGTTCGGCGGCCTGGTGCTCGTTCGAGTTATTTCCGATTTCATGGTGGTAACCATCTGAGAGGTCTAGAAGCCCGCACAATGGCGTTGCTGATCCATTGTTCTGTGACGTTCGGAACTGCCAGAGGAGGAAGTACCGAATCGATCCAGCAATGATGGCTACCCCTGCGACCCCTCCAACAACACCGCCTGCAATGGCCCCGACGTTTGTTCCCGACGACGGTAAAGGCGTAGCTGCGGGGGTTGGTTCAATTGTCTGGGTGCTTTCTGATGCTGGAGTCGACGTCAACATTGATGCCGATGTCGACACTGAAGATCCTAGAATGGAAGTCGAAGTTGTTGAAGTCGTCGATGGCTAAGGCACTGCAATAAGCTACAAGCAAGCATCAACAGAAAGATTGGGGATTAAGAATGAACAACCCTGTACCGGACGCAACCATGGACAGTTGAGCCAACCCGTCGTCCAATGCATAGCTTGGGTCTGCACAGCCGATAAACCCAGTTGATACCTACTTGAAGGCTTCTAGTCTTTGGTCGCAGCAGAGAAAGTCAGACGCATAGTAGAGATTCCGAGTGCTATTTGCGCATCATTTCTCCTGGGGCGCCGTCGGCGTTTTCCAAAACTTAGTAGATGACTGGTTTGGTGGACAGTAAGTATCGAGCGGACAGCAAGCATGAAACGCTCCCCATGTTTTGCCGCAATCCAGTTCAAAGTCAGTATTGCAGGATACATTCCTGCGAGATGCATAGCCTTCGGGCATTTCTGCCGTTAACGACGAGGCGAAGAACAAGAGCCAGATTGTGTAACTGACTGTTACCCCGGACGAAGCGTGTGCGAATCACAATCGTGATACTGGTTTAAGTAATGGTATAACCAGGGTGGGGAAAACGGATTGAATCTGCACGAGAATGCGGAAAAGGAGTCCTCTGAGGCTTAGGTATACGCCAGAGGCTGGAAAGTCCCGTCTCGGCTCACCTCTGGTATCGGAGAGTGTATGTTTTGAGTAACTTGGTCGTATTTGGCGTGCTCGGCGGAAACGTCCGCGGCTGCACCAAGTCCAAAAAGAAAGAGAGCAAAAAGGACACAGGGGACGATGCATCACAACTCTGAGATCGAATCATCTCCCCCCTTATGATCGATATCGGTAATCCAGGACGTGGCAATTCATTTGCAGATACACGATGTTGATAGGACTAGGAGACATCGACTTCACCCTGAGGTTCTCCATGGATCAGACAGAGCTTGACGGACAGACCCGACTATTGATCCACATCACTATTGCCACCAGGGCGCTTCGCAAAAACTCACCCTGCTGTTGGTGCCATTTCAGTAGACGCTACTGGCAAGGGTCCAAGATCGCTGGATTGTTTCATTGGGTAAGCGTTGGGTGGTGTGTTGTAGTACCCTTTTAGTGGCTTCTAAGTAAGAGCCTTAATCCAAGTTAGGCAAGTGAACGCCCCATAAGCACCCGCTGAGTTGCAGGGACTGGCTGATGCTACTGACGATCAAATAAACCTATGACTTACTCACTAAATGCCTGACTCGAAGGATAACTCCCGTGCATGCACTTCGGAAAGGTACTTTCTTCCATGCCATATGGAACGATCATCGTGGAACAAATAATTATCATCGCAATCTATTATCAACCGCAGACCCCATGCTCTAAGGACTTGAATCATCTCAACATCTGAAAGCTTTGCCAGCAAGACTTGGTCTACTTCTGTCTGTACTGTTCAAACACTCGATGGCTCCACATAAGGTCATGGCAGACACACCCCCACAACGAATCCTATCAGACAACGTGTGGAAGCGCAAGCGGCCCGACACCGACTATGAACGATGGCAGCGGGAGCAAGACAACAGCTACCAACCGGGGGAACGACCACAATATGGGCCGCCAAACGAATATCGGACGGACGACTATTTGTTAGAGGGAAATGACGAGTTGCGCCATGGGCAACACTACTATGTAGAGGACCGGCCCACATCGCACGGTTCTTTTGTATCTTCAAAAGCCCCAGCAAAGCCCATCACAAGCGAGGATAACATCATATCAACTGCCAGAAAGGCTTTACATCTTGGCAACGAGACATTCACGGGCAGTCTACTTTTGTTCGCCATCTTGTTGGTAATCCTTTTCGGTGCGTCAAGGTCAATCAAACGAGGCCGTCGCTGTCGCACTTTCCCACGGTCGGACAACACCCATGAACAGCCAAGACTTGACGGCAAGCCGTCATTTTAAAAATTCAGCAACACGACTACTTATGGACTCACTTTTCGAAGCACAAATTTCTTTTGTTCCGATTTCGTCGCTTTATACATGTGATGTTAGGCGTTTTTTGATTATGGCGAATGACCCTTGGAAGAAAGCAACAAAAACCCCTCCGAGATAAAGATGTCGGGGAGACTACGACAAAATATACTGTATCATTATATGTTCGTTATGTTTATTTACGATGCAGGAGTCGTTGAAACAGGGGATATAAGACTGTCACGGTCACAGTGTATAAGCCGTACACGTTTGCGGGTTTGCTTCAGCTGAGAATCCTCAAGGCGAGCGAGGCTGCATTGTGCCTTCATGGTGTTTTTCTAGATAATCCTTCAGTTCAGCCATGGCGTTGGCAATTCGCTCGTCAAACGTTTGGTCGAAGCTTGTCTTCCACCATTTCTGATGGAGTGATTTCAGACTTGGATCGTAATGCTCAAAACTACTGCCTTTCTGACTCCAGATGGGACCAACGTCCTGCCAAGGCATCCGTCCATCCACTCGGTGTGCATTATTCAGAAGATTCTGTTCGGGGTAGGCTGGGTCGAATAAACCGGGCTGGTCGAGCAGGAACAAATAGTACTTGAACATTGCCTCTGATGGTGCAAGGACGAAGAAGCCGGCGTTCATATAATTGTCCTTAGCATAAAAGTCCCTCCCAGGCACGGGTGGTAGCTCGGCCTCCACCCAGCGATCGTGCATCCCAGCGATCATGTAGCTGTCGGGGATTGGGCCTGGCATATTGATAGCCGATGATGAGGGCCTGGTGATCTGTGTCATTGTGGCTCGCTCGGTAAATATTCCATCGATTGGTTCAAAGATGACTGAGTCCGCGTCCAGAAACGAAATCTTCTCATATTCAGTGAGCTTCCACAAGTTCAGCTTGGCGAATACGCCGTTCCATCGCTCCCACTTTGGGTGGATCCATTCGCGAGAGAACCCTTCCACAGGCACGATAATAGCACCATCACGGCTAAGTATATCACGTTGCTCTTGAGGAACATCTTCGGTGACCAGAATCAGAACGGGTATATCAGAACTGCTTTTTGTGTGCGGACTGTGGAGCAGTTGGTATGTGATAGGCGTGCCGCAGTGAAGTAAGGGTCTTTTATATCAGTTTCTTTATCGGCGTTCCCCTGTCAAAATCGTCGCGAAGGCGTATCTGTGTTGCCGCGGCGGTATCTTCTCGGGGACTGTCTCGGTTCCGGAGGGACTAGGACGCTCGGGTTGCTCATCCGAAAGCTTTCCCTCACTGGCATGTGGACCAATTGGTAAGATTAGTGTTGAAGAGGATGAAGAGACATGATACCGAAGTGTCCAGATTGTCCATAGCGAAAGGATTGCGAAAACCGAGATAAAGAGAGCTTTGGTGGCTCGCAGCGAGGGGCCCCAGCCGAATGAAGCAGCCATGCCGGAGGCTCAGCCAGTTGTAGGCGCTAAACAATAATGCGAAGGGTATTGTACAAAGTTATGAACCAACACAGAGCGCACGTTCTCTTGATGGTAGTGATTAGGATAGTCATATCAACTTCGATGACAAAGTCACTTGCAAAGGAAAGAAGTGGTGGCAGCCGAGACTTGACCAGGGTCACAATTTACGGGACAAGCCATGTCAGCCCTGGGCCAAGTCTATCCTGGTCATCCTTGTAAGCACCACAGACACTTATCCAAAACTGTGTGCCATCGTCTGCCGTCATTGGCTGCAGTCATGTTGGTGGGTAGACTAGACTGGTCCCTGTCGCTCTACCAAATCCAGAAGACCAATGTAGTGCTATATGGAGATTGCTTGGAGCCTGAGTGTGTGTGAGGTAACTAATCCAGTCCGAGGCAAAGAACGATCTGGCCAAAGGTCACACCGTGTAAGACAGTTGACTCCACCATAATACTATTACGCTGTGTAGAGTCATCGATCCAATACCACTCCAGGACACTCTCATACGTTCTTCTAGCCAACAAAGACGGATAGATACTAATTTGAGGTCTTGGAATCCCGAAAACAGCGGTTGGGCTCTACCTCGCTTCGCTCACGAGACTCAGGAGTCTTTGACCAGCAGCAAGTTTCAATCCCCTGTCGGGCTTTGGCAAGGCGATCCACACTCGTGCTTTTGTTCTCCGTGGTCCGCCGTCATCCGCGTGTCTCATATCACAGCCCTAGGTCCACTCTCATCGTGAGCATCCATCCAATTAAACTAGGGAATTAGAGTGAGCCGACGGAGTCCAATTATCCATTGAAGTACAAAAGGGTCTCCATAACTTTGTAAGCATATGTACTTTGAAGGACAATCATCCATGCTGACCATGAAACTGCATTCAATGAAGCTTTTTGCTGCATGTTACATTCTTCTGTAATGTGTTCACCCTCAAGGCCGTTGACTAAAGTCATACGCGTTGCCAAATGCGCGGTTCAGATACCGCGACATGGCTTCTTCCTCACTCACCCAGTCAACCGGCACCTCGAGGCCGCCTTCCTTCCCCATAATCGGCCGTACGCTCTCGGAGAATTCCAGTCGCATCGGATTCCGGTACCAGGGAGCAAAGTGAACTGTCCATTAGCTCTGTTCATGCTTCAATGACACTAGGGAACCTACTCATCGCCAGCATTACGCGGACCTGATCAGTTTGATTACCGACTCCAGCATGCCAGAGTCGAAGATCCCGAAGTACTATCGCGCCCTTTGGAACGACGGGCTGGCACGGTGGCCGGACTGCTCGTCGCTTTTCCAGCTCGTCAAGCTTGATGCGTCCGCTTGCTCGTTCCCCGTGCATTCCTTCTTGGACATGCAGACCAGAGTCGATGTGAGTTCCGAGCCAGATCTCCGTTGAGCCGTTCTCAGGAGTCATCTCGATCAGGGGGATGTTGACCACATAGGCAAAGGGGTGCGTTGGGTGATTAAAATCTGCGTCTGAATGGACCGGTTGCGATGTCGGGGGACAGTCTGCCGTCGGAGGCATGGCTGTATTTCCCGAACAAAAGGTCCATTTTGGACGAGGTCCGAGGGCAGTATTTGTAATCTGCGTAGCAATTGGGTCTGGGGAAGGGACTGTTAGCACGACCTGGTCGTTGGGGCACGGCACTCACTCAGAAAAATGCCAGGATCGAAGTAGTCCTTCACAGGCGGAGGATCCTGCTGTATGTTGCCCCGGTTATAATTATATGGACTATTTTCCTTTCTCCTCTGCAGGTCATATGCGTCCTGCACCATCTTCTCGTTCAGGCGATCGAGCGCGGAATGCGGCACTGCATTTTCAACCACAACAAGACCATCATGGTACAGACTGCGAATGGCAATCTCCAGATTCTGAGGCGTAAGCTGGCCGTTTTTGATCTCTGTGGCGGAAGGACGAATGTTGATGGGATAGCTGGAAGCCATTCTTTGATGTACCCGAAGGCGAAGGTCAGTTAACGGGCGGGCGCAGCGAGACCAACGAGTTAATGGAGATGCAAGTCTTTGCATCACTAGCTATATAGTTAATGGTATGAGTGATCATGGTAATGTACTTAGACCTTGTTAATGGCCGTCATTTTATATCCTAAACGCTGCCCAATTACTTGTCCGTCTCCTCGTCTTTCGCAATTCGCAATTCGCATTTCCCATTAATGCGGGGGGGTCCATGTGGGGTAATCGTAATCAGCCACTCATAGGGAGCCCATCACCTGGGGATTATTGCTGATTCGCTCTTAGGAGGAAAAGAATTTGGACAGGAGCGGATTTTATCGAGATCATTATGTACCAAGCCAGGACCCTCTCAACTTCCGCATTCCAATTGCGAAGCCTCGTATCTCGATAATGCGAGCTTGAAGCATTATTGAAACACAAACCACCCATGCCACGTCCGTTTCGCACAGATCGTGCGTTCCACCTTTAAGTTCTCATTTTGCACAGACTACTAACGTCGTCTTGTCAGGCTGGTTCGTGATAACTTGACTCCAAGTTGTCAGTTGTCAAGCTGAGAGCTGACTGCCCCTGTAGCCAACCGTGTCGCTTGCGAAAGATCAAGTGTAAGCCTCTTCTTCTCTTGCTCTTGGTCGTCTCAGCTCACTTGTATTTTTCGTTTCAGGCGATGGAAATCGTCCCAGTTGCCAACGCTGTCAACGAAGCTCACGACATTGTTCATGGAGCGACGGCATCCGCCGGTCTTCCCGGTCAATAGCATCCCCACTCCAACACAGCCAGTCTGCAACGCCACCAAACTATTGTGTTCAAGCCAGTCTAGATGCCTTGATATCCCGAAGCGACGAATATGTCTCAACTGGCGACCCTACGGAAGCATTGGAAGATCCACGAGTAGCTCACATATTTCGATTTTATATCGATAATCTAGCTGGTTGGTACGATCTGAATGATCGAAAACGTCATTTTACGGATATAGTTCCTATCCTCGCAAGAAATAATGCCTTACTCCTCAGTGCAGTACTGGCCTTCGCGGCAGCCAGCCAGAGCTCATCATCGTCCGGATCAACTCCCCTCAAGAATCTAGCCGATGCATATCATCTCGAGAGTGTGAGAAGACTCTTGGCTCTCATGAAGCACCCTGAGGAGTTTCGAACTGGCGAGACATTGGCTGCAATATGTCTTCTTCGGTCGTATGAAATTATCTCGCGTAAGTATGGTCAATACCGTAGGATGCATATCTACCAGCTGATGCTCTAGTCTTGGTTGATTTTAGAAAATGTTACCTGCCAGAACCACCTTCAAGGGTCCTATTCGTTGCTGGCGAGCCATCCGATCGAGATAGAGTCCGGATTGTTGGGTGCCGGTTTCTGGAATTACCTGAGAGAGGATATCACGGTCGCACTCATAGAAAAACGCAGCCTCATGATTCAGCTCCCGGATGAGCCTCTGCCTACGAGGACTGAATGCGATGACGACCTCGCAAACCGCATCACTTACCTCCTAGGCAGAGTCCTCAACAGGTGTCTTCTACGTGATGCTGTTCCCTTGGGCCAATCCGAGTGGAATGATCTGAGAGATCAGCTCGAGCATTGGAGGACATCGCTCTCTTCATCATTTGACCCCATCCTTACACCGCATCTGCTCCCCAATAGCAGCTTTCCGAGTATGTGGACGACCTCAGGGTGGCACGGTACGGATCCCTCCTACATTCGTAACCTCCTTGATTTACTGATAGTAGCAGCTGCCGGCCTACAATACTATCACACAGCAATGATAATCCTATGGCTTGCGGAACCTTGTCCGTCATCGATCAACACTCTGCAGCACATCGAAAGGATCCACAGCCTGGAAAGCAAACTAGTACACCACGCCACAATTGTATGCGCTTTGGCGCTGTCGAGTAAATCTGCGCCTGTTTGGGTTAATTCCTTTGGGCCTATAGCTTTCTGTAAGACTTCTGCATTCCTTTCTCGGTGTGACATATGCTTATAATAATAGGTGGGCCCTGGCTAAAAGATGCCCGGAAAATAAGCGAAATTATAGATGAGATGAGGATTTGGGGGCAAAAGACGGGTTGGCCTGTAGAGAGTATAGCCAGTTCCCTTCTTAGTGATCAGAAATAAACGCAGATTTTGAAACATCAAGTGACATCTCTTGTATCTACAGTGTTTGACTACATCTCCAAGTATAGTGATCCAGTGGGGAAAAAATTGCGCAGGCACGAAAAAGAGGCCAGACGAATGTCTGTGCTGCTGGTATATTTGGATGCATACTCAGCGCTCATCACATCAAAAGAGACGGTAATGTTGGACTCGCCATTGTCCCACAGCTCTATAATGGGTGTGGTCAGGACAGTTGTTGTCTCTGAGTATCCAGCACAACCTCGATCCAAGATATCCTCAGTATGTTCCTAAGAAAGTTTTGTTTGGCTTCTTCCAGAGGCTAGCATGAAGTGGCATTGGAGTATTTGAATGGCAGACAATGAGTTCCTTTGGTTGCATCGTGCATCACTGCGGATAAGCTCTAGCTGTTTGATGCGCTTGCTCATGTTTTCCCGCTAGCCCACTCTTGTATCTTCGCCTTCGCCTTCTTTGTTGCCTCTACTGTTTTTCTGGCCTTGTTCTTGTTCGCTTGGGCTTCCTTTTGTGCCTTGAGCTTTTGAGCAGCCGCCTTTTGCACCTTTGCTTGTTCTTTCTGTTCCTGCTTGAGCTTTTGTGTGGCTACCTCTTTTTCCTTTGCCTTGGCTTTCCTTTCCCTTTCAGCTTTGAGCTCTTGCGCCTTTGCTTGTGCTTTCTGCTCTTCCTTRCGCTTCTGTTTARTCTTTTCTTGTGCCTTCACCTGAGCCTTCCTTTTAACTTCAAGCTCTTGTGCCTTTGCTTGTGCTTTCTGCTCTTCCTTGCGCTTCTGTCTAATCTTCTCTTGTGCCTTTACCTGAGCCTTCCTTTCAGCTTTGAGATTTTGAGCAGCCGCCTTTTGCACCTTTGCTTGTTCTTTCTCTTCCTGCTTGAGCTTTTGTGTGGCTACCTCTTTTTCCTTTGCCTTGGCTTTCCTTTCCCTTTCAGCTTTGAGCTCTTGCGCCTTTGCTTGTGCTTTCTGCTCTTCCTTACGCTTCTGTTTAGTCTTTTCTTGTGCCTTCACCTGAGCCTTCCTTTCAGCTTCGAGCTTTCTTGCGGCTGGTTTTTGTGCCTCTGCCCATGCTTTTACTGCTTCTTTGAACTTCTTGATAGCCTTAATCTGCTTCAATCGTAGTTTATCTGCACCGTGCCCTGTATCCCTCCACTTTATTTTGGTGTCTCTTGATCCGAATCTTGCAAGCCAAAGGGAGCTTTGGTCTTCAGGCCATGCCTCGTATAGGAAATCTTCGCTTTCGGTCACCGTTGGATGGGCCATCAGAATTTGGTGCACAGCGCTTTGACAGATCAGACCTTTAATAATGGGTTCTTCTATCACTTGGTAGCTTGAGAGGCCCGAGGGGTGGAACCGTTCTGGTGGAGGAGGTGAAAGCACCGTGACTTTTTCACCCTGAGCTATATGCCAAGCAAAGATTGCGGAAGCGCCATGGATGTATCTACTCCATTGTCGAGGTGTCTTCTTCCATTTTGGGCAGTCCGGATGGTTTTCATCCATTAGCAGGCCCATAGCTGTGGTTAGAGTCTGTAGATGGTGCTTGTCAGCCCATTCTTGGGCCGTTCTGCGAGGAATGCCGCTCCAGAGGACTTGACCATTGGGAATCCAATTATTGGAATGGAACTGTTTAAAGATTCGGACCGCGTCTTGAACAGATAGGTACTCGCTAAAAGCCTCGATAAGAGATGGTTGAGTTGATCCCTGGTTTGAAAACCAGTGGGAGATATCTTCACGATCCATCGGAATGGTTGAATAATACAGACGATGCCTTCACGGAGAGGATATTCGCAAGAGTATTATCACAATGTACCAACAGCGATATATGCGTTAGGGGGAAGGGGTAAGGCAGCCTCCTCGTTTTCGTTAGAGATAACTGATGTCATGACTCCGATCGGTAAGCCAATAAGCTACACAGTAGAACATGATCATGTCATTCCATCGTCCATAGATAACTAAACGTAATGAATCGAGGCTGGTCTGTTCGAACCCTGTCTGGTTCATACACATGGGAGACAACCTCATTCTTATACCTTGGATTTGGCTAGTTAGCGTGATCTCTCTAATCTGTCCATATGGAGAACCGGTTTATATCATGGCTTTTGAATTGGATATTGCCTGATGCATCGTTCTCTAGGAGTGTACGTAGCGCCCTAATTGCTTGAGGTTCTAGCGCTCTCTGTAGATCAACGGATGGTGCCAAAGTCACAATAGTCAGTAACAGAGGTGCCCACTCTGTAAGGACGAGAAATAGTGCTGAATAGTGCGAGCCATTTTGTCGATACTGGAGTTGGAATTATTTACTCTCTGGGCTCCTTACAGAGCTGATGATGCTGACGTGGCCCTCACAGGTTACGTGGCCCTCCTTCTGAGAAGGATATAGCTTCTTTTTCACCTCCTACTTTTTATTGAAACTGCTAAACACTGCGATGATTTAAGCTTAGACCTCTCCACTAGGGCGACTTGGCTTACGCTCCGAGGTTTCAAGCTAACATTAATCCTCCCAAGCGGCAAGCTGAGCGCGGTCCGACATCTAGCAATGGGTTGCAACGTCCGTGGCTTCGAGTGCCAGAGTGGCCGCCCGTCTACAATCATGTGGAATTTCTCGCAGCTATTCGCCAGGCGATGAGGTGAAAACAGTGTATCAAGCTAGATACCCTCCAAGCTGCAGGCTATGGAGGTGTTGCAAGAGGCTTTTGGTGCTTGGCAGGATAAGGTTGGACCATGTATGTATATGCGGGGAGAACGGAGATACGTGATAACTTTAAAGTGTGGAGAATTCAGCCAATGTTTGGTAGTTTCCAACATTAGCAGCATCTAGTATCGTAACTCTTTATATCTCTGGCCCTCGTCTCAGTTTTCTTGTCATGGCAGACTGGAAGATACTCCAGTCTACTGTCGCCTAGACCAGTCGAACGAGGTTATGATAACATCAAGACGTGTTCTTGTACAAGAAAAACTTTCTAGTCGTACGAGCATATTTTGCTGTAGGACAAAAATAGTGTAGATCAGTGCTGCTTGAGCAACAATATGCTAAGCCTACCTGGTACAAACCTGACATCAGGAGGGATATCAGACAGGCATTTTTGAACTCATCATCGAAATGACCGACGACGAGACCTCTGCGTCTAAACAACCTCTCTCGAACAACTCTTTCTCGAACAACATTCTCATGAGCCTATACGCTCATACTTGCATCATTCTCGACTAAATGGTTTGGTGGTTACTGCTGGAAAACTCTGCAATGTCTTATTTTTAGATCTTCAGCCAGCAAAAGACAGATCCTCCCGTGGTTACGAGACGAAAATGAGCACATACCCAGAGTCAACAGCCAGCACTATAAGAACCCCGCCTTCCAGCTCTGCATTCCTGCTCGATGCATCCATCCGACAACAGCGACAAACATCGACGAACAACGACAACGACAGCGACAAACAACATGACGATCAGACACATTTTCATCAACGACACGACCCTCGACGACATGGTGATCAAAGACCTTCACAACAACAATAGTGCCCTCAGAAATAAGATCACCAGCGACGTTGATGTCAAAAATATAGTCATCGGCAAACTCACCACCATGAACATGATCCTCACAGACCTCGCCAACACAAACATACCATCAAAAACATGGTCAACCACGACCTCACTCGCAGCAACACCATCAACAGCAACATCGCCCTCACAGGCGTGGTCATTGATCTCACATACAGAAACACCGCCTTCAGAGAACGGAGAGGAACCCCGACTGGCCCTTTGTTGGGCGAAAGGGGCCCTTGCCTCCTTCGCCTCCTCTACGACAGAGGGACCCAACTCCGGATGAGATCATGGAAGGGTTTCTCTCCCATACGCTCTATCCATTATTCGGCCTGTCTCGTCACCCAAATCCACATGGAGTGTGGACCCTAGAGCAACGCGAAAATGCCCCCATCCCCATCAGCCTCGGTAAGCACAAGCACGCACGCCTTCATTATCATCAGCAAAATTCGGAGACCGACTATCATCAGTACGCAACCTAGCTATATTAGAAAAGAACGACCCACTGTACCTCGACCACGAAACCTCCTGCAAACGAATCAGAGCAATCCTAAATCACTGCTACGTGGAGGAACTGAACTATCGCAAACAGAATCCCACCAAAGGCTCTTCAGCAGTCCTTTCCATTCCTCGGTGTAGAGGATTTGAACAAGAGGTCGAGGCTCTGGGCGTCAGATTCCCGATTGAAGGAGAGCTTGATTTTGTTGTGAACAACGCCGCGGAGCCTGGCAATGGCATTGGTGTTGTCATCTGCGTCAATCCGTGGCCGGCGACCATCCTCTGGCAGTGCATCTCATTCATGGGTAAGTTCCATACACAACTATCTAAAGGGAAGTGGCTAACGCATTGTAGCACTCTGCCATAACACTCGAAAGAGTGAAAACAAACGGCTCATCTCGGTCTACGGCGTCGCGACCAACGGAAAAGACTTCTACTTCCTCGAGATCGACGACAACGACATGGTACGACACCCGATCCCCGAGCATCAGCATCAACAGCACACCAACATTCAATAGATCTCATTCCATCGAACCCTCCTGCGACCGGACAGTGGTGCAAAGACGAACGAGGTGTACTCGTACTTCCGCCGGTTCTTCCGCCACATTATGGACAGAAGAATCACATCCGTACCTGGTACTCGGTTCAAGCCCTCGATCTCCCCTTCTCGCCTCTATTGAGGTTAATACTCTTCACGAGAGCGGCAACCGCCTACCTCTTTGTACCAAATCGCGCGAATACTCGCATCGGGAAACTGGTTACCTCATGAACTTAAATTGGCCCCGATTCATACGACAGACTGCGGTTTTATTTTCGACAGCAACGACCTATCAGAACGACATCGGACTGACCTCTCAAATCGAACCGAACAGGCAGGCATACCTTTTTCCTTTTGCTTGGTTTCCTCTCGAGAGAAATCCATTACTCCAGAGGTTTTACAAGCAAAGGGTTTTTTACTGGTGCCTGCCATTGGAGGACTGTGTTGGGAGTTTAGGAGTTTAAGCAGGAGGCTATACCCATTTGAATTCTTGTCGGGAGTCTTGTACGTTTCCTCTCTTAATTGGGATTTGAAATCTGTCAATCAACCGAACTCTTTTTCGCTCTTCGTGTAGGTCGTAGTAGGTCGTAGTAGGTCGTAGTAGGTCGTAGTCCATCATGAGTGTCAGATAATTGTCCACTCCGGCTTAATGAGGACCGTAGAAACAAGTATACTAGCTTCTTTGGCTACACGCACACGATACTCGCTCTTAGGCTCTATCTAAGAAATGCTATTTACCAGTCAGCTCCCCTGCATTCTCAAGTGTAACCATCCTCATAGACTTGCTAGTAAGACACGTGCTTGCTGAAATGTAATATTATGTATCTCGGCCTACAGTGCCTGACGGGCCACCAAAATGAATCAACGCGATGGAGCCCTGTCTCCCCTTGCCTGTATCGTGGATCTAATGCACTCACTGATCAGTGAACCGCGACACACATGGCACCAATCATCTTCCATCCTATCTGCAGCGGATCAAAGCTGGGTCCTAGGTCCTAAATCCAACTCTACCATGACGCAAATTACCCTAGGGTTGCACAGGTGGGGTGCAGCAAAGGGCTGACGTACGTAGGCGGAGATGGCCACCGCATGGCAAACAATCAAGGGTTCGCATTCTGTCAAACACTCGAGTCACCTGAGCCTGTCCGCGTGCGTTGTGCAGAGACCACTCGATATAGATATGATGAGCACGGTGTTTATGAACACGTCGCCGACTATGCTGCACCTATATGGGGCAGTAGTCTCAAACCCATGGCCCGTTCTCGATCGGCTGTGGTGCGCCTGGTGGAGGGGAGACACCGTTTCTAAGGCATACGGCTACGACTGTTGCGACAAATGGGAGGATTCTGAAGTCCGCGTCCGCATGATATGCCGAAGCCGATATGCCGAAGCCACAGGATATCTATCGGTCATTAGGAAAAGTTTGAAAGACTGGTTGCCTCCAGGAGAGCGAATGAATTTATGGCTTCGAATTGAGCCTTGTTTCGTATGTATCATAAAATGCAGAAGAGTAGTAAGGACATGATAGAATGATCAGGGCCAGCCTGACAAGAATCTGGTTATGTACAAATTAGCCTCATCGAGCTAGGGGAAGATCCATTGCGGTGTCCTGCAAGTGCCCAGCTTTTTGACAATGGCGTCAATCCGTTCGGTTATCCACCCAGAGGAAACTCCAGTCTTCTGGACTCCGAGCTTAACCGTATTGGAAGTGCGACACTTCCCGGACACATAAGAATACTGGAGACATTCATGTTTGCTCTCGCACAACTCCCTACAGCTAGCCTCGCCATTGACTTGCTCCTCTTCGGAGAGGTTATCCCAGCCGGGTTGTAGAGGCTGGAGCTGTGGGCGGATGAGATGACGAAACACGTCGCTGTGCAATATGACAGAATTCTTTTCCCGTTAGTAGTTTCCGCAAGACAATCAACGGTAAACTTACGTTACGTAAGAACCACTGGTCGAACTTTGCTAGCTCTTGGATATCCTCCGCCGTCACATGGTGATACGCAACCGGAGGGTAACACCATGGCTTTTTCGAGTAAGCCTCGGAAAAGTGATCAAATTCCGCGGGAGTATTTGACTGCAGCAAGGGCCACGACCACACCAAGGGGGCTCCAGCGTCGTGGAGTAGCTTCCCCAGCACGCAGTCACCGGCCCACTGCTCCTCGGTATATCGGTCCCATCCGTCAATGTCTTGAGCTCGCAGTTCCGATGCTCGATGCATGGCTTCGCGCGACAGTATAAATCCCGACCCGCCATGAGCGAAGATGATAGGGCCAATCTGCGTCGGATTACCCAGGTAGTAGGGTTTGTTCGGATCGAGTTTCGCCAGCCACTGCAGGAGATTCGACCAGATATAGTATGTGTCGGCCTCCATGAAGACGTACCATTTGGCATCGTCGCGGACCCGAAGTGTCTCGTTGATCATGGGGAGGAACTTCCATTTATCCAGCTTCCAGCCGGGGTTGTCGGGCATTCCGAATGCGGTGTTGGGGACGCGGCTGAGGTCGGCCGGCGAGAGTCCGCTGCGCCCGTGTTCATGTATACGGTTGTAGAGATCAAAGTCCGGGTTGGTACGTTTGATGGTCTCGTTGACGCTGCGAAGTACATCGTGCACGTGGGTCCCGTTGATTTCCTCCTCAAAGTCCGAGAAGAGCACGTAATTGGGAATGCATCGAAGGGTTGTTTGGAAGTGAACCGGCACTTTCTCCAGTGCTTCTGTAATGCCTGTTTTCAGGATAACCTGGACGTCCTCAATGCCTGGGAGTGGGGGACATCCGTTTTCTTCTTGTTGTGACGAGATCGAAGTGACAGCGATTTGTGGAGTGAACGTGGTCGTGTCAAAGAAGAAGAGAAAGTAAACCAGGAAAAACCCGATGACAGGGGAGAGGAGGTAAATCCGTCGCGATGGAAGACGGGTCCAAGGCTGAAAAGGCGGCATCAGCGCAATGCGGTCACTGGGAGATATAGCTATCAACGACCGCAGAGTCGGAGTTGACGCTCTCTCGGCGCTTTTTAAGGACAGGAACCAGGCAGGTCTGATTGTCCTATGGCCCCGCGGGCCCCGCAGGACGCGTGCCACTCAGCAATAACGTTGAAGTGGCGCCTTCCCAAGGCCAATAGCAGAGTTGGCCGCATCCTATCGACTCCAGCGGGATCTAGAGCGGCCCCAATCCTCCGGCGCCATTTCGCAGTGCGTGCGTAACGTCTCATCCCTATTGGTGCCTTTTTGCCGCTCAAGCTGTTCATCGTCCAAAGGATGTTCAATGGATGGCCAAGTTCTGCCTCTGATCACCGTCAATATTATGACGCCATTGATAGGCAGAAACCAACTTGAGTACCCGCAAAATTAGATTCAAAATTCAGAAACTAATAATGAACAGTGCAGCGCTGTAGAGCTTCTGAGACAGGAGAATTTTCTGGGGAATCTTATCGTTTCTGTCGCTATGCTATGGACCCTTGATCAGAGACTGGAGAAACTGCCCGACATTCTCTTGGTTTACGAGATCAGCAATGTGGGTAGTGCTAACTGTGACTACGGTTCCACGGTGTTCTTTCAACATGCTTGTCTTGTTATAGACATTGACGTCGCACGAAGCTGGAATGCGCATTGCATTAGTTCCAGTTTGCGCTGATCAGTATTGCTTAATCCATGAGGACATCAAACAATGTACTTGACGAAGGATAGAAGGAAAGGACGACATGATGGTTTAACGTGGGCAACTGCCTCTCTTAAGGTTTCCGTGAAATATACTTTCAAAATCTGGACTGAGCATTGAAGCATCGGTTCCCATCTTGACGGCTCAATTAATTATCTCAATAAAAACCATATGCCAATACGCTAACAAATAATAATAAAAAGCAAAAAGGAAATTCTAAACTTCGATAGGTCGAAAAAGCAAAAGGGGGAAGAAAAAGAAGAACAAAGCGACCAGTGCCGGCGACCTTATCGGTGTTAACGATACGTGATGACCACCCAATAATAAAGGCCCTTGTCGAGGATCTGCTTAAAGCCAAAGCTGCCATTCCCTTGTATCCACGGGATCGTCCCTTACAAACAACAAACAGTCTTCAAAATGGAATGCGAGACAAATTGCTAGGACTATATTCACTATCATAATGTTATTGCTATATTACTGCTTATCTGCAATCAAAACCCCACGATATCTCATCTTGCCATCTTCCAGTGTTTTCAGACAATCCTGGATTCCTTCCACGCTCATCGGGTACGTCATGATGATGGGCTTGATGCCGTGGTGTGCCGCGAACTTGAGCATGTCTCGATGCGACTGGCGAGCCGCAACTATACCGCCCTGAATACGGATCCCATTGACCAGCAGAGGCATGTATGGGATTTTCAGATCCTCTTGGTCCACCGTCAGAGGGGAGATGACCGCCCCCGGCGCCAGAACATTCAGGTACAGCTTCCAGTCGGGTTGAGAGCTCATTGTGATGATCAGGTTGTCCAGCGGCTTGCTGACCTTGAGCTCCTTGGCGCCCTTGGTCGCATGAAACTCTGACGCGCCCAGCTTCATCGCCTCGTCCTTCTTGTTGTCGCTGCCGGAGAACACAACCACCTCGCAGCCCATCTTGGCCGCGAACTGGATGGCCAGATGGCCAAGGCCCCCGATCCCCACGATCCCTACCCGCGACGTGGGCTTCACCTCGGCGACTGTCAGGGCATTCCACACCGTCGAGCCGCCGCACATCAGCGGCGCCGCGTCCTGGCTGCTGATCGCATCGGGGATCTTGAAGAGGAAGGCCTCGCGCCAGACGGCGTGCGTCGCAAACGAGCCCTGATCATGATCGGCATCTCCGTACATTTTGCGCTCGGGACAGAAGGTCTCCCAGCCCGTCAGACACTGCCTGCAATGGCCGCAGCTGTCGTGCTCGTAGCCCCAGCCGACCCGGTCGCCTTTCTTCAGGTTCTTGGCGTCCGGGCCGGTTGCCTCGACCACCCCTGCGCCTTCGTGGCCGAGCGCCATGTCGGCCTTCATGTAGTGCACATCTGTAAAGCAGACGCCGGAGTGGGTGATGCGCACGAGGACGGAGTCGCCTTGGAGGTCATCGCGGTGGGTGGTGGCTTTTTTGATGGAGCCGTCGGAGGAGCCTTTGTACACGGTAAAATCGATGCCCATTTTG